TTCAACCAAGTCTACGGTGGAGGTGATTGTAAACCCTTATCAATGCTGGTATTTTTCAGCTTCTTACCTTCTCTGGTATGGGTTCCTAATTGCTGTTGGTTAATAAGAAATCCATAGACCCTTGAAGATGTTCCTAATTCCATAGTGATAGTGTAGTTGGGTTCTTTTTTCCAGGTTTTCAAAAAATAAACTCGAGGTCATATAGTGGTGCCCACTAGTGGACGTTACTACATTTTAAGCTTGGGAAGGCACTGTTCTCATTCAGTTTGGAAAGAAATGTTCTTTATTTACAGCTTTCTTGCGCTGCTGTACACAGCGGACTTCCTATGTCGCGTCCATACCTTATAGATGCTTTGTCAATGCCTCAAATGGCGAGGGCCAGTATAAAAATTCAGGGGATTATATTTTGCTTCTGCCTTTTTTATTGGAAGGTTGTAGGAGTTGGCCTTCTCACAGAGGCACTGGTTCTTTTGGTTCAGCGAATTGGACTTAGGATGCGCTCAAGTACTTTATGGCTATGATCTAAACAAAGGCTTAACCATTTCATTGCCAGGTCAAAAGCAAGGCCACACTAGTGGGGAGATCATCAATTATGGACAGTTGATGCAGGGGAGCGGAATTGGGACTTTAAGCGGTACATGCATGATCCCTGGCTTGGTAATTCATCCAAGTTAGTGGCCTTATTTATATTTGTAATAAAAATCTTGGGCTTGGCAAGCAGTTGCAGGCTTTGGTCTTGCAACTATTATTGTCATTGTTGTAACTATCATTAGGGAGACTACAAGGAGAGATTTCAGGAGAAGTTTAATGGGAATCTAAAGACACAAGAATGAAAAGCAACATCTGAGATATTAAGGAATATGAGATCCTGGAAGCATTGCAGGCAATTGGGAAATGAAGTTTGTCTAGATTATTGAGCTCCGAAACACTGAGACAGGATGGTTTGAAGAAATTTGTTACCCACCGCAATTGTCCTGTTTTGTCTCTGGGGCTGCTCCTACTTTGTGTCTGTTCCCACTTTTGTACCTTGTGTGCTTTGGAATCCCACTTGAGGTCAGGAGGGGAAATCTTGTTCCGCACTTTCCACATTTAAGGATTCTTCAGCAGCCCAATCTAATAATCTTCCTGACACAATTTCTATTGATTGGTGTCAACCAAGGTTCCTCCGACAAATTGCATTCTTCCACGTCTCGATGACTTGCAGTCTGATGTTATAGAGAAGATTCCTAGAGGTAGTTCTGACACCACAGCAGTAGAAATAAGTGATGGGAATTTCTTCGTGGGACTTGTTTCTCCCAAATCCAACCCAAAAAGGGGACATTAATTTAAAGTTTTCCATGGTAATGAGGTGCTGTATGTGGGTACTGGTTGATTCCAGGGCAAAGTCGAGCTTACTGTCCTGGCATTTTGGAGATGTTGCCAAGATAATCGGGGACACTCTAAGCTATGTGGGAAAAAAAGGCCTATGTTTGCTTCCAGTCGCCTTGGATTAACAGAGTGGCAGATTGAAGAGAACTATTATTTGGCAAGGAGAATGGTCCAAAGAAGAAAGGTATGACAAGATTATTGGAGGCATGTTCTCTGAAGAAGGACCTGGGGAAATCCTTCCCATTTCGGTGACCAAACAGTTATAGTGTGAGAGGAGGTATCAAATTCTGAGTGGTGGACAGAAACAAGAGAATACAGTAGCACGAGGCTCTCTAAACCAAGATGCTGATATCGTATCTATTTGACGATCCTTTAGCGCAGTTGATGCCTCATACCGGATTCTCATCTATTTAAGGTAAGTTAGTAATTCTCCTTTCTTAAATTCCCACTGCATGGTGCAGGCCGTGATTGTTTTAGGTCACATACTTTGGCCATTTTTCTGTTCTTTACGCCATGACAATAAAGAATGGCACTTCTATTAAGATATATTTGTTTGATCATTGCATTGCAGGAAAGTTTTCTTGGCCTGTTTTAGTTCAAAAACTGTTATTTATGTTACTCAATTCAAGTGAATTCTTAACCAGGTTTGGTGATAATATTGGGAAGTTATTACATTTCTATTCTCTATACTTTTAGGATTTATCAGTCTTAAACGCCAAAAATGGAATTGATTGGATTCAACTTTTTCCTTCGGGGTTAGGTGATGAAAGATGAAGGATCACACAGGGCTGGGAAGTACGATGACCATTCTCAATTTCAGGGGTCGATTTTTATGGAACTTGTTAGTGCACATAAGGGACAGCTACTTACTGATTTCCAAACAGGCAGGGTTGACTTCTGGAAATGAAAGTATCAGCCAGGATGTTTGATGGCATGAGCATTACCAATGGAGGTTCTTATCGAAAGAAAGAAAATAAAGTGTACAAATGGTTAAAGGGCTGGAGTGATAGCTGAGCCCAAACGACAGCTTGTTCAAGAAAGAAGAGAGAGAAAAAAGGTAAAGTTGGATCCATGTATACTGGGAAAAAATTATCTGACAACTGCATATGGAGGAGCCGTGGTGACCTTTTTTTGCTGGCCACAGATTTCTCTTGCAGGTCCTCCCAAATTGGTAGCACTATTGGATGGCTGGGCAACTCCGTTGTCAAAGGATGTGGAACCTGTTTGTAGCTGGGTTCAATTAATAATCGTCTATTGTAGCTTTGGCTGTTGGAAGTTCTTTGTGCATCCTTGCCAGAGCCACAGTCTGGTGTAACAGCTGGGAACAAGACAGCACTATGCTATTAATAAAATGCATTTTTGCATTTCCGTGCTCCCATTGTCCTTCTTTGATGCAACTTCCAGAAGTGGGGGCGAATTTCTAAAACAGAGTAAGGAAAATTTTTTCATATATTCTTCTTCAATTAATTAAATTTGAAGACTTTATCCACAATTTAAATTTAGTTTTTTTTCATCCATCTTTATGGTCCTTTTAATTCAATGAAACCAGGGAAAAAATAATAGGTCTCCAGTTGATTTGTTTTTTGCCCTAAATAGGCTTCTACAGACCAAAGCGCAGTCGATATGCGATATTCCATATTCAAGTCGTTCTGTTTGCAATTTCAATGATCCAGCTTTTGGGAATCAGTGCTGTAAATGTCTCAGGTAGCTTGGCAAGGTTTTTATTGTCTTCTATCCCTGCCAATTGCTGCCTGCATGCTGGTTACCAGGTAATGCTCAGTACCTCTTAAAACACTTTAGCTTTATACTGTCTACTAATTCCTCTGGCCGTGATTGCCTGCTAATACAACTCCTTGTGTTTCTTATGCCATCGCTTTTTATTGGGTCTTGGTTATTTCCCATTTAAAATTTCCTTTAATTATGCTTAAAATAAAGGAAAATTAGAGAACACAAATAAGTCTTAGTTGTATACAATTCAATGTAGTTAAACTTTCAACTTTTATGAATATTTGACTATTCATCATTTACCATTCAGAGACAGAGTCCTCACAATCTTTTTGTTTTGCAGCAAATACTATCCCCGATCTGCAAGGAGAGCTTTCCACGATTATGGGTTGGAGTGTGTAAAAGCCCCAGCTATCAAACATTTAACGCCGAAACATTTCAGGATCGACAACTTCAGGAAGCTTTTGATCAACCAATCAAGTCCAAAGAAACCAAATATGCAACCTGAACTGATTGCATATTCTCGACCTGCATTTCATGTTGCTGGGTGCAAATGGAATGGCTTTGCTTCCGCCCCCTTGGATATATTCCTTGTCTCACATTTGCCTTCTCTTTGTTTTTTTAATCTCTTGTCCGGAGGGAATTAATCCAGTTTGTTAGCTCTGTCTCATATAAGCTATTCATCATTCTTCTCTTTGAGGACCAATTGATGAGCTTTGAATTTCACATTTTTCCTTTGTTTTTCCATTTTCAAAGCCATTTGGCCGGTTAGCTGTGACATAATGGACTCAATCTAAACGTGCTGCCAAGCTATGGTGGATAGGGAATATTGTATAGTTCTAGAGAACGAAATGGATATCAGTGGAGAGAATACTCCAATACATGTCTATTCCTAGTTGAGCCTCCTCTTGTGTTAGATGAAAACCGGCCAGCACCCTTCTTGGCCATCACATGGAGAAGTAGTATTAAATTTGCAGGTAATGGATCTTGATTATTCCAATTTGATGATTCTGAATCATGTACGGCATATGATATTAATGTAAGTGATTTAATATAGGTTCGGTTATAACCCCTTCAATGCCACGTCGTGTTGCGAGGTCTCACATGTACTTTCCCAGGAGGGAAAAAAAACTGGTATTGTGGAGAGGAACAGGCAGTGGTAAAATCAAACTCTCATCCAAACAATTTTCCGGATTGGTGAACCTGCAGCTGTCAGATTGTGATAGATGGCGATCAATTATCTCATTTGGATTGGTGTGCATGACTTTGCGATCAAGAATAAGCATTATTCCTTCAGGATCCACCATGTTCGGAAGGGACTGTACGGAGTAACCTGGACCCTCTTGAAGAGTACACCAGATGATCAAATTGGGAGGGTAGGTTGTTCAATTCTAATATTAATAAAAAGATTCTTTTATTGATATTTGCCGTTTCTATCACATTAATTTCTAAGGAACATGATGCCTAAAAATATATGAATTGTCCAGGGCTCTTGATAAGTGCCAACTGGAGATGAGGTTAGGAAAGTAAGGAGGAAAAGCTAGGATTCAACAGTGTCTGTTTATTCTTATTATACCATGTTAGTTGAATGCGATCTTTTTAATTTCGCATAGATTTACATTGTCGCAATAATCATACTGGTGCTGCAGTCACTGAGAATGGAGAGAACTGATATGGGTCAAAGGCAGCTGTCTGTTTCGGGCGGAGTGCTACTCAAAGAGGAGTAAAGTCTTGATTCTTAGATGAGCTACGCCTCGGTTGGATTACAGCACTGATAATTTAATTCAGCAAACTATTAGGGCAAACACTTCTCTGAACTGTTACAGTTATAACCATTTGCACTCGAAAATAACGTTCTGTTTCTTGATAGACATGGTTCTGCTTCTAGTCATGTAAGTAATTATTTAAATTTTATGCTGTAATTAAATTTGAAATGTTGCGCAATGTCTTATAGTATATGGTAATAATTGTGCAGGCTCATCGAGGAATATGACTCTCCGACTCAGGTTATCTAGAAAAACCAGGCTCGTCGTTTGGCACAACTTGTAAGCAGATATCAGCAAGATCAAACTCCAGTTCTTGAGAGCCTTAACCGGAATAAATAGAATTCTTCATAAAACCATTGTTGAAGCATTCATCAAATTCTCAAACTTTGTTACTCCTAACCCGAAAAAAGTGCTTGAGCATTCCGGTTATATGGTTATAATTCTATACGTCGGGACAGATTAGAGAGAATCCTATAAAAGGAAATACAGAGGAGAGCCGATTTTGTAATGTTTTCTGCTCCTTTAACGGTTTCCATATAATACAGAGAGCAGTCGTCCACCAGCGCCTTGGCCTTTCTTTCATTTTCAAGAGACTGGCAAAAGCGAAAAAAAAAAAAAAAAATGCAGGAAAGTAATAGATTAGAGAAGTGTTCATAACAGCAGAAACTGGAAGGAAAGAAAAGAACAAATTTTGTGGGAAATTCTGTGCATTTTTCCAGTAAAAAGACCGCACAGTTTTTTTTTTTTTTTTTTTAAATTGTTTTTGTTTCTTTAAAGTCTTTCCAGCAAACACCTATTTTTACAGCTAAAACCCTCGAAAACCTTCTCAGAAATAGAACTTGCATGATCAATAAGGAGTAGTAGATGGTATCTTTTCTTTCTAAACTCACCTTCAGTATTTATAATTCAAGTATTGATTTTCTCCTCACGCCCCATTTTCCTTCACGGTTTTTCTGTTTTTGCGTTATTAGTCCCTTTTGTCTTTAAGAACGTTAGGATTGGTTGATAGTTGGAAGATACGGAAAAAGAAGCTGCATAATAACAAGAAGGGAATTGTGGTAACAAACTTCACTCTAACCTGTTGTCTTGGTGTTTTCTGTGTTCGATTTAGTCTGGTGTTTGTTGAGCTTACTTCTATTGTCGATAGAAGTGGTTGGTCTGATTATGATGTTAGTTATTGCTTTTGGATTTTTAGCTCATAGAAGTGGTTGGTCTGATTATGATGTCGTTATGCTTTTGGATTTAGCGGTTAGAACACTCTCTTGGGGTGCACTTTCTGTCTATTTGCATATCCAATTTTTTAATTCACCTGATATTAAGTACCCATTTCCATTGAGAGTTTGGTGGGCCTCTTATTTTTTAATTTCTTCTTGTTGTCTTTCTGTGGACATTGTTCTTTCTAGAAACATGAACATGTGTCCTTCCAAGTTCGGTATTTAGTATCAGATGCAGTCTCTGTTTCCGCCGGTTTGTTTCGTTGTTACGTGGGGTTCTTGGAAATTAAGGGTGAATTTACCCATTTTGAAGAACCTCTATTGAATGATAAATTAAGTGGTAATGATTTAGAATTAAATAAATCGAGGGAAGGTGATTTTGTTACTCCTTATTAAATGCATTTTCAGCTTTTTTACCTTCTCTTGGATGGATTCCCTAATTGCTGTTGGTAATAAGAAAACTATAGACCTTGAAGATGTTCCTCAACTTCATAGTGTGGATAGTGTAACTGGGTCATTTTCAGTTTTCCAAAATAAACTCGAGTCATATAGTGGTACTACTAGTGGAGTTACTCCATTTAAGATTGTCAAGGCATTTTTCTTCTTAGCTTGGAAAGAGATTCTGTATACAGCTTTTCTTTCACTGTTAAACACAATGGCTTCTTATGCCGGTCCATACCTCATAGATGAATTTGTTCAATGCCTTAATGGGCGAGGGCAGTTAAAAAATCAGGGATATGTTTTGGCTTCTGCCTTTTTAATTGGAATGGTTGTACAGTGCCTCTCAGAGAGGCACTTGAACTTTAGGTTGCGACAAATTGTAATTAGGATGCGTTCATCAATTATGGCTATGATCTACAACAGGGGTTTGACCCTTTCATGCCAGTCAAAGCAGGGCCGCACTAGTGGGGATAGCATCAATCTGATGACTGTTGATACCAAGCGAATTGCAACATTTTGCTGGTTCATGCATGATTTGGCTGGTCATCATCCAAGTTAGTTTGGCCTTATTCATATTGTACAAAAATCTTGGGCTTGCATCAATTGCAGCTTTTGTTGCAACTGTTATTGTCATGTTGTTGAACTATCGATTAAGAAGATTAGAGGAGAAATTTCAGGACAAGTTGATGGAATCTAAAGACAAAAGAATGAAAGCAATGTCTGATATTTTAAGGAATATGAGAATCCTAAAGCTGCAGGCATGGGAAATGAAGTTTTTGTCTAAGATTATTGAGCTCCGAAACACTGAAACAGGATGGTCGAAGATAGTTAACTATACTACAGCAATTGTCAGTTTTGTCTCCTAGGGTGCTCCTACTCTCGTGTCTATGGCTACTTTTGGCACTTGTGTCCTTATGGGAATCCCACTCGAGTCTGGAAAGATCTTATCTGCACTTGCAACATTCCGGATTCTTCAGTAGCTAATCTTTAATCTTCCTGACACAATTTCTACGATGGTTGAGACCAGGGTTTCCGTTGATAGAATTGCATCTTTCCTATGTCTTGATGACTTGTAGTCTGATGTTGTAGAGAGGATTCCAAGGGATAGTTATGACACAGCAGTAGAACTAGATGATGGGAATTTCTCTTGGGACTTATCTTCTCCAAATCGAGCTTACTCTCCTGCATTTTGGGAGAGGTACCCAAGATCTCTAGGACACTTTAAGCTATTTGGGGAAAAGGCCTATGTTGCTCAATCAACATGGATACAGAGTGGCAAGATTGAAGAGAACATATTATTTGGAAATCAATGGACAGAGAAAGGTACGAAAGGATTTTGGAGGCATGTTCCCTGAAGAATGACCTGGAAATCCTGTCATTTGGTGACCAAACACTTATAGATGAAAGGGGTATCAATCTGAGTGGTGGACAAAAACAGAGAATACATATTGCGTGAGCTCTCTACCGAGATGCTGATATCTTTCTATTCGATGATCCTTTTAGTGCTGTTGATGCACATACAGGATCTCATCTGTTTAAGGTGAATGATTCTCCTTACCATAGTGCTGTTGATGCACATACAGGATCTCATCTGTTTAAGGTGAATGATTCTCCTTACCAATTCCACTGGACATGGTGCAGGCCACAATTTGTTTCTAGTTACGTTCTTTGTGCTATTTTTCTGTTCTTCTTTATTCATGGCAAAAGAATGGCACTTCTAATAAAGAATATTTGTTTGATCATTACATTATAGGAGGTTTTTCTTGGCCTACTGAGTTAAAAAACTGTTATTTATGTTACTCATCAAGTTGGGTTCTTACCAGCTGCAGATTTAATATTGATGAGTGATTAGTGATTACATTTTTATTCTTCAATGCTTCTGGGATTTATTCTCTGACTGTACAGTTATAACCATTGCACATCGAATAACTTCTGTTCTTGATAGCGACACGGTTCTGCTTCTAAGTCATGGTAAGTACGTTTCTGTAATTTAAATTATATACATTGGACATTGTTCTTATGTTTCCATATAATCAATCGTTGTGCAGGACTCATCGAGGAATTCGACTTTCCAACTAGGTTATTAGAAAACAAATTCATCGTCATTTGCAGAACTTGTATCAGAATATTAACAGCAAGATCAAAACTCCAACGAGGCTGAAGAGTGTGGATGCAGTTCATGATTGGTTTCCACAGTGATTAAGAGCAGTAGAGTTTTTAACTTCATCATCCAGTTTTATTACAAGATAAATGAACTTTATTATGTTCTTAAACTATTTATATTGATCTAAATTTAATTATTGAAATCTGAATATATTTAGTTTTTGAAAAAGAAAAAAAAAAGGAAAAGGTGAAGGTGAAGGATTATGTAAAATTTCAACTAAATTCAAATTTACTGAAAAAAATTAAATTTCTTATCTAGACAACATGTAAATTCAGAAAAATTCAATTAATTTATTTTTTATACAAATATTTAATAATAAAATTTGACAACAAATCCATTATAATTAATTGGATTCTTCCTTTTAAAAAAAATTAAAATTCCTGTGACATCAAGATTAAAATGACGTTATTTTCAATATTTAAAATTATTTTTTCATGACTAATCTCATTTCTAAATATAAAAATTAATTTTTTTTGTAAAACCGAGTATTTTTGGAACGTGATTTAAGGAATCTAAACACAAGTTGTTGCAGACTTTGGGTGTGTGATTATTAAAAAAGTGTTGATCAGATCAATTATTATATATCAATGACCTCATCATCTTGTCATTTTCTGTATTCTGGGGAGACTTATTGTCCTAAAAAAAAAGTCAACTTGCCGGGAAAATTCATTGTGATTTTCCAGTAAAAAGATGCACAACTGCTGTATAGTTTTTGTCTGATTTCACACCTCGCGCTTGGGTTTTTACCTCTCTGTTAAGTTTGCTGCGACTTTTCCTGCCTCTGAAAAATGGAACTAGCTGATTCAATAAGGAGTACGATGGTATCTTTTCTTTCTAATTCACCTTCATTAATGTATTCAGGCACTGATTTTCTACTCAAGCCCATTTTCCTTCGCGGAATTTCTGGTTCTTTACACCTAGTTTTGTTATTTGTGTTTTTACTCTCCTTTCTCTTTAAGAAGCTTAGGATGGGTGATAGTGAAGATATTAAAGAGAAGTTTGACAATAACAAGAGCGAATTGTGTTACAAACTCGCTCTATTCTGTTGTTTGGGTGTTTTTGCGTTCGATTTTGTCTGGTGTTTGTTGAGCTATTTCTATTGGTATAGAAATGGTTGGTCTGATGATGATGTAGTTACTCTTTTGGATTTAGCTGTTAGAACTCTCTCTTGGGGTGCACTTTCTGTATATTTGCATACCCAATTTTTTAATTCACCTGGTATTAAGTTCCCATTTCCATTGAGAGTTTGGTGGGGCTTTTATTTTTCAATTTCTTGTTATTTTCTTGTCGTGGACATTGTTCTTTCTAGAAAACATGAGCATGTGTCCTCCCAAGTCCAGTATTTAGTATCAGATACAGTCTCTGTGTTTGCTGGTTTGTTTCTTTGTTATGTGGGATTCTTGAAAATTAAGGGCCAAAATACCCCTCTTGAAGAACCTCTATTGAATGATAATTTAAATGGTAATAATTTAGAATTAAATAAATCTAGAGGAGGTGATTTTGTAACTCCTTATTCAAATGCTGGTATTTTAAGCTTTCTTACCTTCTCTTGGATGGGTTCCTTAATTGCTCTTGGTAATAAGAAAACTATAGACCTTGAAGATGTTCCTCAACTTCATAGTAAGGATAGTGTAATGGGGTCATTTCCAATCTTCAAAAATAAACTTGAGTCATATAGTGGTGCTACTAGTGGAGTTTCTATGTTCAAGCTTGTCAAGGCATTGTTTTTCTTAGCCTGGAAAGAAATTCTGTATACAGCTTTTCTTGCACTGTTATACACAATAGCTTCTTATGTTGGTCCGTACCTCATAGATGAGTTCGTTCAATGCCTTAATGGGCAAGAACGGTTTAAAAATCAGGGATATTTTTTAGCTTCTGCCTTTTTGGTTGGAATGGTTGTAGAGTGCCTCTCACAGAGGCACTTGTTCTTTAGGGTGCAGCAAATTGGAATTAGGATGCGTTCATCACTTATGGCTATGATCTTCAACAAGGGCTTGACCCTTTCATGCCAGTCAAAGCAGGGCCACACTAGTGGGGAGATGATCAATTTTATGACTGTTGACGCCGAACGAATTCCTAGGTTTTGCTGGTACATGCATGATTCTTGGCTGGTCATTATCCAAGTTAGTTTGGCCTTGTTCATATTGTATAAAAATATTGGGCTTGCATCAGTTGCTGCTCTTGTTGCAACTATTATTGTCATGTTGTTCAATTATCCATTAGGGAGATTAGAGGAGAAATTTCAGGACAAATTGATGGAAGCTAAAGACGAAAGAATGAAAACGACATCTGAAATTTTAAGGAATATGAAAATCCTGAAGCTCCAGGCATGGGAAATGAAGTTTTTGACTAAGATTATTGAGCTCCGAAACACTGAGACAGGTTGGTTGAAGAAATTCGATTACACTTCAGCAATTGTCAGTTTTGTCTCCTGGGGCGCTCCTACTCTTGTGTCTGTGGCCACTTTTGGCACTTGTGTGCTTATGGGAATCCCACTTGAGTCTGGAAAGATCTTATCCACACTTGCAACTCTGCAGGTTCTTCAAGAGCCAATCTTTAATCTTCCCGACACAATTTCTATGATGGTTGAGACCAAGGTTTCCCTTGATAGAATTGCATCTTTTCTACGTCTTGATGACTTGCAGTCTGATGTTGTAGAGAGGCTTCCAAGGGGTAGTTGTGACACAGCAGTAGAAATAGCTGATGGGAATTTCTCCTGGGACTTGTCTTCTCCAAATCCAACACTAAAAGACATTAATTTGAAAGTTTTCCATGGTATGAGGGTTGCTGTATGTGGTACCGTTGGTTCAGGCAAGTCGAGCTTACTCTCCTGCATTTTGGGAGAGGTACCCAAGATCTCGGGGACACTTAAGCTATGTGGGGAAATGGCTTATGTTGCTCAGTCACCATGGATACTTAGTGGCAAGATTGAGGAGAATATATTATTTGGTAAATCAATGGACCGAGAAATGTACGAAAGGATATTGGATGCATGTTCCCTGAAGAAGGACCTGGAAATCCTCTCATTCGGTGATCAAACGGTTATAGGTGAAAGGGGTATCAATCTTAGTGGTGGACAAAAACAGAGAATACAGATTGCTAGAGCTCTCTACCAAGATGCTGATATCTATCTATTTGACGATCCATTTAGTGCTGTTGATGCACATACAGGATCTCATCTATTTAAGGTGAATGATTCTCCTTACCAATTCCATTGGACATGGTGCAGGCGATGATTTGTTTCTAGTTACGTTCTTTGTGCTATTTTTCTATTCCTTTTTACGCATGGCTAAAGAAAGGCACTTTTCATAAAGTATATTTTTTTGATCATTCATTATAGGAGGTTTTGCTTGGCCTATTGAGTTCGAAAACTGTTATTTATGTTACTCATCAAGTTGAGTTCTTACCAGCTGCAGATCTAATATTGGTGAGTGATTACATTTTTATTCTTCAATGCTTCTGGGATTTATATCTCAACTAATGGAATAATTGGATTCAACTTGTACCTTCTGATCAGGTCATGAAAGATGGAAGGATCACCCAGGCTGGAAAGTACAACGACATTCTCAATTCAGGGTCAGATTTTATAGAACTTGTTGGTGCACATAAGACAGCTTTATCGGTACTTGATTCCAAACAGGGAGGGTCAACTTCTGGAAATGAAAGTATCAGCAAGGATAATGGTGGCATGAGCACTAGCAATGGAGCTCTCTCAAAAGAAGAAAATAAAGATGAGATTGCTGAACCCAAAGGACAACTTGTTCAAGAAGAAGAAAGAGTAAAAGGTAAAGTTGGATTCCCAGTATACTGGAAATATATAACAACTGCATATGGAGGAGCCCTGGTGCCACTTATTTTGCTGGCGCAGATTCTCTTTCAGCTCCTTCAAATTGGTAGCAACTATTGGATGGCTTGGGCAACTCCAGCATCAAAAGATGTCAAACCTGTTGTTAGTGGGTTCACATTAATAATTGTCTATGTAGCTTTGGCTTTTGCAAGTTCTTTTTGCATCCTGGGCAGAGCCACACTTCTTGTAACAGCAGGGTACAAGACAGCAACTATACTATTCAATAAAATGCATTTTTGCATTTTCTCGGTCACGGGAGAGATCATTATCAATAAAATAATTCGTCCCACCTAATGAATATAATTGGATTGTTGCAATATCATAGTCACCCTTCGGTAATCACTAACGGAGTTTCATGAAAGAACCGAGCAAAGGGATATCAACGTCAGTTGCGGCTAAGAACGGAAGTTACAAGACACGGAAACAATATACTGCGCCAAAAAATCTCAGGGATCAAGATTTTCTAATACTATGCTATACTTTGGGGTTTCGCATGATCCCATTGAAAGAGAACAGCAAACTCTTCTTGCTGGGCTGCATAATAAGCCTTATGATTATTGCAGCACGAGGGGAGCGGGCATAATACCTTTCTTGCAGCAAGTAGCTAACACAACAGGAGTCAAGCCAAGCATAGGATGATAGGAATCTCGTGTAGTTTGTGGGCCCGAGCATGAACGGAGACGATTGATGCCTACTTAGGGTCGACAGCCCCTCTTCAATCAAGACAGATAAACATGGATACACGGATCCAGATTCTACGAATTCAAACATCAGATCGAGACTATATTGGTTCTCCGGGAGCAAGGAAAGTAGGTAAAAGATTTTTCAATGTAGCCCCGCCCTCAGGTTCACACTAATTACTCTTAATATACCACAAACGTGCATGGACGGGAAGTCACCACTGCTTAGGGCGATACTTGATATTTTTAGTAGGATGCAAGCGGAGATATAGCTCTATATTGTCAGGCATCACCTTCATTGGTGTGGGCAGTTAGGCATCCCCATTCTGATTTGGCAAAGTAATGGGCTGATCATGGGACCAACACCTTTCGCACGTCTCACTAAGCACATGCCAAACATCAGATTAATGTTCAAATCACGCACACCTAGTTCCACTGTTGATGATTAAAAGCACCTATTTTCACAATTTTAAATAATACGTCCTAGAGGATCCCTTAATCCTAGAGGCCATTTTCACTGGACCACAAAGAAGATAGTCCTCAGAGTTAACTTGACCCTCGTTATTGCAATCTCTCTGGGTCCAGGCACGCCGCCGCACTACTTCTTGTAACAGGACGAAGTCATCATATTGACAGCAGCCTCACTCTGTATCAATTAATCTGTCTTCTAAAAGGTTGCAAAGATTACATTTGCAGATTATGTTCTTATGCACATTTTCTTCACAGGTTCACACTCTCAGATGAACTCTTTTCTGCTTGCTAATAAGTCACGCTGGAATTGAGCTTGGAACTCACCAACAGGTGGGGCCGAATAACCTACAAACCAGAAGTAGTTTAAGTATTTGGTCTTGTATTGTTCTTAAAAGAGTATAGTATACAATAAAATAAAAAATGTATCGCCAAAAATTGACAAAAGCCACGAGAGAGTAGGACACTTCTTGTAACAGCAGGGTACAAGACAGCAACTATACTATTCAATAAAATGCATTTTTGCATTTTCCGTGCTCCTATGTCCTTTGATGCAACTCCAAGTGGGCGAATCCTCAACAGAGTAAGTTAATTTTGTCTTGTATTTTCTTCAATTAGTTCCATAAATATTTGCATTTGCACCGCATGTGAATTTTGAAGGCTTCATCAATCATTCAAGTGTTTTTCTGTATTTTTCTGTCTCTTTAGTCCATTGAAAATCAGAAAGATCTGGTTCACAGTAATATGTGTCTGCCCTAATAGGCTTCTACAGACCAAAGTGCAGTGGATATGCAAATTCCAAATCAAGTTGCATCTGTTGCATTCTCAATGATCCGGCTTCTGGGAACCATTGCAGTGATGTCTCAGGTAGCTTGGCAAGTTTTTATTATCTTTATCCCTGCAATCGCTGCCTGCATCTGGTACCAGGTAATCGTCATTATCTCTTAAAACACTTGTTTATATGCCAAATAATCCCTCAGCATGTGATGCCTGCTAATGCAACTCCTTTTGTGTTTCTTATACCAATATTTTTTTTATTGCCTGCTCATTCCCATTTAAAATTTTTTTCCTTTAACATGCTTAACATAAAAGAAATTAAAACAACAAAAACTTTCAATTCTTTATGAATATTGCCTATTTTTGTTAACAAATAGAGACAGAGTTCTCACAATTTTTTTTTTCTTTTTGCAGCAATACTACCTCCCATCTGCAAGAGAACTTTCACGATTGATTGGAGTATGCGAAGCTCCAGTTATCCAACATTTTGCTGAAACAATTTCTGGATCGACAACTATCAGAAGCTTTGGTCAACAATCAAGATTCCAAGAAATGAATATGACATTGACGGATGCATATTTTCGGCCGGATTTTCATAGTGCTGGGGCAACAGAATGGCTTTGCTTCCGCTTGGATATGTTCTCTTCTCTTACATTTGCTTTCTCTTTGTTTTTCTTAATCTCATTTCCGAAGGGAATCGATCCAGGTTAGTAGCTCCTGTCTCATATAGCTATTCATCTTTCTTCTCTTTGACGATGATTTTATGAGCTTGTGATTCACCTATTCCTTATACTTTTCCATTTTCAAAGCCATTGCTGGTTTGGCTGTGACATATGGACTCAATCTAAACATGCTGCAAGCTATGGTGATATGGAATATTTGTAGTCTAGAGAACGAAATGATATCAGTAGAGAGAATACTCCAATACATGTCTATTCCTAGTGAGCCTCCTCTTGTAGTAGATGAAAACCGGCCAGACCCTTCTTGGCCATCACATGGAGAAGTTGATATTGATAATTTGCAGGTAATCTGGATTTTTTTCAATTGATGATTCTGATTCATGTTTGGCATATGGTATTAAAAGAAGTGATTTAATGTAGGTTCGGTATGCCCCTCATATGCCACTCGTGTTGCAAGGTCTCACATGTACTTTCCCAGGAGGGAAGAAAACTGGTATTGTGGGGAGAACAGGCAGTGGTAAATCAACTCTCATCCAAACAATTTTCCGGATTGTTGAACCTGCAGCTGGTCAGATTGTGATAGATGGCATCAATATCTCATTGATTGGTTTGCATGACTTGCGATCAAGAATAAGCATTATTCCTCAGGATCCTACCATGTTCGAAGGGACTGTACGGAGTAACCTGGACCCTCTTGAAGAGTACACAGATGATCAAATTTGGGAGGTAGGTTGTTTCAATTCTAAATATTAATAAAAAGATTCTTTATTTGATATTTTGTTTCGAAATCAAATAATTTCTAAGGACATGCATGCTAAAATATATTGAATTGTTCCAGGCTCTTGATAAGTGCCAACTTGGAGATGAGGTTAGGAAGAAGGAGGAAAAGCTAGATTCAACAGGTATGTTATTCTTATTATACCATGTTAGTTGATTGGGAGGTAGGGTTATGGTTTTCAAGTTCTAAATTATTATTAAAAAGATTCTTTATGGAGTAACCTGGACCCTCTTGAAGAGTACACAGATGATCAAATTTGGGAGGTAGGTTGTTTCAATTCTAAATATTAATAAAAAGATTCTTTATTTGATATTTTGTTTCTAAATCAAATAATTTCTAATGACATGCATGCTAAAACATATTGAATTGTTCCAGGCTCTTGATAAGTGCCAACTTGGAGATGAGGTTAGGAAGAAGGAGGAAAAGCTAGATTCAACGGGTATGTTGTTCTCACTACAGTATGTAGTTGAATGCGAATCTTTTTAACTTTCTGGCATAGATTTACATTGTGAATGATCATATCGGTGCTGCAGTCACTGAGAATGGAGAGAACTGGAGCATGGGTCAAAGGCAGCTAGTCTGTCTCGGGCAAGTGCTACTGAAGAAGAGTAAGGTCTTGGTTCTTGATGAAGCTACTGCCTCGGTTGATACAGCTACTGATAATTTAATTCAGCAAACTATTAGGCAACACTTCTTTGACTCTACAGTTATAACCATTGCACATCGAATAACTTCTGTTTTTGATAGCGACATGGTTCTGGTTCTAAGTCATGGTAAGCATGTTGCTGTAATTTAATAGAATTCCAGCAAATTATAGAATTATTAAATTTGGTAGTGTAATTTAAATTATATATGTTGCACAATGCTCTTATAGTTTCATAATCATTGGGCAGGACTTGTGGAGGAATATGACTCTCCAGCTAGGTTACTCGAAAACAAGTCATCGTCATTTGCACAACTTGTAGCAGAATATTCAGCAAGATCAAACTCAAGTTTTCAGAAGTTAACTGAAATAAATAGTGATTCTTCACAAACCACTGTTCACCTTTCTTGACAATGACGAAATTGTCATGTTTGAATTCAGTTGTTTAGGCAACCAAATCAAGGATTAGAGTGTTTTATTGTAATCAGTTTTACTAAAATTTTATACTGATTAAGGTGCAGTTTCTTGGATTATATGGAGAAAATGAACTCTTCTAATATGAAATATATACCCTGTGGCTTTTCTTGTTTATTGCATCTAGTTTTGTTTCTTGTATCTTCTGTGTCATTAGTATGCATAAATCAGGTGAACTAAAATGTCTCCTTAGTTAAAGATGGAGGAATTTTTAGAAAATTGATAAAAGAATAATTTAGTTTATTACAATTTATTTAAAACAAATTGAAATTGTTTAATAGTTGTCTTGATCTTTATGCAATTATCTTAAATGTTATACAATTATAAATTACACATGGCTTCTGTAGGTGTTTCTGCCCATGCAAATAAAACATGAGGGGCTGTTGTGTTCTGCATGAGCATTGTCGTTTTCAGAGGCTAATTTGTATATTTATAATGCTAATGTTAATGATAGCAGTTCGTCTTCGTAATTTTTTATCAATGAAATAAAAGAAGAATGAAGCCGAAAGAAAATTTTAATTCCAGAATTATTTATTGATTTCTATTTCTATACATTTGGTGAATTGATTCATGAAAAAGACAGAATTATGTGCAAATCTCACCTGCATACCTCTAGGCGTCCAGCTGTTGGCATGAACAACCGTGTCGTGTGCATAACACAAGCACAGAGGAAAAGAAAAGCAGAGATTCAACAGAAATCAACCGTGTCGTGTGCATAACACAAGCACAGAGGAAAAGAAAAGCAGAGATTCAACAGAAATCAACCGTGTCGTGTGCATAACACAAGCACAGAGGAAAAGAAAAGCAGAGATTCAACAGAAATCAACCGTGTCGTGTGCATAACACAAGCACAGAAAGTGTGCATAACACAAGCACAGAGGAAAAGAAAAGCAGAGATTCAACAGAAATCAACCGTGTCGTGTGCATAACACAAGCACAGAGGAAAAGAAAAGCAGAGATTCAACAGAAATCAACCGTGTCGTGTGCATAACACAAGCACAGAGGAAAAGAAAAGCAGAGATTCAACAGAAATCAACCGTGTCGTGTGCATAACACAAGCACAGAGGAAAAGATAAGGAGGACCCAGATTCAACAGAAATTTACCATTCCACTTTCCATGAGCTCTTGAGAATGGAAATTCTTGATTTAGCGAACTTCCTTTCGAACTCACTCCCACTGATTCACTTGCTCATTAAACCCAATTTCCTTCGTGGGTTATCTGGATCATTACATTTAGTTTTGTTTCTTGTGTTATTTGTCTCTTTAGTGTGCAATAATCTTAGGGTGGGTGATAGAGAAGATTCTAAGGAGAGGTTTGACAAGAATAGGAGGATTTTGTGTTATAAACAGACTTTGTTCTTTTGCTTTGGTGTTTCATTGTTCAATCTTTCCTTGTGTTCATTGAGCTACTTTTATTGGGATAGAAATTCTTGGTCTGGTGATAAATTGTTGGTACTTTTGGATTCAGTGCTTAGAGCACTCTCTTGGGCTGCACTTGGTGTTTATTTGCAAACCCATTTGTTTAACTCAGCTGAAATAAAGTCCCCATTTTTATTGAGAGTCTGGTGGCGTTTTTATTTCACAATGTCTTGTTATATCCTTGCTATTGATATAGTTGTTTACGGGAAACACCTGTCCTTAGAAATTCAAGTTTTAGCATCTGATATGGTATCTATGTCCACTGGATTATTCTTCTGTTATGTTGGATCCTTGAAAAATAAGAGCAATCATACTGTTCTTGAAGAACCCCTTTTAGATAATTCTGGTTTAAATAAGTCAAAAGGGAGTGATACTGTAACTCCTTACTCAAATGCTGGTCTGTTCAGTATTCTTACCTTCTCTTGGATGAATTCTCTAATTGCCGTTGGAAATAAGAAAACTTTAGACCTTGAAGATGTTCCTCAACTTGATGGTGGGGATACCATGGCTGGGGCATTTCCAGTTTTTCAAAATAAGCTTGAGTTGGATAATGGAGTTACAACATTTAAGCTTGCAAAAGCATTATTCCTTTCATATTGGAGGGAAATTATATGGACAGCTTTCTTGACATTGTTGTATACATTAGCTTCTTATGTTGGTCCATACCTTATAGACACTTTTGTTCAATGCCTTAGCGGGCGAGGAAAGTTGAAAAATCAGGGTTATATTTTAGTTTCCACCTTTGTTGTTGCAAAGCTTGTAGAGTGCCTTGCACAGAGGCATTGTTCCTTCAAGTTGCAGCAGACTGGAGTTAGAATCCGTGCAGTGCTGGTAGCGACAATCTACAATAAGGGCATGACACTTTCACATCAGTCAAAGCAAGGCAACACAAGTGGGGAAATCATCAATTACATGGCCGTTGATACAGAGAGAATCGGTACCTTTAGTTGGTACATTCATGATCTGTGGTTAGTCATCTTGGAAGTTGGTTTGGCCTTGTTCATATTGTATAAGCATCTTGGCTTTGCATCTATTGCTACTTTTGTTTCAACTGTTATCGTCATGTTATTGAACTATCCATTAGGAAGATTACAAGAAAATTTTCAGGACAAGTTGATGGAATCTAAAGATAAAAGAATGAAGGCAACATCTGAGATTTTAAAGAACATGAGAATACTCAAGCTTCAGGCATGGGAAATGAAGTTTTTGTCTAAGATAATTGAAATCCGGAAGACAGAGACAAGATGGTTGAGGAAATATTCTTATGCGTCAGCAATTTCCAATTTTGTCTTCTGGGTTGCCCCTGCTTTTGTGTCCGTAGCCACTTTTGGTACTTGTATGTTTATGGGAATTCCACTTGAATCAGGGAAAGTATTATCTGCACTAGCTACATTCAGAATACTTCAAGAACCAATTTATCACCTTCCTGATACAATTTCTATGATAGTGCAGAACAAGATTTCCCTTGATAGAATTGCTTCATTCCTTCGTCTTGAAGACTTGCAGTCGGATGTTATTGAGAGGCTTCCAAGATTTAGTTCTGGTACAGCAATTGAGATAGTTGATGGGAATTTCTCTTGGGATTTGTCTTTGCCTACCCCAACACTAAAAGATATAAATCTTGAAGTATTCCACGGGATGAGGATTGCTGTTTGTGGGACTGTTGGTTCAGGCAAGTCAAGCTTACTTTCCTGCATTTTAGGAGAACTTTTCAAAATCTCAGGAGCACTTAAATTGCGTGGTACGAAGGCGTACATCGCTCAATCACCTTGGATAAAGAGTGGCACAGTCGAAGAGAACATATTGTTTGGCAAGGAGATGGAAAGAGACAAGTACGATAGGATACTGGATGCATGTTCCCTGCACAAGGACTTAAAAGTTCTCTCATTCGGCGACCAAACAGTAATAGGTGAAAGGGGTGTCAATTTAAGTGGTGGACAGAAGCAAAGGATTCAGATTGCACGCGCTCTATACCAAGATTCTGATATCTATCTCTTTGATGATCCTTTCAGTGCTGTCGATGCTCATACTGGTTCTCATATATTCAAGGTGAAACCTTTCTTGTTCCATAACAAAAATATTCATGGTGCAAGCTAAAATTTGCTTTTATTTCATGTAGACAAAAAAAAAAGAAAATTCCAGGTAAGTGAATTTCATTTTGTTATACTTTACTTATATCTAGCTTCTTTTTTATGCATGGTGCTTCTTGTATAGTTTATTTTCTGATCTTTGTGTGTTAGGAAGTTTTGCTTAATCTTCTGAAGTCAAAAACTGTTATATACGTTACTCACCAAGTTGATTTCTTACCCGCAGCTGACCTTATCTTGGTAAGTAAATCACGTTTCTTTTCATCAGTGCCTCTTTTAGATCATGACCTCAGTAGTGAAGTCAATGAATTCAACTTATAACCTTTTTTAGGTCATGAAGGATGGAAGGATTGCACAGGCTGGAAAGTACAATAATATTCTCATTCCAGGATCAGATTTTATGGAACTTGTAGATGCACACAAAGCAGCCTTATTGCCACTTTCTGAAAATGGAAGTATTGTATGCAAGGACGATGGTGGAATGAGCAGTATTTATAGGGATATGCAGAAACAAGAAAAAAAAGATTTACAAAATAGTAACGCAGATGACATAAATGGGCCCAGAAGACAGATTATTCAAGAGGAAGACAGAGAGAAAGGTAGAGTCGAGTTTCCAGTCTACTGGAAATATATCACAACAGCATATGGAGGAGCTCTTGTGCCCTTTATATTGCTGGCAGAGATTTTCTTTCAGATACTTCAAATCAGTAGCAACTGTTGGATGACATGGGCAACTCCTGAGTCAAAAGATGTGAAACCTGCTTTTAGTGAATCTACACTAATATTTGTTTATATAGCCTTTTGCATTGGAAGTTCTTTTTGTGTCCTTGTCAGAGCCACCCTTCTTGTAACAGCAGGGTACAAGACTGCAACTTCGCTCTTTAATAAAATGCATTGGTGCATCATCCGAGCTCCCATGTCCTTCTTTGATGCAACCCCTGGTGGACGAATCCTTAACAGAGTGAGTAAATTGCACTGTGCTTGTCAATTTGGAGCTCAAATATTTGAATGAAATATAAATATGGAAGGCCCCAACCTTTGTTCATATTAGCAATTTTTTTCACTTTTCCTTCAACTCCTAAAGTATTAAAATTAAGGGTTTTGCTTAATGGATTGATTTGTGGTTTCATAGGCTTCGACAGACCAAAGCCAGGTTGATATGCAAATGGCAGATCAACTTGGGGCTGTTGCTTTCACACTGATCCAGCTTTTGGGAATCACTGGAGTGATGTCTCAGGTGACATGGCAAGTTTTTATCATTTTTATCCCTGTGATTTCTATCTGCATCTGGTATCAGGTAATCATCAATTTTCTCTTCAAATTCATATTTAATATCTACCAATACATCATTTACTGTCCTTGTGTTTCTTATGGTGCCATTTTTCTCCAACAGAGTCAATTTTTTCTTTTCTTTTTTTTATCTTAAGAAAAAAACAAGTTTTAGTGGCATGCAATTAGATTTAACCTCACTTTTATTTTGATTTGCAATTTTCTATGTTTATTGTGCATAAAAAGAGTAGTTCTCATAATCTTCTTCATCCTTATTTTTGGTTGAAAAAACAATTATGCAGCAATATTATATTCCTTCTGCAAGAGAACTTTCACGATTAGTTGGAGTGTCTAGAGCTCCAGTTTTCCAGCATTTTGCTGAAACCATATCAGGATCAACTACTATCAGGAGCTTTGATCAGCAATCAAGATTCCAAGAAACAAATATGAAACTAATGGATGCATATTGCAGGCCTAAATTTCATATTGTTGGTGCAATAGAATGGCTTTGCTTTCGACTGGATATGTGTTCTTCTATAACATTTGCAACATCATTGGTTTTCTTAATTTCTTTTTCAGAGAGATTCAATCCAGGTAAGTTGATCTTATCTTGTATTTTATTTATTATTCTTTCTTCTCATTGACAACAAATTTTGATTGACCAATCAGATACACATAATTTGTTTGGCTTTTCCATTTTTAAAGCCATTGCAGGTTTAGCCGTGATGTATGGACTCAACCTGAACATGTTACAAACTAAGTTAATATGGAAAATATGCAAATCAGAGAGCATGATTATATCAGTAGAAAGAATACTGCAATACATGTCTATTCCTAGTGAGCATCCTCTTGTAATGCGAGAAAATCGACCAGACCATTCTTGGCCATCACATGGAGAAGTTGCTATTGACAAGCTGCAGGTATTTTAAATTGATTTCACAGTTTCATATAGCATTAACATATCATGTTGGTAATGAACAATATGATGTAGGTCCGGTACGCTCCACAAATGCCACTTGTGCTGCAAGGTCTCACATGTAGTTTTCCTGGACGGAAGAAAACTGGTATTGTTGGGAGAACAGGCAGTGGAAAATCAACTCTCATTCAAACCCTCTTTCGAATTGTTGAACCTGCAGCTGGTCAAATTTTAATTGATGGTCTAAATATCTCATCAATTGGACTGCATGATTTGCGGTCAAGACTGAGCATTATTCCTCAGGATCCAACCATGTTTGAAGGGACTGTACGCACTAACCTGGACCCACTCGAAGAGCATACAAATGAGCAAATTTGGGAGGTAGTCTTTTTTCCCATTCTTCCCTGGATGAAAAATTTAGTATAGTTTAGTATATGTCATATGCTGATGTATGTTTTCAAAGAGCTGGTTCCAGGCTCTAGATAAGTGCCAACTTGGAGATGAAATTAGAAAGAAAGAAAAAATGCTGGACTCTACAGGTTTGTCTTTCTACCTGCGCAAACTATTTGTTGACCAGGGTGCAATTTACATGTGTGGATTGTTGTGGTGGTGCTGCAGTTTCTGAGAATGGAGATAATTGGAGTATTGGTCAGAGGCAGCTGGTCTGTCTCGGGCGAGTGCTACTCAAGAGGAGTAAAGTGTTGATTCTTGATGAAGCTACTGCATCGGTTGATACGGCTACTGATAATTTAATTCAGCAAACTATTAGGCAAGACTTCTCTGACTGTACGGTTATAACCATTGCACATCGGATAACTTCTGTTCTTGATAGTGATATGGTTCTGCTTTTAAGTCATGGTAAGTATTTGTGTATGGCAGTAAGATTTAACAGTCCTGAAGATTCTGTTTTCTTGATAATTTTGAGAAATTGCTCTGCAGGACATATTGAGGAATATGATTCTCCAGCAAAATTGTTAAAGAACAAGTCGTCTTCATTTGCACAACTTGTAGCAGAGTACACGATGAGGTCCAATACCAGTTCTTGTAATTAAACAAAAGGCAACTTTAAAAAAAATATGTGTCTGAGCCCGGGTTCGAACCGGGGACCTCTAGTGTGTGAGACTAGCGTGATAACCAACTACACCACCCAGACCTTTTGAGCTAAGCTGGAGATTAAAAATAAATATCTAAACTGTTTAGTTATCATTTCCCCAATCCTTCTCTGTGATATCCAAAAAACAGATATATATTGAATGTGAAATAATAAATCATGCCACTCATACCATTTAATAAAAATATCATGAATTGCAATTGAAAATGAAGTTAAAAATTTAAAAAAAAAATCATCCTTTTTTTTTGAGATATTACCTTAAAGGTAAAATGTATTTCTATATTAAAATACTTTTACTTTTTTTTTTTAAACTTAATTTTGTTGTCTTGTAGGTACAAAATATTTTAAAACTGACTAATTTTTGTTTATTGATATTAAACTATGATTATAAGTATGAATCTTAATACAATGACATTTAACTTTTATATTTTTAGTTGGCCCTAAAATATCTTATTTTTTTAAAAAAAAATGTATCTAATGATTGAATAAATTAAAAAACTAATAGTAAAATTAAAACTTTAAATGTCCTTCAAATATAAATTATAAGATTATACATTTATAAACTTCAAAATATGATATTTAAAAACTTATTTTTTACTAAATGAATAATAATTTGACCATATTATCAATTAAAAAAAATAAAAACAATTAGTAGTATTCCATTCCTATAATATAGATAATATGAAAACAAATATACGTAATTAAAAAAATTATTTTTATTAATTACATTCCATATTTTGGGATTTTTTGTAAGTATAAAAATTTTTTATTATTAGTATATTTAAAAATTAAAATTTAATATGTGCAACTTTAATTTGGTAGACTAATGGATTTTTTCTCAATTTTTATTTTTAAAATTTTGATCAGTGTGACATGATTTAAAAGTAATGAAATAGTTTTTTATTTGCAATTCCAAGGGAATAAAAAAAATAGAAATTCACGTAAAATTAATAAAAATGTCAAAATAAAGTGAAATGGCAAAAGTTCATAAGGTTTTGAATATTCTGATTTATAGTAAATATTATAAAAAAAATTGAAATAGTAATACTAATACATAAAATGTAAAAATAATTTTACTTAACGTATTTTTTGTAGTGAAAAAGTAGAATTTTTAAAATCCTTATCTTTATAATAAAAAAATTATCAATATTTTCTAAAAGAAATATATATCAGTATGAAAAAAAAAAAAAATCAAGAGCTTAAACAAGGAAACTCGATAAATTCAATGAAAACTAAAAATGGATTCTTCTATAATTTTCCAACAAAATAGAACATTTTCTATAATAGCAAAGGGCACATCAGTCATTTAATATCAACGGCCACAGTGCCACTTGCTCGTGCAGAATCGCCTCCTCTCCTTCACCAACTCTCAAGGCTGCTAAAAGAAAAACCTTCAGAACTCACCACCAAAGCGAATCATGTTATTCAATGAATTTATAAAAATCGTGTACACCGCTTCAGCCCTCAATTTTGACCTCGTAAATTCCCTTCTTCACTTCCTTTACTTTGGTCTAGTTTCTCTCCTCCAAATCCAATTTTGACTCCTACATACAGTTCCTGTGCATACCCCAGTTACTAGTGAGACCAGTTTTAATCATTTCAATTGTAGTGCTACTCGGAGGTCTGAAATTAGTTCATCCATTTCCTTTTCTAATTCCCATAAGATTTTATTTGAGTGAAATTTTGGATTCTAAGTGAGGTTCACTAATGGAAATTGTTTGCGAGTCTTCAATTCTGGGGCGTTCCGTGTTTGTTTCTGGAATAAAATCCTCTCGCCTATTGCATTATAACCGAGTGAAGTTTTCTCAAAAGAATTTTCAATTCTTATCTCGTGTTTCATCAAATTTTGCCAATCCTTATAATTTTAGACCACCTTGTATTTCAGCTTCTCATAGAATCAGCGGCTCTGACCCTACAGCTCGCTCAAAATCATTAATCACAGTTAATGCTGATCTGGGTATTGAAGAAAATGCATCTATGGGTGTGGATTTAGAGTTAATAAGATTGTTAGTCAAACGTGCAGTTCTTTTGGGTGCAATGGTGTGTGGGATTTTGGTGTTTGGTTGCAGAAGAGTGTTTGCTACTGAAGGTGTGGTGAATGCCGGGTATGGTGTTATTGGGCAGAGCATATTATTATTGAGGAGTGCATGGCCTAAGCTTTCTCAGCTCCTGAGAGTTTTCAAGGAGCAGGGTTTGATATTGGCTGCTCTTCTGGGTTTGTCAGCATTTTTTTCTATGGCTGAGACTTCCATAACTACGCTGTGGCCATGGAAGGTATGGATTTCCGGCTCAAACAATTGGGTGAATTTTGCTTTTAGTGAATATTTTCTGTGAATTTGTCTGTTCTTGTATATGGTGACTACTCATCGTGTGCTTCTGATATTGAGAACATCGGGGTTAACACTTATGCACATAATGTAAAAAAGCTAATCCACCTAAGTAGCGGGAGGATTGGCTATTCCACAAACAACATTGGTCATTTTGACACTATTCATTGAGCTAATTTAGTATTTTGGTTGATATTATGAGTAATATGGATGATACTTTTGCGGGTCTGAGATTGTTCCATCATTTTGACAAAGGAGAAAAAAGAGACAACGAAATCAGTGTGATATAGGTGGTAAACAAAAAGACGTTGCAATTAACCTGCAACGTGCCATTGTTTGATAAATGTACAGTGAAGGAAAGGATGGAGACTGTATAACTATCGTGTTGGAGGCTTGGAGCATATAATTTTTATTTCACATTAATCACCGCATTTGAAAATTGTTCTCACAGAATATTGTGTGTTGAATCCAGGATGATGTTTTGTTAGATTCAAACTGTAACACATAAAAATGGAGTTTACAGCTACAAAATTTTATTAGGAGCGTCGCTTTTTATGCATTAACTCTCAAACACTTACTGAGCTTTAAGCTTTGCTCTTACATCCTTTTAAGCCTACTAAATTCCACGTAAGATAGCTTTTAATAGTAATACCTGATGTTTAACAAATTCTGCTGGGTGCTAATGTTCTCATTTGCTACCTATCTCTCTCTCTCTCTCTCTCTCTCTCAATACCTGATGTTTTAACAAATTTCTGCTGCGGGTGCTAATGCTTCTCATTTGCTACCTATCTTCTCTTCCTCTCTCTCTCTCTCTCTCTCTCTTCTCTCTTTTATATATATTATATATATATATATATTATATGTTTGACAATCTTCTATGATTTAATTAGTCATCCAACATATATATGTGACAATTCTTCTATGATTTAATTAGTCATCCAACATAAACCTATCAGGTCCGCGAGCTTGCTGAAAAAGAACCTGATGATGGTGTCTTCAAAATGCTTCGTAGTGATGTCACTCGGTTTCTGACAACTATTCTTATTGGCACAACGTACTGCTCTTCTAATCACCGATACTGTAGTTGATTCCATCTTTCTGCTTTAGTGAAAAAGCCAGTTCTTATTCTATATTCTATCTATATATGTAGTGTGGTTAATATTGGGGCAACTGCATTAGTCACAGAGGCAGCCACAGCAATATTTGGTGAAGCTGGTGTTAGTGCAGCCACTGGAGTAATGACTGTATGTATAAATTTCCTTTCTGTTGCTGTGTTTGCATGTGCATTCGTTAATTAATGTTGAATTAGGTAGAAACGCTCAAGGATGAAAATGCTCAAGGATGAAAGGACCTTCTTGATATCCACTGAGTCATGAGGGTTATTGTCGTGTATTGGTCCAGCATAATGGTCAGCAGCTCTCTCCTATTTGGAACCCAAGATGGACAAATTAAAAAATAATTTTACTTGGTTGTTTTTTAAGTTTCTTTGCCTTTATGAGGTAAAGAGTAGATGAATGAGAAGAAATTTTACAGTTCTTCAAGCAAGAAAATCAACCTTGTTCTAGGTGAATATAGGACTTCACTATGTAACAATTTTGCTTCCTCAGAACTCTATGTTTGCATCTGTCAGCATATTGCTCTATAATATAATTATGTAAGGCAGCTCTAGAATGAAATAATGTTGATGAGATCTTTTCAAGTCCTTAATTTTAGAGGCATAATAAATGAGATGTTGACGAGGTTAGAAATAGATGTATAGCTTGTTCTTTGACCTTTTTCTCATATCAAACACATAATATTTGTTCTATTCAAAAATTTTCTTTTAACCAATTACCTTTTTGTTATTCCCTAATGTTTCTAGGTTGCAATATTACTCCTCACTGAGATCACTCCTAAAAGTTTGGCTGTTCACAATGCCACAGAGGTTGCTAGGTTTGTGGTAAGTGCACATGTATTCGGTGCACTTGTTTGCTAATGTTAACTAATGTGTTTGGTTTGTATTCTGTAGTGCGTTAGCCAATCTACCTGCTACTTACTAATGTTGTTTGTAATGCCTTTAGGCGAGGCCAGTTGCATGGCTTTCCTTAGTCTTGTATCCTGTGGGAAGAGTTTTCACATACCTGTCGATGGGAATGCTAAAGTTGCTTGGTTTGAAAGGGAGAAGGTTGATCAACCCTAAACTTCTCAAATCTTTTCTATAACTTCTGCTTTTTACATGGAACCTAGGATTACTTATCATGTTATTTTTTGTTGACGGTCTCTTTTTATTTTCTGAATTTTGGCTCGTTCATTTCAAGATTGTTAGAACTGTTTTCTGCTTTTTGAGTGAGAATTTTGGAAAATATGCTAGTAGAATATTTTTCTGTAACAGTTTTTGACATGCAAAAAAGTTTTATGGATTAACCATTGTCTTATACTAGTTTGGCCACTTAAAAATGTATCCAAATTTGATTCTTTAATGAGTTGCAATAACACTATACAATTGTGATTTGGAATGTAATTTAATTATAATTATAACTTCCTTCATGTTTACCCATGTTTCAAACTGTATGTTGCGATTTTAGTTATTTTTTCTCTTAATGCTCTAGTCATGGAGGGTGGATTTGGTGCTGGTTTTTGAAGCTTTTGAAAGTTGCTTTCATTGAATGCTTTTTGAATTAGTATTTCCTTATTTCTTAACATCTTTGGCGTATTCTTTGTTGCTAGTGAACCATATGTCACTGAAGATGAATTGAAGTTGATGTTGCGAGGGGCAGAACTGAGTGGGGCGATAGAGGAGGAAGAACAAGTAATATAACTATAATCTAGTTATGGTTTTGCTAAGGCTTTTTTTAAAAATAAATATGAGTACTTTGACGCATTTTCTTCATGCTAGTAGTGAATTACATATCTATATCTTGTTTTTTTATTTGCTATTTCTGAGACAAAAAAATTATTCCAAACATGAAAGACTGCTCAAAGAATGTGCACATCAACGAGAGAGAGAGAGAGAGACAGAGAGAGAGAGACCCTTGGTATCAGGCATGCAAGAAAAATAACTAGTATCCGGATAATCTTTTGGATATAGCAAAAATAATGAAAACAAAATGCAAGTTAACAATATTAGTCCCTTGGTGAGAGAGACATGTTATTAATTTATTATGAGGAACTCTTGAACAGGCATGAAAAAATAATAACTAGTATGAACAAGTAATCTTTTTATATAGTGGAAATAGAGAAAAATGCTTGACATTTTTTCTTTTGAACATTAACCCCGAGATAAGCCGGTGGAAGTCAACTTTCTTGGAAAGATAATCTCACATGAGACTTCCTCTGTTATATGAATATCTCTTGCTATTGAATTTTCTATCTATCATCACCAAGGCTTTGCATTTTGCAAAAATCTGTAGTTATGATAGACTTTCCTTGCCTATATCATTACATTTAAACCTCTCTAGCAAACTGTTTGAATGTTGGAAGTGTGTTCCTCTCCTACATATTGTGGTTAAGGTGCTTTTGTTGTTCCTAATCTGTAACAGGACATGATTGAGAATGTGCTAGAGATCAAGGATACACATGTTAGAGAGGTGATGACGCCTCTTGTTGATGTAGTTGCAATTGATGCCAGTTCAACTCTTGTTGATTTTCATGAGTTGTGGGTGACTCATCAATATTCAAGGTAAGTTACTCTATAATACTTCATGCTTTAAGTATTTCTTTGAGCAATGTGCTAAGAATGTGTTTTGGACCTGTTTATAGGGTTCCTGTTTTTGAGCAGCGTGTGGACAATATAATGGGTATTGCATATGCAATGGATCTGATAGATTATGTTCAGAAGGTCTGACAATTTCTACTCCTATACCCCTCTCTTTGAAATCACTAGAACTTTGTTTATTGATTGCATTCAACAATCTCATAGTGTGCAGAATTATAATCTGTTTGATTTTGAAGGGCGAGCTACTAGAAAGTACAACTGTAGGAGACATGGCTCATAAACCTGCATACTTTGTACCTGGTAATAATTTTGTTCTGTAAACTACATTTGGTAGAATTTTTAGTGGTATTCTTTGTACAAGATTGTACTTTTTACAAGGCTCAGATTTATACTATTACCCATTGATTCAATTAGGACAATTTAGGTAGTTGCTCAGGTGCTGTCTGTCTTGCTGAGCATCAGCAGGTATAGACATCCCTGTCTCATCAATATCTTAGTGACTTCAAAGTCAATGAAATAGTGCATCTTTTGAAGTGCATTTTTTCTTTGAAATGTTGCCTTATTCCTTATGGTCTCTTTGCTTTATATTTCCCTTTGATGTTGGATCAGCTATCTGATGGCCCTTGCTAAAAGAAAGTTTTTGGGGGGGGTGGGGTCTGGCCTTGACATTGTTGCTTGGTGTAAAAAAATCGAGGAAAAAAGTAATTTAACATAATATGACATGGTCTTGAAATTGCTATTAAACTTTTTACTGTGTAAATTTTGTTCAAGTAGACAATTTGTATGAGATAATATGGTTTTATAATATGGACTCCCTCTCTCAGTTTCTTAAAATTTCATTTATTGTTATGGAACAAAATGACTTCTGCTTGATGGGCTACCCAAAATTTAAAGAATGTGTTAGGCAAGGTTGAAGATGGAGCTTTTTCTTGCTAAAGTGATTCTAGATGTCTACATCTCTAATTCTCTATAATGTCACTGAAATGTCTGTCTCTCTCTCTCTCTCTCTGAATTTATGTGATGATTTTTAATGATTTTGTTTATAAGCTTTAGTGAATATAACTAGTGCTCTTGCAGATTCAATGTCAGTCTGGAATCTTTTGAGAGAGTTCCGCATCCGGAAGGTTCACATGGCAGTTGTTCTTAACGAATATGGTGGAACTATTGGGGTGTGTACAAACATAACCAATCCTCCTAATTCAAAACTGTATTTACATTCAATGTTTGATTGTAGAAAAGTTCATGGCTGACACATAGTGTGCTGTTTGCTGTTTCAACCTGGTTTTAGTAATTACTAGGCGCTTTAATTTTTTTTTTTTTTTTTTTTTTTTTATAGTGTGCTGTTGCTTGTTTCAAACCTGCGTTTAGTAATTACTAGCGCTTTATTTTTTTTTTTTTTTTTTTTTTTTTTTTTTGAGCATTCTTATTAATTAAAAAATGGAAATTATTCATATTAGTTGTGAATGCAGTATTACAGAAAATATGCTCCATATTAGGTACCTGTATAACTAAATGAAGCAACAGCATGGAAAATGTATGGATATTTAAACACCAAATTTCATTGTTTAGAATGTTATATACTACCAATATCGAAAACCTGGAAGCCATAGTTTTGCCAGATGGCAATATGATTTTATACTGCCAGGTGGACCCAAAATAGAAGGCAATGTATTCTGTCCGAAATTTCAGATCATTGATCAAATGGGTTTTGGTACCTGATGTGATGTCAACATATTATGTCCAACTCAACAATTTTAGGGGACGCAAGTTTCATATTGATGTCAATAACAAACATGGCAAACAAGATAGAGTCTCTTGTAGTAAAGCACTCATTTGAACTCCAAAAACTTCCATTATTATTTTCTGCATTTGAAGTTTAAATCAAGTGTAAACGTTTTGATACCTTATTATACTCATTATGTTATTTAATGGTTCATGCTACCTACCTAATCTTTATTCTGTCATTTGTTTGGAAAAAGCAGATAGTGACCTTGGAAGATGTCGTTGAGGAGCTCGTTGGTGAAATCTTTGATGAAAATGATTCGAAAGTAAAGATGAACTAAAATTTTATGCATTTTTAATCTCTTCGTTTGATGTTGTGCATGTGTACTCTCTCTCCAATTATCTTCCCATGGTTGTGTTTATTTATTTGTGATGTAAACTACTTCTCTCCACTTCATATTGTGATGGTTGTGAAGTTTGGTGCAACTCTAAATTGTCACAACTTCACTATAAACTTGCATTAATATTATATTTTTTGTAAGTAGTTGGATGGCTATAGTTAGTTCAGTGTATATGTTATCCTTCTTTCTTTTGAATGTTACTGGACTTGACATCAATCTGGACTGTTAATACTAGTAGAGTCATTAGGAACTAGTTGGCATATACAGTTGAGAACTAGAACAAGATTATGTTCCATTTTTCTCCAGATAACATATTGCAAGCTAGGAACCCTATTAAATAATGTACTGTGGTTCTGCCTATGCGCATGCAGGGGTGTGTGTGTGTGTGTGTGTGTGTGTTTGTGTTGTTTGTGTGTGTTTGTGTTGTGTGTGTGTGTGTTTGTGTTGTGTGTGTGTGCGTGTGTGTGTGTATACTATCTACTTGTTTACACTGTAGTTTTCATTGTCCAAAGAGTTAAAAAAGAAATTGTGACTGTTTTTTGTAAGATCTTAACTAGCACTCCCTCCGTCCCATTTTAAATGTCATTTTAGAAATTTTTTTTTTTCTGTCCCACTTAATACGTTATTTTAGAAAATTAAGAAAATAGTAATATTTTTTTCTAACTTTAAGCTTGTCTCTTGGTATCTCTACTAAGTATTAATTATTTAGAGAATTGATAAAAAGGGTAATTTAGTTAGTTATAACTTTTTTTTCTAGAATTGAGGTTAGTTAATGGTTTTCTTAATCCTCTTGGCATTGTGGATTTGTCAGTAGACTCTAGTTGATGAAACAAGAGGCTTTGAATAAAGCTGTCTGGTTGGATGATTTAGCAGTTTTTTATAGCTTTGTTAGATATCAGCATGAGAAGTAATACTGTTTATTGTACAATAGGAGGAGATACAGAAGAAAACCGGCTACATTGTAATGCGAGCAGACGGAATATATGACATTGATGCTAATACATCTATTGATCAGCTCTCTGAAGACCTAAATGTCAAAATGCCTGAGGTATGATATATGTTCTCGGATTCAAGAATAGATACTCCATGTTTATCCTAATACTGGAGCATCCAAATAAATGATAATTGTTTGGTATGTAGAGCAGAAACTACAAATCCTGCACTATCTTACATTGTTTTGTAATTATTGGGTGGGAGAACTACACATGTTCTTGTAAATTGGCACATCAGTTTCTAGGACCATGCTTTTAAATGTATATTCTTCCTGCAACTTGTATGTTCATTTTACTGACTGAATTTTGTGCAAAATTTCTTTCTTAGGCAATCTATTTGTTCCTATTATTGGTAAACGTTACTCAAATTGATGTTCTCTTATTTGCCTCATCTAGGATTTTTCAGATATTTCTAGTAAGATGCTAATCATCTGGAATGAGGATTATATCAGTTGTTCATGATTAGTTGACTGCATTTTATATGTTTTCAACTGAACTAGTGATCGTTTCTCATTTGAAAGGAATGAGGATTATGAATTGATCACACGTATATGTATATATATGATCTTTTTTGGTACAAAGATCATCAACCCTTTTTTCGTCACATAAAATAACATCAACATTAATAACTTCAACCTTGTGTGCAATAAACTGATCAGACATAAGGGACAGTTAATTCTGAAAACTGTATTCTCAATAACATTCTCTTTCCACTCTGTTTTACAGGGTCATCAATATGAGACGGTATCAGGTTTTGTATGTGAGGCATTTGGATACATTCCAAGGACAGGTGAGAGCATCAAAGTGATACTTGAAAAGGAAAATCAAGAAGAGGATGATGAAGAAACTGAAGGCAAGTCTGAGCGACAAGATAAGAATGATAAGCATCAGATATATAAACTTGAGGTATATTTATCTTGCTAGTTTTCCTTTTTCTGGAAACTTCTCTGCACAAATGATGGCCACAAAGTTGTTCAATCTATGCATGCACTATGAAAAGAACTCTCTCTCACTATATGTATATGGATTGCATGTGTATATTTTGGGGCAGGGGGGTGGGTGTGGGTGTCTATGTAAAGCTTTATTATGTTCACTGCTGCAAAGAATCCTGCACTGGTGGAATTCAGTAAGAAAAGGTTTTCATAAGCCAAGCCCCATTAACTTTGGATCCAAGCAATTTAGGTCCATTTTCCTAGTGTTACAAGGTCAAGAAGGATCCTAGGCCTTATGCATTGATCAAGAAGGATACTAGGCCTTATGCTTTGATCAAGAAGGATGCTAGGCCTTATGCTTTGATCAAGAAGGATGCTAGGCCTTAAGTGATGATCAACATCAATTTCATTGTTTCACAAGTCTTGCAATGATATTGTAGCTTGATATTTTAAACCAGAATATTGCAGAAAAAGGTAAAATTATGATATCTCGGTGGAGTTGGAATTAACAGACACTTAAAATGTCAAATTCTGTTTATTCCAGTGCAAGTTGTTTGATAAAACCTGTTTGCTCCACAGTAGAAGGATGCAATCCATTATTATACTATGTTCAACTAACTTGTACAGAGCATTGCAACTGCTTCCCTATTCACAGTAATGTTGGCTTCTTCATTGTGTCACAAGGACTTCTAGAAAGTTAGATCATGAATGGAATAGAAGGGAGGAAAGGGATTCATGTAGCCAACTTTATTTGGGACCATGATGTAGCTGAGCTGAGCTAATATATAGCAAGGTCAAGCCTTTTCATGGACAAAAGTTAATGTTTCTCTCATGAGCATGCTTTTTTTGTGTTTCGCTTTAGCCTATGATAAATCCCGCAGGCCAGTGAGGCACAATGTTTACGACACAAACTACGCACATGAAAATTTTCATAGTATTAACAATGAATCATTTTTCTTCAGCCTAACTGTTACTATGTTAATTTGTTAGAGTTGTTGCTCATCTCATTTGTCAATCTAACAGAACTTAAGGTCTACAATGGCTCTATTATTGTGTGGTTAAATGTTACAATCATTATCTGTGATATTCTATCCTTGGTGCAGATATTAGCTGGAAATGCCAGAAAAGTTAGTGCTGTTCGATTTGAACGAATAAACAATGATCACGTAAAAGAAGTAACTCGTGTGATTCCCAGAATCATGAAGAAGAAGATATGGAGCAGTAATGAAGAGTCTGATGGTTCTGATTATGACGAGGATTCATTCCAAAAGAGACCAGAGCATGGTCTTTCTGATTCCAATGTAATTGCTGAACATGAAGATGACAATGAGAGTCCTGATAGACAATAGTTACATCTCCCTTTCTTTCTCTCCTTCCCTCTCTCAATTTTTACAGCTCCATGAAAGCAGTAAAAAGACTTGGAAAAAGAACAAAGGAACTAGAATGCTCAAGATACATTGTAAAAATTTTTTCACAGATGAAGTGAGGTATCAACGTCTGATTCATCAAAGTTATTTATGTTGTGCATTACAGTATTTTTGGACCATAGATTCACCAAATTTGGAGTCTCATTGACCGGTAGATCTGTATACTTGTTCTCCATATTCGGCTGGACATACAAAGAGCCTTGAAGTGGTTGCCCAGGTGAAAGTGTCAATTCAGAGTGAAAAAACGGCCTGGATGGCTCATAATCTTTAGCTGATTGGACTTGTTCTGCTTCAGAGAATAGCCTTAAGAGCTCCCTCTGCTGCCTCATCTCCTTTGCTTTCTCTAACTGTCTAAACCTTTCCTGCAGAAGGGCAATGGAGGAGTGGATGACGGTGGGATCGCAGTTTTGCCTACCCATTTGATCAAGAACTGGTTATCTGTTAATGAGAGTGATAGAAGTAGTCTTTGGTAATGGTAAGTCCTTGAATTTCTGTATTCCTATATATAGCTATATATATATAGGGTATGTGTATGTGGTGCAATTCAATATGAGCTTCTATTATAGATTCTGAATGATGTATAAGGAAAAGTGGAATCGGCAGCCAAGTCGCTAAGTCCAAGAAGGCAAAGTTGAGTAGCTAACCTAAGAAATCTGGGTTGATTTATATGAAGAGAGGCTAAAGGACCTCATGAGGATAAAAAGGCAGGAAAGAAAATCCAATAAGAATGGAATTTAGTATTTGGAAGGGTTTTTAAAGAGGAATAAAAGAATAGGTTATGCTCTGTCGGGTTGTCTCCATGGGCTGCTATAGCTTTGGAGAAGATGTGCCTCATTTGGTGGGATCTTTTTATTATTTTTAGCTTTGAACATTCTCTTTTCACCTTTCTCAAGTGCAATAAGAAAGTAGAAAGTAAAGCTATGAAGACAGGACAAGGATTGCAACAGGGAATAACTTTTGAAATTGATGTTATTTTATTTTTATTTTTATTTATTTTATTTTATTTTTTTGGATTGATTGAATCATTCCATAGAAAAGAGAGAAAGTGAACCCACTAAAGGACTCCCTCTCCCTCCCCATTTTTTCTGTTTTGTCTTTGAGTTATTGGAAGGAAGTGGCATGGAGAGGTAAAAGAAGAGTTGGAGATGTTAGATACATTTTATGGCTGGTTTTTGTTGGATGGTTGTGTATGGCAAATGGCACCCACTATCTGTTACTTTCAGTTTGAACTACCCATTAGGCGCGTGCTTCAAAGGGTACCTACCCTACATCTAGGAACGTGTCATCACCTTCCTGCCTCTGCTCTGATAATAAAAGTACACTGGGTCCTTTCTTTCCATAACAAACAAGAGTTTTGACAGACACACAGACATTCCCTCCATCAATTATTAATCCCTAAGTTGTGAAGCACAATGGTTTCTCTTTTTTTGGTTTTTATTTTTATTTTTTTAATTTTTCTAAGAAAAAGATTTGGTCACTAATCTCAATTTTGTTGGATGAAAGTGAAAAGGTATACTTAGGATATTCATCTCCTTTTTCTATGCTATTGTTCTAGTAATTGGTGATTAATAGTTTATCTCTTAATGTAAAAGATTAAAAGTTTAAAAACTTTAATAGTGTTGGACATTAAATACATTAATAGTTCGATGGTCTGAGGATCTATTTCATACTATTGGAGCTTATCAATTGACACGCTAATAATTTTCATCCTTGCGACTATTTGGTCGCCCTAATTATATCCTTGAACATCGTATTTACTTGGCTTTAAATATTTATTTATTTATTTATTTTAACTAAAATCAAATTATAGTTCGATTTTTACAAAGCCTAATAAATTTCTAGGACAAATTCAATTTCTTTTTTTTTTTTTTTTTTTTTTTTTTTTTTTTTTATTTTTTTTTTTTTTTTTTTTTTTTTTTTTTTGGGGAAATCAGGACCAATTCAAATTCAAATTAACAAGGCAAATAATTGTAGTTGCAAGTAACAAGGTTAACTGTTTTCATATTCACTATATAAGTAAATTTCAAGAGGAAGAAGCTTGAAATACTTTGTCTTCACCCTCCATGGATTTTAGCATGGTTGGCCATAAATGCTCATTTTGCTTTGTAACGTTCAAAAAAATTAGAATACCAAATCCAGAATGGTAGAAGCAAAACTTTCTCATTAGCTCCAAACACACATAAGTAGCTATGACAACATCCAGCGATCTGAGCCCTACAATGATCATCAACATCAAAGGAGGACCCACCCATTCCATGATTATCAACTTAGCCAGACACACAGATAAGATATGTTGAAGTACTGTTCTTCACGTGTCAAAGGAAATTATTAACTATTCAACGTTCAAAATAAAAGATTCTGCACTCAAAATTTAAAATGGGGAAGTTGTTTGATCTTTTTTCTATTGCTTGCTTTTATTTAGGATTACATCCAATGTATATATGACCTAAATCTTTACTTGTAACTATAGCAATTGAAGGAGGGAAGAGAGTGATAGTAAAACCAACTATAATGTCAGGAGCTTAAAACCTGAAGTTACGATTGTTGAGAAGATTTTACTTGAATAGTCTGAGCGTGGAGATATATATGCTGACCCGGAATTTTTTTTTTCAAAGTTAGAGCTTAATTATCTTTTCTTATATATCCTTCCTTTGAAAATTTAATCTCTCTTATGCCTCTCATTTTTATTAATTACAGTTTAATCAGCAGGAATCTTGATAATTATTGAAAACATCAGCAGAAATTTGAGAACTATTTGAAGAAGAACCTTGCCTGTATGTTTTATATATATAGTCAAAATTCAATATTATCCAAAAATATAAAAACAATCAGAAGTTTATATATAAAACCAAGCAACTTTTCATTAACTATCAGGTGTTGGAACTCATGAATATATCGATTATAATTTTTAATTAATTGACCTTTTTATTATTTGTCATACATGTCAATCCATCTATCCCTATGATTGGAAACTATATATGAACATTGTTCATTGGTTAGACTAATATATATTGTCTTGCCATGTTCCTTGTTTTTAATCATTGGGAAAGTTCCAAGCATTCAGGACGACTTATATATATGTCTGCATTGATCGATTACCATTATATCTTTTTGAGGTATGCATATGTATGACACCTTTAATTTGATCCATTAATCATAAGTTTATATATGTATATATATCATATGCTTAAATTGCATGCATGGAAAACATAAAGATGCATCCTTCAACTTGTTTGTTTGGAAATAAAAATTAGTGAGATTTATCTACATTTTGTTTATGTGGCCGTCTGTACATCAAATTAATTATAAACAATATTTTAGTTCAAATAAGAATATTTTTGAGCATATACTAAGAAAAAATTAATATTTTTTTATTTTTTTTATTTTTTGCTCGGTGTATGGGATCATCCATATATCATTATATGGTGCATGCAAGAAATTTCCATGAAGAATTAAGTTGGTTGAGAATATCTTTGACCAAAACAAATAATAAAAAAGATGAAATCATTTAATACTTTGATTTTCTTTATTTAATTTCTTTTCACTATTTAGTAATAAATTTATTTATTCTATTAAATTAGTTAATAGTTTGATTAATAATTAAGTATTCAGTCATGAGTATAAAGTCACTTTAAATAATTAATTTTATATTTATTTCGTGAGTTTTAAAATCAACTAGTGTGACTTAAATTACATTAAAGTTAATTATTTGACTTTTTTAACTTAAAAATAAATTATTAAAAAAAATTAATAGTAAGAATTGAGAAATAAATATAGTGAAAAATAAAATAATGTTAAAAATAATAAGCTTATATTTTAACATGTTTTGAGCACTCCATGGGTTACACAAAAACAACCAAACAGTCACATAATTTATGTCAAAGAATTTTCAGATATTTTTAGTAATAAAACAAACATGCTTAATTAATTCCTCTTAGATAAAAAAAAAACCTTTTAAATAATCATCAAATGCAGAGTTGCATTTTTCTTTTTTTCTTTTTTTTTTTTTTTTGCATTTTTTTCTTTTTGATTCTTTTTTTTTTTTTTTTTATTTTTTTCTTTTTTTTTTTTTTTTATCTACTGCAAAATATGTACCAGTTGACTGTCATATACTAGGGATGAGTTGCCAATTTGGTTGGCCATTTACATAAAATAAATCAATAATTGATATTTATATTGATTTAAGTTTTTAACGAAATCTTAATATATTATATTAAAAAAAATTAACAATAATAAAGGATTTGTAGAATCTGAAGAGAAGCAATGAACTCTCAACACACGATAGGAAGCTAATTAGCTAATTAAATGAGCATGTGATTGCCAAGTTGGTTTTATTGACTTAATCCTAAATAATTATACTAAACTTTGTTAATTACTTTAATAAACATTTGACTTAAAAGAAGTAAATGTTTACTGTTAAGTTCAAAGTCTAAGCAAGAAATTAAAATTCTTTTTAGTTCTTGTATATGTGTTGAACCCATAGAAAGTGGATCAAATACAATTTTTTTTTTTTTTTTTTTTTTAAGAGGCATCAATTACAACTTAATTTTTTTTTTTTTTTTTTTTTTTTTGAGAAGAGGATCAAATACAACTTAATTAATTAATTTCACTATAATTCCATGCAATGCACCCTCTAATTTTGACTTTCGATCTCTTTGTACCTATAAATAGGCATATTGTTTCATTTTCTTGTTATTCACTAATCGAAATCAACATTTTTCAGTTTCATACTTTAGAAAGTAATGAAGGTAAGTCACTAACTTTTCATATATATATATATATATTGAAGGACAGCTTGAATTTAATCTCTAATTTGTGATTAATCATAATTAACATGATTTTATGATTTAATGCTACAGAAAAAGATAGTGATCGAGATATCAACTTGCTGCGAGAAATGCAGAGTTAAGGCTATGAAAACAGCTGCGGTAGCAGATGGTGAGTTTCATGATAAAATTTATTAATTTCATATTTTTCATTTTGCAAATAAATTGAAGATAAAGGTTTGAGCGTCAATCTAATTATTACAGGAAATAAAAAATAAAATAAAATGTGATATTTTTCAGGTGTGATTTCGGTGGCATTTGAAGGAAGTGACAGAGAAAAATTGATAGTGATCGGAGAGAGGGTTGATGCAGCCTGCTTGACAAGGGCTCTGCGAAAGAAGGTGAGTTATGCAAATTTAGTATTAGTAGAAGAGGTTAAGCCGCCGGAGGAGAAAAAGCCTGATAAGCCAGAAGAGAAAAATCCTGATAATCCTTGCAATTGTTGTCATGGAAGACCTAATTGTGAATTGGTTAATGTGATTGTTGATCCAAATCCATCTACTTGCACTATCATGTAGATATATATTACCGGCTTTGATTAAATTGAAATGTGTCTTCTTACCATTTCTTGTAATATCTAATTTTTTTCCTTTTAATTATTTTTATTTTCTCACGTCGAATTACTTTTTTAAAAAAAAAACAAATTTCTTTAAATAAAAATAATGATGTGGTTTTTTTTTTTTTTTTACCATTTTTATAGAGCGTAATACTTAGAAATTATATGTAATAGTCCTCCACTTTTTTTTCTTCTTAATTTTATAGAGATGAAGTTTTGTGAACTCTACTCTAGATTTATTTTTTTTTTAATGCATATAAACTTAAGGAGGGCTAAAATCTATATAGATTTCAAATAGCACATGTATTCCTAAAACTTCCCAGCTTAGATGGGGAATTTGTTTGGTTGACTTTGAAATTAGAGAGGAAAAAAAATTGAATGTCTAACTTTTAAAAATTTTGTTTTTAAATAATTAAGAATTGTGTTTAAATTTTATATGGAAATACTTAACCACACCAATATATATTTTATATGGAAATACTTAACCACACCAATATATAGTAGTTATATTATTATATTATATATAAATATTACTATATATATATATATATATAATATATATATATATTATATACAAAAATTGCATTCATTAGAAATTTAGAAAGAATCATATATTATTACAAAAATTGCATTCCATTAGAAATTCTAGAAAGAATCAAACGTAATTGATGGAATTTGAGTGATAAAATTTAAACGTTCCATAGATTTAATAATGTCTCGTGATATATTTAAAAAGAAAAATTTTGATAGCTCTTTTTGAAAATATAAACAAGCATTTATCACTATATAATGAGATGTTGATAGGAAAGAAAATGAAATTCAAATTTTCATTCTCTTTCTATAAATCACGTTTTTCAAAGGTAAAAGGATAATTTAAATTCAGTTAATGATCTGGATTATCATGGATTTGTCAAAAATTTTTATCTGATTGAGAGAAAAAAAAAAAAGGCCAAAATACATAGAATTTATAAATTCCTTGATAGCCTTAATTCCACCATTTTGAAAAGAGACAAATTCCATCTTTGAGGTGCTTTTTCTTAGTTTTGCATTCCATCAACATGAACGGAAACAAAATGTATGAAAACGGTGAGTTTTGACTCGCATTTTGCGGCAGGAAAAGTAAAAGTTGCTCTCAGTTGACCACCAAAAATGCTGCTTAATGCTTTTGCCAGAATTGGGCCAAATCTAGAGAATAAACTAGGAGAAAACAAAAGCAATGCATGGGCTTCGCCTAATGTTCCCTTAAAGCACAACTGGATTGCTACAACAAAGTCCACAATGAATCCACCGACCAGTTGGCAGAAACTGTAGACAAGAATAAGTTGTTTTGATTGCTGTTTTTAATTATTAATTTTTTACATAATTTTTCATAAAACATTAAAAGTTAAATGTTACATGAGTTAACTTTTTATAAAACGTCACTTTTATGTCTAAAAACAACTGCATTCAAAATGATAAAAGACACTTAAAAAGCTATCGTCGAACACAGCCAAAATCCTTTTTTTTTTTTTTTTTTTTTTTTTTTTTTTTTTTTCCTTTTTTTTTTTTTTTTTTTTTTTTTTTGTTTTTGTCTTATTTTTTTTTTTTTTTTTTTTTTTTTTTTTTTTGTCTTTGTTCTAATAAACAAATGTAGTACAGGCAGTAGGAAATGAAATCAAACTTAGAGATTAGGATTTTCGGGGGATGTATGGTTCGCTCTAATTTACAAATCTTTTCAGAAAATGAACCACACTTTCCCATATCAACATCACACATAAATGTATTTATATATATGTATATATATGTATCTGTTTATCCGTTAGTTCCAAATATCAACTTGCTTCTCTTTCTACAACAAAACAAGTTGCAAGATTGGTGTAATCCAATGCACATGCAAAAACCTGTCTGGGCTCCCAGATTTTATTGTGCTATATGTTCAAACGTCTACCCTACATAAATGTACCCAATTCATGTTAAATTAACAATTCATTTATGTGCCCTTTTTTCGTTTGTTGAATTTTCAATTTATGAAATTGCACTTGTAGAACATAAATTATTAAATAAAATAATAACAATTTTAGTAGATATAATTTTATAAATTCAAATATTCAATAATTATAATTTTATAAATCCACATAAAAATTGAAAATGTCAATAGATATTTTTTATAAAATTCAAAGTGTCGATTTATGTGTTAGGCTTCAATTGGGCTCATGGGCCGAATATAGGTAAATACTTAAACTTGATAAGCATTCAAATATATACACACGTGGCTGTTTCTTTGCTGCCCAGTTTTTTTGTCTAAAATAATTAGTTTTATTAATAAAATATTATATGTTTAATCACATCACTCATCAGTAGGGGGTCCGCGGTTCCGGAACCGGAACCGAACCGAAAATTTTCAGTTCCAGTTTCGGTTTGAAACTGAACGGTTCCGATTCCGGTACGGTGTCAAAACCGACGGTTCCAATCAGTTTTCCGACCGATTTTCCGGCAAATCACATAATTTTAAATTTTAAATTTTAAAGACCGATTTTCTTCCGGACGCACTTTTCGCGGCACAATCACATATTTTACAATTTTAGAATTTTACAAGCACCAGGTTTTCAAAAAATAAATTTGTGAAGTTAATTGTAAAAAAAACTCACACCTAAAACATAAAAAATGGCTTCAATTAACATTTGTGCTTCTTTTTATAAAGACTTGAACTTAATTATCTTTCTTAAAAAAAAACAATTCTTCATAACCTGAATTTATTTTTTTATTTCTACAAAAAAATTTGAACATTAATTTGATAAAAGGTACTTTCCTCCAAACGACACTAGATTCATCATATAACAGCGAAAGAGCCCCGCATATTCCTACATAAGAAGAAAGAAATCAGAAACTATAATAAAAATAAGATCATATGCAAAAATTTAATAACCATATTAATGTGTTTTAAAGACATCATATAATTATATATATAGTAGCATAAGAAACAGAAAGTGGAAGACAACGAGTCCCTTAACGCTTTAGTGAAACGAGTCTTAACCATTTGTGAATGGGTGCAAATAAAAAGCAGGAGGCGCCGCTTGAATTATTGCATTTTGTTCTAGGATTATGCACCACAAAATGAATATTTTTTTTTTTTTTCTCAACATTTTGGCCAATCAGAGCATGGGTCTATTTGAATAAGAAAAATTTGTTAATTGTTTAGTGTATAAAGTTTAATTTTTTTTTTTAAAAAAAAAATTTTTGATTTGGTTGTTCCTAATATATATGCATGAAACATGCAAAATTATTCGAATTATTTTTGTACGTTATCTGTTTGGACCTAGCTCTTCTTACAACATGGGCATCTCCTTAAGAGATTTCCCAAAAAATAAAAAATAAAATAAAATAAAAAAATAAAACTGACAAACTAATGCTAGAACTGCCGGTTCGAACCGGCCGGAGAACCGGCGGTTCCAATCCGGTTCCGACCGGTTTTATGGAACCGTCGGTTTGCGGTTCCATCCGGTTCCGACCGGTTTTATGGAACCGTCGGTTTGCGGTTCCACGAATCTAAAACTGGAACCGAACCGAAAATCTCCGGTTTCGGTTACGGTTCGGGACCGGTTCGAACCGACGATTCCGATTCCCGGAATCGTAACATGGCCAACCTTACTCATCAGTGTTTATCTTTTTAATTAATTTTAAGTCATAAAATGATGAATTTTGACTGATATAGAGTATGAATTAATCAAGTATAATAATCATTATATAAATGTTGCAACAACCAAAAATATAAATCATGTCTCAATCATAAACATTTTATATCCTAATTAATTTCTCAGGGTTTATTATAATAATAAGTAAAAAAATTTTAATTACACAAGTTAATGATATTATTATTAATTAGTGGAGAATTAAGTCTGCCATTTTTAATTAATTAGGGTTTATGTGTGACTAAGTCAAAGGCACTATTAGCATGATGAAAAAAGAATTAGTACATAAATAAAATGTGGGGCAAGAAGAAAAATAAATTAAATATATATTTGCTTTCAACTTGATGAAGACAAATAAACTCCTCTAAGAAAAAAAAAGCAGCATAAATAAATAAATAGCTGCTTCATTGTCATCATTGCATATATTAAGGTTTACATATAACTACTGGTCATTGACAATGACTTCATTTTCTAGTATATACTTCATCACAGTCGTGAAATTATTTTTCAATCAATTATTGTGAATTTCTAAAATAATTATTCAATTTCGAGTTAAAATAATTATTTGACTTCGATTAAAATGAATCGGTTCGGTTTGATTTTTTATTAGAAATTGAAAATTGCTCACCCTTACTTTTAGATATAAGATAATCACATTTAGTGGATAATGGATATCTCAAATTTGATTTTTTTTTATTTCATTTCTGTTTATAATAAGATTTTCTTTATCCAGAAAAATCCAACACTCGATTATATGTTTTTTAAAAAAAATCTAAATTCTTTCCATTAAAGATTAATCATAACCGATGAAAAAAAAAATCCAATTTATAGTTTGACCACGTTGAGTATTAAGGGAATGTCTATTAAAGTTTAATGTTTTTAGGAAGTCAAGTTGTGAAGAAACGATTACATGATGTCATTTTGGAATAGCAGACTAAAAAAGTATAAATGGTTTAGACGACGTGTAGTTTTTAGAAGATGAAAATGAGATCATTCAATCTATCGTTTCATAAGAAACACAAGGCTAACGACATGTCTTGATTTTTAGAAGGGTTCTTTTTACTAAATAAGCTCTTAATGTTAGTTTATTGAGTCACCAAACTAAATTGTAAAAATAACACTGTGCACTATGCAACAGGGGTAACTCTTCTCTTGATTCACCAAATTAGTGAAAATAATTATGGTTGAAGGACTTAAACTTGAGATTTCTCATTTCTCACATAAGTGAAAAGACCAATCAGACCATAACCTAATTGACATTAAATTGAAATTAATTTACAAGATATTTTGGGTTCATAATATAAAATAATAAAAGTAACTATGTCCACAATTTTGCACTTGGTATGAAAGTTACATTGTAATCATCTCTAAATGCCATATGATCAACAAAACTCAAAATGATCATCATACGGTAATTTTCGCTTTTTCAATAATTTAATTATCTCTTTGTCTATAATTAATCTTTCAATTAAGGGTTTGTTTGGTTAAAATATCTGGATTAGTTGTTGGAAAGTAACATAGCACCTAAATGATTAAAAGTTAAGGGTTAAAAATCTTATAAATTAATTTTCTAGTCTCACATGTTAAAATTATCATGATTTTGATATAAAGTGTGTCATGTTAGGGAATATTACGTGTGTTTAGTGTTTGTTTCAAAAGAAAAAAAAAACTTAATTTTCTCTATTTCAATTATATTTTTTATAGATATTAAAATTTAAAATATAACTATTATCTATCAAATACCATAATATAATAAATAATCAAGCAAATGCTGACCAATAGTTTAATGCATGAAAAGAGATTGGATTAGTAAAGAGATTGGGTTATTCGAGTCGATCCATGATTTATTAGTTTAATTAGGTAAAAAAAAAATATTGACTCTTTGATCCATTATGAATGCTTTTTTCTTTTTTTGCAAAAAAAGGGATTACGAGGTGTGTTAGTCATTGTCTCCGTCGGCTCGGGCCACTGGTCAGGTATTAACGTTTCGATTTAAGACACCTTCCCCTTTTCATAGGATCATAGCGTTGCTACTCATGATAGCAAGAGCCCAATATGGACATTATGCATACCCTGATCAAGCAGGCGGATTACATAAATCTAATCCAACTCTTATACATCTAATGGATGGAAATATTTAATCTCCGTTAATGGTCTCGTTTACATTATAATTTTGTTTTTTGAGGTGAAAATTATATAAAAAAAAACTTTATTTTATGAGCTAAAACTAAAAGGTTTATCTCCTTTACATTTCACCTTTTCACCTCTTAAAATAAACTCTCATGGAACACCTTGAGGCTGACAATGAAATTTTAGAAAATTTTCATTTAAAAAAGGAAACAGAATGCAACAAATCCAATATAGTATTTTGAAGTTTATAAAGTGGCAAGAGGAGTATTACTGATTTAATCATAAGATTTGACTTAATATCCTAGACAGTAAACTTAAAATTGTTTTTATTGATATGCATAATATTAATTTAATGGCCATAGAAACAAAAAAAAAAAAATCAGTTTTTTCATTGACAATTTTGTATAATTAAAGAAAAATATCTTTCTTTTTTTTTTCTTGAAATAAAGAAAAAATATCTTTCAATAACACATGCTAATGTTGACCATGTTTGCAGATGGTAATTTGGATACACATTCTTCCATTTATAGTGTTGTAATTTTTTTTTTATAACTAACAAGTCGTAGAACGTTTCTTCCGGATCGTACTTGTATTCTTACGGTAAATTGCACTTCTTTGAAATCGTACTTATATTTTTACTTTTATGAAAATTGTACTTGTAACGGGTCGTAGGACGTTTCTTTCGGATCGTACTTATATTTTCACAGTAAACTGCATTTCTTTGGGATGGTACTTATATTCTCATTCTTACAAATATCGTATTTATATTTTCACTTTTACAAAAATTGAGATTGTTTTATTACCTCTAACCCACCTTATTAGTTCCAGTCTTGTAATTTATTATCAAGTTGCATAATTATTTTTTTTGTTGGAGAAATTGGATAATAGTATAAATCAAGCTCTCAACCTAAAAAAACAAAATTTGACAAACATGAATTAAATAAGAGAAAATGGGTTCTTGTCCATGGCCCACAATCTAATTAAATTAAAACTGCTAATGATGATTATTTCATTCAAATGATGAAAAAAAAAATTCTTATCTTATAGTATATTTTATTTTATTTTAAGTGTACATTTGATGTAAATAAAATACACAAAAATTAAATTATATTGTACAACAGTTCTTTTGCTTGCATACACCAAAGCCATACGTCCTTGTTGTGGATCTCACCGTTGGATGTATGTAAAGTCACTATCTACGACATCCAACGGTAGAAATTTAGGGAGGTTTTTAGGTCTTTAAAGAGACAAAAACAAAATTCATTTTTATTCCACTCGGGAGATCCATCTTGCCGACATGTGTATTACAAATTCTAAATTTATCGCATTGGAATTTTTGAAATTAGTTAATAAATAAATAAGAGTAATATTGTTATTTTTAGTATGGGATAGTACTAGTTTAGTAAACAAACAAGGCCATTATTGTAATTGGAGTGGGTCCAAGCCGTTTTAATCAAAGTCGAAAATAAAGGAAAATCTTTAGCCTTTGAAATCTGAAATTCAAAGTCGAAAATGAGGCAATATTTATAGCCTTCTTCTTCTGTAGCTTATAAAGATATCTATAGACTTGGAAATGAGTATATAAAATCCTAAAGCTTAAAATAAAATAGAAAAAAAAAAAAAAAAACTGTATAGTGTTTTTAGTGACTTAGCAACTATTTTTAATCATTGAGAGCTTTTCTTTTTCTTTTCCTTCTAATCATCTGTAAGTGAGTGAATGCCCTTTCTTTACATACAATATATATTATAAATTACTGTTGATACTTCCTAAATTATACTGAAGCAGTTTGTGGTTGTGAAGTGTTTGAAGCATAATTCTGTGAGTATGATATTGAGAGAAAGAAGTTGAAGACTGAAGAGGGTGTTTAGAGATGGTGTTCAAAGATCTTTCCTGGTTCTGCTTCTTCTGATATATACAGCTTTTGTTCCAAAACTGAGACTGAAAAGATTTTAATTGGTATGTGGGATCTGTATTTTTTTTTTTTTTTCAGTCTTTCCTTTTGTGTCTTATCATTTTTTCACATCTGGGTTTTGCAAAAATTTAGTTTTTTCTTGTCAGAAACTCTCTTCAAAGTGTTTTTCTTCGTGTAGATTTCTACCCATGAAATTTTTTCTCTGCAAAGTTGTTGTCTTTATGTGGATTTCTTTTTTTTCATGAGTGTTTTAATATATATATTCTTTTTATTAATGGATTATTTTTAGCGTGAGAAAAATTGGGTTGTGGAGTTTGAAAACAATTTGAACTCTCCTCTATATGATTTCAGATGACCAAAATCAAAGCTTTTTTATTTCTTTTCCCCTGGATTTGTAGGCTGCTTCAAGACACATGTTTTTGTTTGGTAGAGAGAACCCGAAATTTCTTTCTTGTATTTTGCTTTCATTTCTATATTTAAATCATTATGTTTACTGTGATTTTGCATATTTACCTTACCTTCCATTATATTTAACATTGTTTTTGTTTTTCCAGATTTAGTTAAAATATTTCATCTCTGGTTCTGACGATGTTTAGGTTATAACTTTTACATTTCCTCGTATGAAATTACCTTTTACGTTCAAATAGACAAAAATATAGTGCAAAAAGATATAGGCTATGGAAGGAATTGTTTTTTCCTTTTTTGGAATCTTGGGAGATCTCCTTTCATAACCCTCTGACGGAAAAAAAATCAAAAAATAAAAAATGGAAACCCTAATTTTGATTGTTTGAGGATTTGTGTGGCTTTTACTGGATCTGCAACTTGTTATGGCGGTTTAGATTCTGTACTTTTTGACTCTCTCTGCTGAAATACAGAGGGGCAGGAAAATTTTTTTCTTTTAGTACTTTACTACCTAGTATATCTTCTGGTGCATACAATGATTATGAAGTGTAATTTTCTTTTTTCCTTTTTCTTTTTTTAATTTATATATTTTTAATTTTTTCTTTTAATTATATATTTGCAGTGATTACAGACAGTCCTAGTTGCGAGATGGATTTTTCAGATGGTACAAGGATTTTGCACAATAGAATCAGTAAAATGGAACCAGAGAATGTTACTAAGATTATTGGTTATCTTCTTATACATGGAGGTGGTGAACAAGAAATGTTCAATTTGGCTATGAGTCCTGATGTCGTTATTCAAGAAATTATTTATAAAGCTAAAGCTGAACTAAATCAATTTCCCCTCAAAAAGGCAAATTCACCACTCTCACCGTCCTTGAATTCACCTCCTGTTTCAGAACTTCCCTCACAGTATACTCCTTTTTCCCCTGTTTCATCTCGGTCTGCATTTTTGTCCCCAGCAGCTTTTCGCAGCCCTTCTTCGTACTGGGATTCTCCGGCTAAGCATAATTCAGATTTTGTGTCAATGGGATACATGGATTCTGCATCTGAGATCCAAGGCCAAACTCAGTTTTTGAGTTTGGATGACCAAATAGAGCCTGTCAATTTGGGAAATTCTGGTTTTCCAAGTGATTATTTTTACTCCGATGCTGCATTGAGTAATTTAAGTGCTAGGGCAGGACGTCGATATTCAAGCTTGAATGACTTCCCAGTTAAGACTTGTCACTATTTCAACAAGGGTTTTTGTAAGCATGGAAGTAATTGTAGGTACTTTCATGGTCAAGTCTCGGAGAGCTTTCCTCGATCATTTGACTCTATCAACGATGATCAAGTTTTCTCACCGGGTTCACTTGAGAAATTGGAGTTGGAAATCATAGAGCTCTTAAAATCAAGAAAAGGAAATCCTGTTTCAATTGCTTCTCTGCCAATGATATATTACGAGAAGTATGGAAAAGTTCTTCAAGCTGAAGGGTATCTTACAGAGAGTCAGAGACATGGGAAAGCTGGTTATAGTTTGACTAAGCTTCTTGCTAGATTGAAAAACAGTATTCGATTGATTGACAGGTGCATTATGTGAGCTTCTATCGGATTTCCCCCATTTAATTACCTTTCTATATGCTTGTTTTTAACTAGTGTATTTTCTTGCTTTGAGTTGCAGACCTCATGGTCAGCATGCCGTAATTTTAGCAGAAGATGTTCCAAAATACATGGAAAATCGTGGCGATAGAAATGATCCTGGTCCAATTGTTAGCGGTTCACGACAGATATATCTAACATTTCCAGCTGAGAGTACTTTTACTGAAGATGATGTCTCCAACTATTTCAAGTAATTATTTGTTGAGATACTCTTTGCTGGCTTCTTGGCATTTATATTTTCAGTATATATATGTTTCTTATTCTTTTTGGTCTTATATGCAGCACTTTTGGACCAGTTGAGGATGTAAGGATTCCATGCCAACAGAAGAGAATGTTTGGTTTTGTAACATTTGAAAGTGCAGACACTGTGAAGATGATTTTGGCAAAAGGGAATCCTCATTTTGTTTGCGGTGCTCGGGTCCTTGTCAAACCTTACCGAGAAAAATCAAAGCTTGTTGATAGGTAAAATGTCTAAAAATTTGAAATTCATTGGTTTGTCTAGCATCACATGTTTTTATATGATTATAATTCAGTGCCTAAAGCATTGATTCATAAACCTCTTCAGGAAAAAAATTTGCAGCAATTAATTAGTGCAGAAATTATTTTGAACATGAACTTACTTATGAATTATATAAAATTCTCTCTCTCTTTTTTTTTTTTTTTTTTTTTCAATTAATTTAGTGCAGAAATTAATTTGAACATGAACTTATTATGAATTATACTAAATAATTCTCTCTTCTTTTTTTTTTTTTTTTTTTTTTTTTGTGTATCTCACACTTCAAATTTTGGTGCAGGAAGTATCAGGAGAGAATTGAGCATCCATTGTTTTTCTCTTCTCAGTATCTAGACATGGATGCAGAGCTTCATTCAAGTGAGTTTGGTGTTCCGCAGTTTCCATGAATGAAAAAGAAAAGTTAGGAAGTTTAATGTAACTTAAATTTTAACAGTTTCAAAGAAACCAAAGACATATATTTGGCATTGGTAAATTCAGATGAATTCTACACCGCAAATAGACCATTGTTAGTAATTTTCACATTATTTTACACCATCTAATTATATATTCATAATACTTTTAGTGCCAAGAGGATATGAGACCTCAAGGTTGCTGAGGAAGCAGCTTTTGGAAGAGCAGGAGCAAGCTCTTGAACTTGAGAGGAGGCGGCTTGCAGAGTTGCGAATACCTCCAAAGCCTATGACCAATCAGTCCTATTTTGGCTACTCTATGAATGGGCTAAAATTCTCAGAAGGTTAGTATTAGTATTTTCTTCTCTGTTTTTTGCTGCTACAATGTCCATGCATATGCTTTTAATGTTCATTAGTCATATTATTTCAACTCGCTGCTCTTGCAGATAATTTCAATTTGCCATCCACCGAACGTTTTAGTTACCTGCTCGACGTTCTGAACAGTGGTTCAGCGAGTGATGATAGATTCAGGCATACCGAGACCAATTATGCAGACCAGGACAGGTAAACATCAACTTCTTATAGAATGTTGTGTTCTTGATCTCAAGATTTATGTAGCTGACAAAAGGTTTTCCTTTCTTCTCTTTGTTTTTTCATGGATTGAGCAGTCAAGGACTGAATTTGCCAGAGAGCCCATTTGCGTCTCCAATAGCTAGCGGCATTTCTACAGTCATATAGATTCAGCAGAACAGAAGAATTATAGAGTTACGAGAAACAAAGGCAACAGCAACATCTTTGGTTTGATACATAACAGCTCCTTCTTTTCCTTTTTGAAAATTTTCCCTTCGGTTTTCCCTTAACTTGTTCACGCAAGTACAGAATGGCTTAGCAACTCCTCGCAATCCATCTAACCCGTTTACCGGGTAAAAAGGTAGCAAAGCAGAATATGATACACAGGAGTACATGTAAGAAGAAAGCTACAGTTTTTTCCCCTGTTCTAATGTTACAGAAACAATGCAAGAAGAAGGTTTGGATATTTTACTCTTTAGCGGCGGATGTAATTACTCTTTAGCAGAACCAAGGAATTAGAACATATGTAGTGTTTCAGAGAAGTTAGTGTTTAAAATCTCTGCAACACTCACAAATAGATGAAATAACTTCTACAGAAGGATTAGTAGTTGGCTCATACCAGTTTAGAAAAGGTTGTTCATAGTTTTTATCCCTTTTTTCTTAAATCTCACATGTTGGGCATTCTTTTTGCCCAGCCAGCTACTGTTATTGCCCTTCTTTTGGCTTAAGTACAAAGAATGATATTATCCTCCATTTCTATTAGTTACTGGCTTTTGTCTTTCTTTCTTTTTTCATTTATTTTAGTAGATGTACGTACCAAATTTAGAACCAAGAAAGATTTGTTTTTTCTTTTTTTTTAATATGGAATTAATCGTTAAGGACATCCAGACTATGGGAACCACATATAACCTCACCTTGATGTGTAGTTTTAATTTATTATTTTAGCATATTGGTAGTGGAAAACAGATGCGATTACTGTATTTTTCATGTGAAGACGCTAAGATATGAGCAGCAGTTTCATCGGAACTTTCGTCTTTCAGAAGTAACGATATACCTTAATACCTGAAAATAAAATAAAAGATGGTCCAGAAAACAATGCATATCTTCAACTTTTTGTGATTGGAAACAAGAAACTGAAATTTTGACCATTTCTTTATGGCTAATATTCACTGCATGCCTTGTTCAGATAACAAACAACTCAGATGAGGAAAATAAATTACTCAAATGATACTCACGTTCACAAAGACATTAAATGATACTCTCATGGCCATGGGGGACCGCATTGACGAAGGCAAGTTAGGCAGGCAATATGCTCGTTCTTGACAAGTGACATCCAGATAAGATAAGGGTTTCCAATATAAAATAATATAATACATGTATGATTAGAAAAATATCTAATGTTTAAAGTAGTTATAAAAACCACAGTTCACATAACAAGAGACAAAGTAGTTGTACTACACAAAAGTTAAAACCAAAAACAATCTACATTGTTTCCAGCATGTCTCATTCATTATCTCTATCTGATGAATTATATTATTTGACACCTTTAGATGGGTCCCTCTAACAATATCCCCACTCTTAGCAGACCAATGCTTGATTGAACTACAGTATGCAGCAGTTTATAGTTCCTGCCCCCGCAATTTATGGGAAACACTGTCCTGTCAGAGCAGCTGAGAGTGACCTCTCAACCAATTGCATTACCTGTAAGAGGAAAAATTTTACTTGACAGTGTATTGATATAAATCTTCCTTTAGAAAAATAAATAAAAAGATCAACCATCTTTTAGTTGGTGGAGCATCAAGGTGGTGGAAAACTTCGTAACCTGGCAAAGCTTGCGGTTGCCCAGAAAATGGAGGAAAGAGAAATGTATTGTATATTGTTTCCAACCACTCTTATTACCCCAAACTGTACTAGCCTTTTAATTTACTTTTCATCTTTCCTCCTGCTTTTGGGCATCCAAGAACAAAAAGAAAGACAAGATTATCCATTCACACAATCAGGCAGTATAATAGTAAAATCGAAAAATGGTTTCTAATTCTAACAAGACAAGATTCATAAACATACAAAGAAACTCATAAAACAGCAGAGAAAAAAAGGTTATTTTTGTTAAATTTAAAGAATAACAAATCCATGAATAGGTCAAACATGCATGTTGAAAATGACTTATCTTGCCTGTGGTTTCCATATAGGAGAAACTCAAATAAGTAAATATCATACACCGCTAAGAATCTTCTAAAGTAATAATTTCATAGTAAACAGCCTATTCCTAGTATCTTACACTAACCATTGCTGTTACACATATAATTATACTATCTAAAAGAACGATAAAATAATTTCCAATAAGACAAGCTTTGGCCTTTGGTTGCGTTGGGAATACACAACTCAACTTCAATGTGATTGAGGAAATCCAACAGGACCCACCAGTGAAAAATCATATAGGGACACAGAAAACAGCTGAAGCTGTACTCTACAAAGTGGTGGGTCCTGGAGGAATAAAGCAATACTGCAGCCAAGTGTTGGTAATACGGTATGCCTCTCTGTTTTAGACTTTTTTTAGCTCATAAAAACAAACAACCTTAATGCACAATCATATTTATAGTACAGTGTTTGATTACAGTCAATATTTAAATGAGAAAACTAAATGAATCTACAACTCAATCCGCTATTTATTGGAAGTTTATGCACATCCAGCAACTGGATCAACACACGGTACCATATTGACCTTCTGATACAAGTTCATAAGGGAAAAGCGAAGGAATTCAAACTAAGATAGTCACTGATGTGGAAATAGGGGCAAAAGTTTTAAAAGAATCGGGATAGTACTTGCAAACAAAATTGGTCTTCAACTTCACTAAATTTAAGTGAATATTAAACTCCCTCAACTCATACATCGCAACTTCAAATTGAAATTGAGATAGAGAGATAAACCGAGGTACATCTTGATAGCCAGCTAAAAAAACGCATAGCTTAACACGATATGAACATTGAATTATATATATGTAGAAAATACATTTTTTCAGTGCAAATCAAGGAGAAAAAAAAAAAACTACAACTCAGTGTTTTGCAAGGCAGAGGTCAGAATGGGGTATCTCATCATATATGTGTGGCATAACACATGAAAAAGGGAAAAAAGAAAATGTATAAGAAATATTACAGAAGAAGCATCCTGTATAGAGACATTTTATGTGCCCGGCAATTGTCCTCAATACTTGCAATTTGTATTTTCATGTCAATTTCTCAATATCAATATCATCATTTACTTTCCTGTTCAATATACCAACCTTTTTTTATCAAAATCTTGTTGGTTTCCTTTTCCTACTCAATCACCAGCAGTTTTGAAGATAGTTTCTTTTGGAGTTTACACCTCAAATATGTGCAGAACTAGAGCAGCAGCTGTGCAGATTATTGCAATAACTCCATGAGTCATGAAACCACTTTCACTGTTGCACATAGCAAGATGAGAGTCAGAACCTGCAACTTGAGGTTTGCCATAATTAAGATGTCAGATCTTTACCTGAAAATTTCCTGATCAGTTTCACAAAACAAGCCATATAAGTTGATGAAGCTAGAGGAGAGCCCAGCTGCATTACTTGGGTTAGTGGAATGAACAGATAGGGTTTTATGACAACACCTTATCCTTGTCTATCATATTTCTTGGCAAACTTCTCAAGTAGTAATTGCTGTCGAAATGCCAAATATTTATCTAAACCAGTTCCCCATTGCTGACAAAAGGATTCATCTGTTGGAACAAATGAACTCAGAGGAAATGGCCCTTTTGGAGCTTTCTTTAACGCAACCAAGAACCTATGGCGAGGGCGAATTCTCTGGTCCAAAGACAAGCTCAAGTACGTGGGATATTTGGTCAAGGACTTTACCTCGTTACAAAGTTCATTGATCAAATACATGTACTTTGGCTTCAAATTATCCTCCAGCGACAAAGATAAAACCTAATAACACAACAAAGCATTACTATTGAGAAGATTCAGGACAATAAGCTAAAAAAAAAGAAATAGATAACATGAAAGAAACTCTATTAAATCATGTGGCAATATATTCAGAATCTTGCTTTTACAATTTTCATGTTATATTCTTTTTGTATTTCGTAAAACGCAAAACCTGCTTATATCAAACACAAAAGGGGACTGTCAATTCTCTATAAACATAAAGCACAGCACAATTACAGAAAGCCAAAATAGCCAAACTTACAATAATATATCAGCACAAGAATCCTCAATACTTTACAAAGATGAGAAATGTTCCAACAAGCACAAAAGGGGAAAGAAACTTACTTGTGGGAGGCTAGTCAAGACTTTCAAGATGTCAGAATTACGCATGCCAGTACTCCTAAGAAAATTGATCCTTGGCAGAATTCCATCATCTATGCTGTAATGGAGGAGCTGAGGATGTTTTGTCACCATCTTTAATACACTTTCCCTAGATGCTCCCAATTCCTTTGAAAGAAAAATGCAGCGAGTATTCCATGATATGTCAATACGTTGAACCAGGATTTGAGGGCTTAGCTGCACTACTTTGCCGATATTTTTTTCATCAATTCCAACCTCCTCAACCAAATATCTAATTGTAGGTTTTAAGGAATTCTCAACACTATAAGAAAAGAGAGACGGGGAAACAGCAATTATCTGCCCTAGTTTGGAATGTGGAATACCTAAACCCCTCAAGAAAGCAACATGAGACTTCAAGTTATTCTCCACTGTATATTCTAGAATTTGTGGCTGCCTCAAAAGTATCCTTCTGATGTCACTTTGTTTCACACCAACACTCAGCAGGTACTCCAACCTCTCCTGTGCAGAGCATACACTTACTTGGAGACATGGCATGTGCCTCTCATACATTTGTATAAAGTCTGATTCCTTGAGCCCAAGGGTTGTTAGGTAATCAAAAAGTGGGAACCATCTCTTGTTTAACTCTATTTCTTCAGACACCAGTTCATATTTGTTCTTAGAAGATACTTTGGGCTTCAGCTGCAAGTGAAGAAAACAGGTAAGTTCTTTTGCACTAGTGGCATAGCCTATGTGAAGATCACAAGTTTATCATACCTTTTCTTTGCTGCCCATGTATGAGGAGTCAGCTTCCATTCTTTTGTTTTTAGAAAGATAAACGTTTCCAGCAATTCTCTTCTCCTGAATGCTCCTGCCACTTCTTACAACCAGCTGTCTCTGTACACCTACTAGCACAAATTATTCTTCAGCCATTATCTCCATAAAAAATTGAAAGTTTATTGGAATTTTAGAGCATACTTTCTCCATCATTGATTTTCTTTCGTGAATTAAATCTTTTTCCATCAACTTCATAATCTGCAGGTTCTGCAAATTCATCCTGAAGACATTGCACATGAAATTGTAGAAGTTAAAACAAAGAAAAGCATAATAATATGTCAACCAACACAGAACCCCACAAATAGCTATGCTAGCCTGCCACCCAAAATAAGAAAAGCGAATGGGAGAAAATGGAGAAGGGATAGCACAATATCAATTTGAAAGATGAAAAATAGTGTACATTAGCTATATGAGGTTGATGCAGGGTGGTGGTTACTTGGTAGGCACGTATACATTTGTGCAATAATAATTCAAATTGATCATTACGAGGAAGCGAGCATGGAGTCATCAATGCAAAGTAATGTAAAGAATCAAATTAATTCATTTTTAATATCTTAAACCAGATTCCACAAAGAGGATTATCATATAGTTGATAGTTCTAACACTCACTACAACAAATTAATTCAGACAAACAAATAAATCTATTTGCTTAAGTAAGAATTATGTATGATGAAGAGGAAGCCAATTTCCAAATCAAACCTCTCATTATACAACTTAATATCAGTCAAACTTGACAATTATAAATGAGACAAGGCAACATTTTTAAGCATCCTTGACATCAGTTCTATAGCACATGCAAAAATGATGTAGACATAAAACATGGGATCAATTTTATTAGAAACTTACCATTCGTGATTTCGATTCTCATGCCCAATGATATGAATCTTATGGGGAATCAAAATTGAGCATGAATCATAAAATTCGAGTTGATTTTCATGCTCAATGATATGAATATGATGGGTGAACCGAAATTGAGCATGAGCCATACAATTTGCAATTCGAGTAGTACAATTTGAGTTTATTCTCATGGCCAACGATTCTCATACCCAACAAAATAAGTGTGAAAAGTCAATGTAGTCGAAGAAGAAGAACAAGAGGATATGTTTGTATTAGAAGATGGAAATGATAAAGGCTTGAATTGATGATAAATGAATATCAATTTGGATCAGAAATTTAATGGCTTGATATTTTAGTTTGCTTTTGGTTTAACATTTTAACTTAAATGTTTTATTTTTTGAACTTTGAATCCGAATAAGTCATAGGTTCTCTTTCATCTTTGTATTTAGTACACGATTTGGAATTAAAATTTATATAAATACATGATTTGCAAGTGAAATTTTAGTGATCTTTTTTTTTTTTTTTTTTTTATATAAATACATGATTTGCAAGTTTGAATTTTAGTGATCTTTTTTTTTTTTTTTTGATATTTTTTTTTTTTTTTTTTGATAAAATTAATAGGAAATATATCCATAAATGTGTATTAGTATTTTTAAAAGATTTTGAAAAATTATACTATAATCTTATTATCCGATTCGATTCTCAATCCGGAAAATAAGAAGTCCAATTCCCGGTTTCAATCTCGATTTGGCAACTATGCATGGGATAAATCCAAAGTTCACTACAAGATGAGGAAAGTTTCACACTTGAGTGTGAATGTCAAGAAAATCAATTGATTATTGAGGTCCAACGTGTGGATAAATAATACCAGATTATTGATTATTTAATTGTAAACAGAGTCTTCTCAAAAATAAATAATACCAGATTAAAAAACAAATCACAAAAAGGTATTTATTTTCATATTTTTGAAAAGCAGCTTAAATGTATTTCCTTTAAAAAAAAAAAAAATCAATTGCAGTACTTTCTTAAATGTTGGAAAGCTCAAGTGCAGAAAGAGTTAACAACACTCACATCCAACAACGGGTCATTCTTATCGAAGTAATCATCATCATCGTCCTCTTCTTCTTCCTCTTCCTCCTCATCGCTATGACTCAATGTCTGTCCGTACCGTGACTTCCTGTTGAACTTGAGTACCTTAGCGTTAGAGTGTGAAGACAAAACCACAATTCTATCCATTCGGCTTCTCCTTCGCCGAATGTCAACAATCATTTCCCCAACTTGGCTTCGACCAGAGAGAGCACGCAAAAGCAAATGAGGCTTAGAAGGAAATTTAGAGGAAAGAGAAGGATTGAATTGATAGAGAGATGAAACAGCCATGTTCTTTTTCCTATTTCTTGAAACAGAGAAAAAAGAGAATATAATCAAAAACCCTGACAGAAAAGAATATTTCTTTGACTGTTTATCTTCTTCTCCTCCTCTAATCCTCTTGTTGATGGTTTGGGTTGGGGGTTTTGCTTGATTACCAAATAAGAGCCGTTTAGGTCGTTTTGGAGTTAGCCAGCTACCTCGAAAGCGTAAGTTGGTCACACAGCGTCGTTTCATTAACCTTGAAATTGGGCCGACACAATAAATGTGAGCGGGTTGTGTGGGCCGACAGTACAAATTTTCGATTAAAGGGCTTGTTTATGACACGGCGTCGTTTTACTGAGATGACGCATCTAATCCACAAGTGTGGTGTGTGGTTGTGCAGGCTTAGCCCAAATTGGTAGACGTGGCCCAAGAAAATAAACACGATTTTAAGAGATAAAAGATAATAATTGAAAAAAAAAAAAAAAAAAAAAAAAAAAAAAAAGAGAGAGAGAGAAAAGCTCTGGTTTCGTTTTACTGTGCAGTGCCATGGAAGCTGCACTCTCTTCTTCCTCTTCTCTTTTACTCACGTCTCCAACGAACTCGAAGTCAAAAAGTCTCCGACACAGGAACACACTCATCACCAAGCATTCAAAATCAATGGCCAATATCCGCCTCATCGTAAATCGAAGATCAACTACGAAGATTGCGGCCATTAACGACGTTTCGGCTGCCGCGGATTTAGGCCAAGTGGAGGTCACCTGGCAAATTGTCGTTGGAGCTACAGGTGTTTTTGAAACTTGAAGATAGAATTGACGTTTAAATATAAATTTGTTCTATTTTCTGTTTTTCATGTTTGAAATTAACGTTTATAATATAATATTATATATTATATATATTAATATATATATTATATATTAATTAATATGTTCAGCGGGAGTAAGTAACAATATAATATGTTCAGCTGGAGTAACACCATTCATTGTAGCTGGGATTGAATTCAGTAAAAGGATAGTAAGTTTGCCAATTTACATTTTCATACATGTTCTACATATTAATTTTATGCTAAATCAAAGATAAAATGTTGATGCCATTGACTAGTTAATTTAGAGATTATATATATAAAAATTTAATGGCAGATAGCCCAAAGAAGATGTGAGGTCTGTGGAGGTTCTGGGCTAGTTGTAAGGGAAAATGACTATTTTCGTTGCCCTGGATGTGGTAAGACTTTGATAGATTTCTCTTAATTAAGCAAGCATTTAAGTTTTTCTGTACATAAGTTTGTGGACCTATTTACTGTTTGGCAGGAGGATTTCTACCATGGCAGTCCTGGAAGAGATTTTTCTCTGGTTGATTTCTTTCCTTCTTTACTATATTTATATGCACTGGTGGATGTATAACTGGATTCAGCTTCATCTGTTTGTCTATATTTCTGGATATTCTACTTGAGTAGTAGAACAGAAGTTAAGTAAAAAAAAAAAAGAAAAGGATAGACATATATATGTAAAGAAAATGAGGAGAGATATATATGTAAAATACGGGTGGATTATTTCTTTCTATATATATCTCTTCTTACATGGGATCCTATTCTATTTATCTATTTGGCTTCTACTGAATTTTAAATAGATTTAATTATTAATTTTTTCGATATAATATAGAATTTAATATAAAAGATAACACATTTTCCGGATAATTTAAATCGAAGCATTTAAATATTCGATTTAGGTTTATATAAAACGACTGATCAATAAAAATACTCTAAAAGCTCTGCTTTTATCACATATTTTATACATCTTCCTAAATAGACATCATATTCATGGAATATGATTCGGTCTCAAAATGTCTTAGGCATGTGAGATTCAAAATCTTGTGCTAAAGAGGGTGGAAGTTTGAATCCTCCTCGAGGTACGCATAATATTGAGAATGCTCATTGGGCAAGCATGAGTGACACTTTAGGCAATATTATTCCACCTAAGCAACAACTCAGCAACAGTGCATACAGACAACAGATTACAGAAATGGAAGTTACAATTCAATCTAAAAATCACAATCAAATACACTTACCAAGTTCTAACACAAACAGAACATAGACATGAAAAATAAATACATGAGCTGTCATTTCTGAAGTTGTAATTATCATTATACAACAATTATCTAATAATATGATAATTATTTTAATTTTTTCCTCTAATCACAACTTTAAAATTTGTCATTGTAATTGCACAATACTCTGCAATTAATTGGAAGCAAATCCTAAAGTGGTTGGTATCTTTAGCTTATTACTGGATCAGGCTAAATCATTAAAAAAAGTTTGAATTTTGACGTTTTTAATAAATTTAGCCAATACTTTTAATTTTGTTAATTACTTTTTTAAATTTATTTTTCCTCATCAATTACGCCATCCGGTCAAAGCCCATTATTTTGTTGCTTATTTAGCTGTTGATTGGTCTCACATCATGTCAGCTCATATCCATATAGTCATTATTTAATTGTTTATCCTTGTTTTTTAAAATCTATAAATTGGAAGATTACATTGTTGAGATAATTTTCTTCATATCTCGTTGCAAGCTTGAAAGAAGTTTGCAAGGTTTAACAATTAACGAACTCTTGATGGACCCTTGGCAAGGACTTTGCACTGTCGGCAACTGTAAGACCCGCCAAGTAGGTTTATTCACTCCAAAGCTGCATTACTTAACCACATTCAATCAACTCTAGACGGAAACAAATTAACAATAAAAAATAAGAATGAGGTATTGATTGATAAATTAAAAATACTGGCTAAATTTAAAAAAAAAAAAAAATCAAAAGTTCAAAGTATTTTTGGTGATTAAGTCCATTATTATTCATTTCAAACATCACCATTTTTTTAATAAGACTTATCTATTCTTCATATATAAATTTATTGTTGTCATTTGTCATTATATCATATTCATTTCAAATATTATGATTTATATTTTTTTCTAAAAGTGAAGGATAATATTTATTTATTTTTTGTGTACGAAGCTATTCATAAACCAAATAAATTTTATTGAACACCAAACAAATAATTAATTGATATTTAAGAAAAAAATTATCATATTTGGATAGTATTTTATCCCTTTCTTTTTCAATCAATCAATATAAATACTCTCATTTAAAATTGAAAAAGTTTATTAGATTAATCTAATATATGAGTGGACCCATACATTAAGACGAAGTAAATATATAACAGAGAAATTAAATATGAATTTTTTAAAAAAAATTATGTTGCATGGTACTCCAATATATCCTTATATCTAACAAAATTATAATTTTTTATTTATAAAAATTAAGAAAATGACTTAATGGCTTTAATTAAAAAAAGATAAAGGTAATTTATGGTCACTTAATTAAAATAAGTGGATATATACGAATGAAAAAAGAAAAATAAAAAACAGTCAAATGGAAGGTAGGGGAATAGAAACGGAAAAGAAAAAGGTAAAAAAGCAAAGTCATATAGGAAAGAAAGGAGATCTCCTTTCCTCAATATTGCACACACCTATTCAACTGTCTTCTCTGTAATTTTTGTCTGAAAGCGCAACTGAACGTACATATGGCAACTCTTCAGAAAGGAGGAATCTGGAAAAGAAGGCCTAGACCATCAAAATTTTCTTATAAGTATGGCAGGTTTTGCATAGTGTTTTCCGTCCATCTGATTGATTATAAGTTAGAATTAGGGTTAGGGTTGGTATAGTGAAAGAGGGATATCAGGCCTACAGCTATGGCCTGTTCAAGAGGTGGAGAAATGATCACTCCACTCTAGTGTTTTCCGTCCATCTGATTGATTATAAGTTAGAATTAGGGTTAGGGTTGGTATAGTGAAAGAGGGATATCAGGCCTACAGCTATGGCCTGTTCAAGAGGTGGAGAAATGATCACTCCACTCTCATGGTCTACTCTTCCAGTAGATCTCTTAACTGATATAGCCAAACACCTCGATACCTATTTTGATGTCCTTCATTTCCGTTCTGTTTGCCATTCATGGCGAACTTCCGTTCCTGCTCCTAAAAAGTCTCCATCTTTGCCTTTGGAGCTTAATTTCCTCACTGACGATCCTTTCCACCCTTTTGCTACTTTTTCTGTCTATCGAAGGACAGTCTTTCGTCTTGAACCTGAAGGCTCTCAACATGGTAATAGCTGGTTGATTAAGGTTCAAGAAGAGAGTGATGCAGGCAAGCTGCTTGTAACAAGTCCTTTCTCAAGATATCCCATTTATAATTTACCTCCCACATTTCCAAGGGAGTTGAACCTGCTCAGTTTCCGTGTCTGGCCTATTGCTAGTACTTTCAGCCTTGAACGACATGATGAGGATGAGGAGCTCGATAGCAACGATGTTACTTATCACCCCATGGAGATCGTTCATGGAGGAGTAGAAGAAAATGATAACGATAGTTTTATTAGCAATGACGGGGTTACCATGTCTAGCAAGGTAACCGTTTCAGCTTCTGAAACGGATTCAAGCCTTGGAGTTTGTGCTCTCATTAGAGGTGAATTTTATTCGATGAAAGTTAATCGTGATCAGGAATGGAACTCAATGGACATTGCTGATACATATAGAGACATAATAAATTACAAAGGAGATATTTATGCCGTGCTTAGAAATGGAACAGGTTCTAGAACCGATGCTAATTCACTCACTACCACTCATCTTATCCTTCCGCCAAGACCCTTTACCGGTGAGAGGTATCTTGTTGAGTCATGTGGAGATCTTTTCTTAGTCTCCAGAGACTATAGTATTTGCGCAAGCAAAGTTTACTATGATGATGATACTAAATGTTATTTCAAGAAGGAAGGTGTTACTGATATTCCATTTAAGTTTGAGGTCTTTAAGCTGAACACTGTTAGCCCAACATCACCGGTGTACCATTGGGACGTGGTGAATGATTTGGGAGACCAAATCTTTTGCTTGAGTAAGGACTGCTCTTTTTCCGTTTCAGCTCAAGATTTTGCTGGAAGCAAAGGGAATTGCATTTACTTTGTTGATGAACTGTATGATGAATTCGATGATGAGGAAGATGTATATGATGATGATTTGGTAGACGATACCAAAATATTTGTGTTCAATTTAGAAGATGGCTACGCTGGACCTCTCGCCTCTTCTCCAGGCTTCCCTAATATATTCTGGCCACCACCATTGTGGTTGAGAACAGATCTGCCTCCACTTGGAAATTGAAGGTAAGATTTTCAATTCATACTTGTGAAATATTTATTTTATTGCTTGCTTAATGATGTTCATGTACTTGCAAAGTTGAAAATATGTTGTGATGTAAACTCAAATAAGTTCAATTGCATAAAAGAAATGAAAATATTTATTTTGGTATGACTAAATAAATTAAGGTAATAGTAGCAAATCTTTAAAAGTGAAGATTCAAAAGTATATATGTGAATTTTTCTTCTTAAAGATTTTGAGTAAATTAATGCCCTTGCTTGGAATCAGGATTAACCTATAGGCAAGCCTTAAAGCTTCAATTAGATCATTTCCTTTAAATAAATGTTATGGGAATTGTAAGTCCATAATGACTGAAAATGTAGATACTGTAAATGTTTTCTCATATATATATATATATATATATAAGCATTCTCATTTAGTAAATCACTTCTAAATTGTCGATACATATATATAATAAGTAAAAGTACACATCCTATTCAGGTTTCTTAATTACCAGATATTTGATCATATTTTCAATGATATCTTATGCATATCATCTGAATTTATAGAGAATATATTGTTATATGGTGGCTGAATATACCTATAGCAAATGCGTTATTATGTTTGTCTATAAATTATCGATATTTAAATATACGTCTGCATGGTGTACACGTTCTCTCACAATCGAATATTATTAGTTATATCATAAAAATTTCATTTAATTTTTCAAGATTCTTTGACATAAGTTTGTTATCTATTACCGTTCTTACTTTTAGTAATATATAAATACTATTTCTTTATATATTAACGTCTACATGGTGAAGACGTGTAATTTAACCATTTTACAGATATCTCAAAGATATTTGTAATTTTAAACTACTTGTTTGATGTAATGAAAGTGTGCTCATTAAAAAATACTAGTAGAGTCAATGTTAATAAATTTAAGAAGCAATGTGTTATATATTGTCAATCCATTATATTAAATACCTCCATTAACTTTTCTATTTTCCATTTTGATATATGAATGTTTCCCTGGCAGGCTTCCTATGCAGTGAGAAAATACTTCCATCTGGAAGGAGGTTTCGAAGTGTTATGATCTCGTCATCCTTGATCAATCTCTGTGCTGTTTCGCAAGATGGGAGGTGCTGCCATTGCTGTTGCTGTTTTAGCTTTAATTTGTGAATGTTAGGGTTGGTTTTCAACCTTACATGGTTGCTTATTTCAAATATGTTTAATTTTAGTTGAAGTACTGTTTGAATCCTTTGGAAACTTTTAATACCTGTACTAGCTTGTTCAAGACAAGTTTTTACTTCTATGCTATATAACTTTAGTTTCTTCTATGCTTGAGTATTTCAACAACTAATTCTTGTTTCTAGTGCTTTGCATATTATAAAACAAATGCATTTTTTTTATAATAGGATAGAAATACCATATGTATGTGATTTTTTTAGTGTAACCAGGAGATTTAATCCCTCTTAAGCCGTAGAGCATAAAGGTTTTTTGTCTTCCTCACTCTCACTCTCACGGGGATTAAGGTCACCAACCATCTCAATCAATATCTTGTTGGTCATGTGTTTATGACTTTAATGCATAGAAATTGCTATTTAAAAAAAAGGGTTTAAGGTTTTCTAATAGATTTTTTCCCTTTATTTTGAATGTACCAAAGATTATTTCTATTGTAACACCTAGGCTCTGAGGAGGTGTGAGCTTAAATTAGCTTAAGCTAGCATGTCAAGCATCTTACATAGAAAATGGAAGTGGTTTATAGAGACTAGCAAGTTACTGAAATCACTTTGTTAACCATTTTAGTTAGCTTAGTTTCAGAGAGGCCCTTAGTTGGATCAAGCTCAAGGGTTGGCGGAATGTAGATTTTGAGTCTGATTCCTTATTTGCTTGTTTAACAATGGTTCCATAATGTATCTTACTTGGGTGTTCTCATTGACGGGTGTAAATCTTTTTTTACGCCATCTTTTTATTTCTGATATAGGTTTTATAAGTAAGTCAGCGAATCAATATGCTCATTTTATATTTCCGACGAAATTAAATTAATCAAACGTTTTCGATTAGCGACCCATAATACACTCAGGGTCGATTTTGATTTGGTTTTGGGCTCTGGAATTGGATTAACCGTTCTAGGGTCGATTATTTGGACCCAGTCTTGGGCCAGGCCCTTTTAGCTCCAATTTCTTTTTCCTCCCTTATTTGGGCAAATTACCCTTTTCATATAGCTGAAAGTCAACCTACCTTTTTGAATTCTATTTTTTATTTCCATGTTTCATCCCTAGTAGATTCTTGTTCTTTTTCCTTTGAAATATTTGATTCTTCACCATTCAAATCAATACTGTTCTGGACCCACATAATTCCTTTTTTTTTTTTTTTCCCTTGAAGCATTCTTTGATCAAAGTCTTTGAAAAATCAAATGAAAGCGCACATTAAATCTTATATAAAAATCAATGAAAACCCTTTTTTATTTATAAACAAATTGGAATTAATATCAAATGCAACAAGATATTAAATTATTATGTTAATATTGATTTTTATTAGTATTTAATATCTTGGTGCTAAAAAATTTATTGGTAATATATATCACAAAAACACAATTAATTCCTAATGCTATATCACTTTTCTTTTTCAAATCATTGTAATTGGTAGTTGAATTTGGCTAGTACAATTATTATTCTTTTATTTTTTATTCATGTCATGTGGTATTATAGATTTGCTTTGACTTTGGATTTAATTGATTAATTAGTGGAACCAATAATAAGATTTTTGCTGTTCTATCAAGGACTTAAAAGTCTTCAAACATCATCATCTTTGAAAAATTTTTATATGAGAGTGTAAAGCATTTCTGATAAAGATGTTATAAGGTCTCTGATTCTCTTTGTTTTTGTCCAGATATTGCAGAAAGGTTTGACTTTCTATGGTGAATGCCATGCTTATATATATATATATATGAAACTGATTTGGATTTACCTCTTTTTTTTCTTGCATTTTGGCTGATCATAGCATTTGGATTTTCAGATGGCAGCAATCTTAGATAGATCAAATGAAAAAAAAATGAAATGATTTTGGAATTCTGATGCAAAATCATTTCAAATTAGAATTCTGAATTTCAATTCTGCGGTTTTTTACAGTTCTAACTTAATTCAAATCATGAGAGAATTAGAATTAAATTTTAATTTTCTTCGGTTCATGCATGTTATTACGCTTCATTTGACATGAGATGACACGGTCTTTTTTATAAAACGTCCAAAGGTGGTGCAATTTTGTTTTCATTAGTTGACTTATTTACGGCTACAACATTCCGAAAAAAGCTCTTGTCAAGAAAAAAAAAAATCAAATATTGCAAATGCATGATCTAATCCTGATGAGAAATTTCTGACTGTATATGCTACATTGGCATTATGTCATAATAAATAGAAATATGTTCATTTTATGTGAAATTGTAATGAATTCATTATCCCCACATCACAAGGGGGCAGGTCGGCAAATCAAGAAAAGCCAATTGGATCTTTGTTTTTTTTTTTTTTTTTTCACAAGGGCAGGTCGGTCAAATCAAGAAAAGCCAATTGATCTTTGTTTTTTTTTTTTTTTTTTTTTTTTTTTTTTCCCAAGTCAATTTAGAATTTTACCACTAACAACTTTATTTATTGATTTAGAATTTTCATTTTGTAATTTTTGGATTGATCTGAATGAATTATAAAATATCATAGTTGGTTGAATTAATGGTTTTCATTCTTGTAATAGCAATAAATAGTTTTATGGAATGAGTCCATTTTGCAATTGTATTTTCAATTCCATTTTCTTGTGAAGGGATCTTATTGGTCAATGAAAAGGAATGCTCTAAATTTAGAATATATGTAGCTAATTTATTGTTATTAATTATTACCAAAAAAAATATTTATTGTTATTAATTAATGCAATAGACGATTTATTTTATTTATAATATACGTTTACCACTTATAAATAAAAATTATTCATCTGTAATTTTTTTTTTTTTTTTTTTTTGATTAAGAATGGGAATCATTAAGATGATTAAATTCAGGATTGGAAATAGATAAGCTTTGCAATTTTACAATTTAAAATGTGTTGCTCAAATTATTTTAATTCCTATTTATTCATATATATTTTTAATACCTTTAAATATCAATTTTTTTTTTTTTTTTTTTTTGTGCCATAAGATAAAATGGAATCATAAGATGATAAACTTCAGGATGGAAATAGATAAGCTTGCAAATTTTCAATTATGTGTGCTCAAATTAATTTATATTCCTATTATTCATATATATTTTTAATACCTTTAAATATCAGTTTAACTATTTATGTATTAATAATTTTAATATTTATCTCCATTTAAAATATACGGAGATATAATGGACGTCTAACATAAAAATTAAGAGTGATATAAGATTTTGTTTTTTCATCACACGGTGTGGGAGTATATTCATGCATTTAATAAAAAATTAAAATTGAAAAAAAAAAAAAAAACCAAAATGTACGTACAGAATGGAAAATGTAATGCAGAGGAAGCATGATAAACCGTGTGGGTCCATTTCTGTAGTCATGGGCTCATGACACACGTGGGGGCTGGGACTGCCTTTATTTTTAAAAATAAAAATTTGAACCTTGACCAATATGACCTTTAAATTCCCACCCGTTATTATTAGGGACGGCAACCAGACGGATTAGGACAGAAAATTCTCTCCGTTCTGCAGGTTTCCCTGCAAGAACATATTTCCTTATCCATTGTCAGCTCAAGGAATTGTTGTAATTGCTTTTATTAATTACATTTTCCTCTTTTAATTTTGACTAACAACGGAAACTTTTCCTTTTGGGATTGAAACATCCCGGGAAAACTTGCCGTCGACCGATAAAAATTGACTTGGTATTAATTTAACTACGGAGAGGGCAGATTGAATTTTTTCTGTCTGTCTTTAGGCACAAATTTTAAGTTTGTTACAGAAATCAAGAAAGAAATAGAAAAAAAGTATTTTCAACATCTTAGATCGAACCGTACGAGGAGAAAAATAAAATATTTTGAGATTGAGGCACATTTCATTTGACTATGGTTTGTTGCCCTTTTAACAACCATTGACCTAATTTTATCAGTCATACCAGAAGACAAGCCAAGTCTTTAAATAGTTGCAGAAAATGTCACAACTTGCCATTTAAAATTAATTAAGGGAAAGCAGAAGTACAGGCAGGTGTTAATTCTATTAAATTTATACTGTGATTAGTGATGTAATTGGACCATATAATGCTAATCTAGGGTCTTTTGGTCTTTAACTAAAAAAAGAGGTCACTTTTATTTTATTATGAAAATAGACATGTCACAATTATGGTGGCAGGAATGTGATTTCTGGGCATAATAAGGTCAATGGTAAGAAATAATTGCTATAAAAGTTTAACTGAAAGGGGGCCTTGTACTTGCAGAGGCTTTTTGGCTTGCAAACGATTTTGAAGCCAACGCAGCGCAAGGAATCAAAAAACTGCAATTATAACCAGGTATGTCAAAATGAAAAAAAAAAAAAAAAATAGAAAGGAATTTATGTTGAAGTTGATATATATGAATCCATGTTGATCAAACTGTTATTTTGATTCTGAATCTTTAATTATGTTGCTAAAGTATGACTCTTTTATGTTTTTATTGCTGCCTATTGTTTTCCATATCTTTTTCTTGTGAAAATTCTACATGGGTAGGTTTACATGGTCAGTTTCTTGCAATTTAGTAGTTTTCAGCTAAAATTGCTGCAAAAAGTTTCTGTTTGTGAGGTAAAGGTATGTTTTGTTGAAGTGGGTTGCTGATGAACATGAGAAAGATATAATCTTTTTCTTCTGTTAAAAGGTGAACTGATGATCACTTGGTTGTAACCTTTTCTTCTCCTCTGTTCTAGGTTTTCTTTTTCTCTTTATGGATAAACCTTTTGTTCTGGTTTTAGATTAATTGATCTTTCTCTCTCTCTCTCTCATATTCAATGAAATCAGTTTGAGGCTTTGCTTACCTAGGGAATTTCCCTAATTACAGTGGAAATAGATTTGCTTTTGTAGATTCTAGGTAAGGGGAAGAATTTGTTGCTGAATGAAGTTCAAATATTTAAATGTTTTAAGTAGATTCTAGAAGGTCCAAAATTCAATAGATTTTACAATGTCCAGCGTTCAATGTTAATGTGGAAAAGCCAATACAACTTAACTCCTTCGGTGACAACGTTATTTCTTGAAAGTGGATTGAAGATTTGGTGATGCAGTTTATTTTCCAATTTTACATGAATCAGTAAGTTAAAATGGTTTCGAACAGCATCATTTTGATTTTAACTTTCAACCTTGGCCTTCCTTAAAGAAACACTTATACTTTTCCGGCAAGATAGCTTCAACCCCCTTCCCTCTCTCTCTATATATATCTGTAAGTATTCAACTCTTATACAAAATGCGACAATTTTGGCGTTCAAATTTGTTTCTCAGCTTATATTGGTAAATCTTAAATGTTATCACTAAATGTAGAGGCAAGAAGCTGAACATGAAGTTTAACAACATTTTCATGCAAATATAAGCTTCTATTAATGTTGTTTAGCTTTTGTCATGAGCAAGTTATGAAGTTTCCTGTGTTTTCAGTATTGCATGTGACATTCATTTGGGATCGGTGGTATCAGATATTTTCGTGGAAAGTATTCCTCTTCATTTCTTTTCTAATGCAGATTGAGCTACTCAAGTATGTAATTTATTATTGCTGTCACTGGACTGAGTAAAATCGAAATTGTTAGCAGTAGAAAAAACTGAAGTGAAACTTGTATCTTGTTTTGTGCAACCATAAGCAAAATCAAAAGAAAACGATCTGCGACAACGGACACGGATTTGTCTAAGTTTACAAGTCTGCAGTTCGCTATTTTAATCTGCACACTATGCATTGAATTTTTCAATTGTGCTTACCCTAATGGTCAAGTTACTCTTCTTTGCAGATTAGATCAATCCTGCACTAAATATTTGCGCCAAGCTGCATTTATTTATCAGGTGGAAAGAGCTGACGGAGCGCTGTGCTTCACTGTAAATGAGGTTTGTAGTTCACAATAACGAAGCAGTCAGTTTAGAGAAAATTTCACCAGAAAGGTTTACCAGCATCGTGTGATCCATTGGTTCTGCATAGTCTATATCAAAAAATTAGCAAACACAAGCATCTCAGAAAAGAACAGTTATGGATGGGTCTCAGAGGTTCTATAACCAATCTGCTCTAGATCGTGGGACCTATTTCTGGCATCCTAAACAGAATATAGGCCACTACCAAATTTCTGATGATGGTAGCCAAGAAATGCACCTTTCATCTGAGATATTCGAACAGCATTGCACCCTGGAATCATCTTCTGGATCTGGTGTTTACCCTGTTCACAGTTCTCCCTCTACTGCTAGTTTCTCCCCAAATGAAAGTGCAATTTCACAACTAAATTCTCAGTCATATCTATTGGATCTGCATGAGTCCTCTGAGAATACAAGTGGTTCTCCAGACAGGTCTTATGTTACCCACAAGCTGAGAGAACTGGAGACAGCAATGATGGGGCCTATAGATGATCTTGACACATATAATATAATGACTCCAACTGGGTCCAACCAAATCACATCTGAGGAAGATAAGTTCAAGTTTTTGGTGGAAATGATGGCCAGAGGAGACTTGAAAGAAACACTCTGTGCTTGTGCTCAAGCTGTTGCAAATAATGATATGCTGACAGTTGAATGGCTAATGGCAGAGTTACGACAGATGGTATCAGTTTCCGGTGAACCTATTCAACGTTTGGGAGCCTACATGCTGGAAGGCCTTGTTGCAAGGTTGTCATCTTCAGGAAGTTCTATCTACAAAGCGTTGAGATGCAAGGAGCCTACAAGTGCTGAGCTCCTCTCTTACATGCATATACTCTATGAAGTCTGCCCATACTTCAAGTTCGGTTATATGTCAGCAAATGGAGCAATTGCTGAAGCAATGAAAACTGAAAGTAGAGTTCATATAATTGATTTTCAAATTTCACAAGGTAGCCAATGGGTCACCTTGATCCAAGCTCTTGCTGCTCGACCTGGAGGGCCACCACACATTCGGCTTACAGGCATTGATGATTCCTCAGCAGCATATGCACGAGGAGGAGGACTTGATATAGTTGGTCAAAGACTATCAAGGCTTGCTGAGTCATGTAAGGTGCCCTTTGAATTCCATGCTGCTGCAGTTTCTGCCTCTGAAATTCAACTTGAGAACCTTCGGATTCAACCCGATGAAGCTATTGCAGTTAATTTTGCCTTAATGCTTCACCACATGCCTGATGAAAGTGTGGGTACTCAAAATCATCGGGACAGGCTATTGAGGTTGGTTAAGAGTTTATCTCCAAAGGTGGTAACTCTTGTTGAGCAAGAATCTAATACTAACACTGCCCCATTCATTCCCCGTTTCAATGAGGTATTAAACTATTATCTGGCTGTCTTCGAATCAATTGATGTTACTCTACCAAGGGAGCACAAGGAACGTATCAATGTCGAGCAGCATTGTCTTGCTCGGGAGATTGTCAACATTGTAGCATGTGAAGGTGCTGAGAGAGTAGAGCGTCATGAACTTCTTGGTAAATGGAAATCACGGTTTGCCATGGCTGGGTTTACACCCTGTCCATTAAGCTCTTATGTGAATGCTACCATCAAGGCTCTACTGGAGAGCTATTCCAAGAATTATACTCTGGAAGAAAGAGATGGATCTCTATATCTTGGCTGGATGAACCGACCTCTGATTGCTTCTTGCGCATGGAGGTGATAACCAGACTGTAATTAGTGGCACATTTGCTTGCTTAGACTGCAATTTGACACAAGATCATGCATGTTGTTGTTTTAGTCAAATATCATAACAATGTTGAGACATTAATGGATTATCTAGCGACATTGGCTCATTTGCAATATAAGGGCTCTCAGTTACAGTGAAACAAATAACATAAATTATATTAGTGTTTAGCTAGTGCGTTTCCCCCTTTAATTAATAGACTTCTTTGATCTTTCTCAAGTGTATCCACTGTACAATTGTTGCAGAGTCAATTTGAAACTTGCCCTTGTTAAGCTAATATTCAATTAATTAATATAAATTTTAATTGATAAATATTAGGAGTCTGCGATTAGGTCTTATGTTAGGAGTCTAGAAGTGGTATTATTTACAAATATAATTTATTCTGCTTTTTCATTGGGATTGGTTTCTTGTTTGTATATCTTTATTCTATATTTTATCAAACTCTCATTTTGTAGCGGCTGCACACCTCCTTATTTGTGTGAGCTACTGAACATTTTAACTATTTGCTGCGATCAAAGATTTTAATCTTTGGACTGCTGGAAACAGAGTTATTTTCTTAGTTTGTGCAAACATTTTTATTTCACTAATTTCTATTACTTTAGATATATCATAGTGCAGGATTATGTGGACAACAGGAACACATTTACTTGTACATCTCAGAATCTCAGGTGAAAACTATCACAAAACAGGGAAGTACAGCACTAGGATTTCTAACGACTAAAGATTCTGACTTTGAAAAATGAGCTTCACTTCCTATACTATCACACTCTTCTTTTACCCCATCAACCCTGTTAAAAACTGTCCCTGCAATAATCCTGCATACTATTACAGCCCTGTCCATTCTCTCCATTGAGAAATCAATTATATTATCACTTAAATCCTCACTATTTGTACTCAATCGAATCCCATTCTTCTTGGTGTACTCTGTCTCAAAATTAGATTGAATCGTTGTGCACACTTGGCAAGTAGGATCTCTACACAGCTCAGAAACCTCTGTTGATTCTTCACTGCAACATGTCATTGTAGTGCCATAAAATCGCAAAAGCTCGTTCCCATCTACCGTGCTTCTTGGATGTGTCTTTTGTTGCATATAAGCACTCTCCTTTACTTTCTCTCTGTATTTCTCAAACCTTTCAAGAATTTCAAATGAGTGTTTCACCTTCAGGACCTTTTTGATCTTCCTTGATGGTTTTGATGGGTTTGTTGATGCTTTTTGGAATATTATCTCAGTGATGTTTCTTGCTGGGTCTCCAATTTTTATCTCTGTTTCAAAATGCAAGGACTGTATAGTTAGGAACTCTAGGATACCATATTCAAGCTTCTCATTGCTTTGACATAATTATTATTATATTTATTTCTGTTCTTTAAAAATTGTTTTCCTCTATTTCAATATTGCAGTGATATTCACATACCAACAGATATCAAAGGGGACCATTTTATGAGCCTTAAAAGCTGCTAGCAAACAAATAATTATCTTTCCGTTCTCTCTTTTTCCAATTTAAGGGGTCCTGTAATCATTTGATATGTCTTCCTGCCTTTTGTTTGCTAGTTTACCTTTTGTTTGTTAATTTGCTAGTTTACCTCAAAAATATTTTATTTTTTTTATATTTGGGGTGCTTAAGATAATTAATAGCAGTCAATATTATTATCATCCGTCGTTGCCACCACCCCAACAGTCACAACAACCAACATAATTTATTATTTTTATGGATTTTTCTCGCATTTAAAGATTAAAGCAGAAAACTTCTTTAATTTTAAATATTTTATATTCTTGTAAACTAAAAATTGTAATATTGTTTAACCAATTTTCAATTTGAAAATAAACAATAGAAAATAAGTTATTCAGAACATATATTTCAATTAGTTATATTTCAAAAATAAATGGAGCATAAAATTCACTAATTTTATTGCTTATATGCTACAACAATATCAAACAGGAAATGCAAAGGTAAAGAACAAAAGCTGTTGAGAAAACAAGTCACTGAAAAATCAAAAATGTAAACTTTTAAAGTTGAATTTCACGTAAGAATTTTAATAATAAAAGTTATCTAAAAAATTTATTTCTGAAAAAGCAGTTTTAATCTCAATACCAAACAAAAAAAAAAAAAAAAAAAAAAACCAAGGTCACGTGAAAAAATCAAAAATGTAACTTTTAAAGTTGAATGTTCACGTAAGAATTTTATATAAAAGTATTTCTAAAAAATTTATTTCTGAAAAAAACAGTTTTAATCTCAATACCAAACAAAAAAAAAAAAAAAAAAAAAAAAAAAAAAAAAAAAGCTTACAACATGATAGGATTGAACACTTACCAGAATACCTAGTTCTTGTGCTGAATCCCTTGATAACTTCTCCAACTGATTTTGGGGTTCGACGAATGAGCTGTTTATCTAAATTTTCTTTCTGAGAATTGTTCTTCTTCTTCCCGCTGCATTTTTCCGGTAGGATAACCACATTACTCATCCTGCTCGCACAATTGACATTCTCCTTCAAGGACATCCAGAAAGTCTGCATCTTTTCTGGCGTGCTATTTGGATAAAAGAAGGGGATTTTGAAATAAAAGTACAGTTCCGGTGGAGATTTGGGCCATAACGTGGCTGCACAATTTCACAGCTGAAGCTAAAGCAAAGACAAAAGTTGTGAATTTAAGGAGTTTTGTATGCTTTATACAGAGCATTTATAATGTCAGCCCCACCCAGAAACACCATAATCAACCAAAACAGGAAAAAACAGTATTATGATGTAACAGTAATAAACTAGTAAAGAAAGAGACAACCTGAGTGCCCTGTTCGGTACTTGGTAGTTAAATTCGGTTTGGCTTGGCCTCACAGTACTTTTATGATGACATGTGAATGGAGGCCTCTTTTTTTTTTTTTTTTTTTTTTTTATTGTTTTATAATGGAAAATTGTAAATAATCTTTCTTTTTTTTTTTTTTTTTTTTTTTTGTTATAATGGAAAATTGTAAATAATCTTTCAAATGCAAAAAGAAAGTGTTCTACAGTGTTCTCTTTATCAACAGACGGTTATCTGAATAGGTTTGGATTTTAACTTTTATGTATAAAATTAAAAAAAATACATATAAATAATCAAGTATTTCAAATAAATTAGCTAATTAAATAAATAAAATATTTGAACTCTTAAATCTGGATTTATATAAAATGGTGTTCCTATAAAAATATTAAAATATATACAGATGTGGTGTTTTCATAACATTTCAAAGGCATTTTTGTTAAGATGTAACAAATGTATAATGACTGTAACAAAATTGAACCTTCGATTAATAAATGTGCAATAATATAAAATTAAGGGCGCAATTAGTAATTTACCCAATAAATAAAATATTCAAAGTTCATTTCAAGGACACCCAAAGGTCTAAAGTAAACCCACAATGAATCCCATTTCAAGCACTAATTTTACAATAGTGTTTTCTTATAGAAGAAAATAATACCTGTGTTACTTTTTCATATTTTTACAAAGCAGCTTTGTACTCAGCAAAGTCGATAATACAACAGTTGGCGACAGGTGCATTTCCAACAAGTTAATATCAAACATCATCTCCAAGATGGTGAGAACAATTCATATCTCCAGATTTCAGATTCTAGCCCTTTTTGTCATTGACCAGCTGAAATGGAAGCAGGAAAAAAAAGAAAAATCTCCACGAGGATTTTATTTCTGTTGACTTCATTTCGAAGAAATTTACGGACCCGTTAATAATCTTCCCATGTTCTGCGGGTATGGGTAAGAAGAATGGGTTATAGGTGGAATTTCGACGCTTCGACCTTCACTTGGATTTTGTCTAGATCCATACTGATTCATGCCACCATTTAAAACACCGTAGTAAGGCGGAATTGGATTTCTTGAAACTATTCTGAAACTGGAACCGCTAGTTTGGTTTTGACTCTGAGTAAACTCTGAATGTAGGGCTTGTTGCTGGTCATTGGATCTATTTTCAGCAGATGCACTTATCCCAACTCCGAGATCAAGGCTAATTGTCTCACTTTCATCTGATCTAATCCTCAATGGTCCGTTCATGGCTGTTGGTCCTGCTGTGTCATGACTGCTAGTCCGTGCTGTAGGAACATCATGATTGTGTTTCCCTTCATATGTGGTTATAACTGCTTTTGGATCATGTGATGCCCTCTCCACATGTTTCCTAACCGGGCATCCAGCATTTGTGCACTTGTAGTAACTCCTGCAAAATGAATAAAAATGGTAAGAAACCAGTGGGTACCTTCAAGAGAGGAACGGGAAAAGGTATAGGCACACATGTAGCATAAAAGGGTTGTCTCGTGCAGATTTCGACTATTGCTCTACTTCGTCGAAAAGGGTAGAAATCTCTAGTTACTGATATTTTGGATTACAAAAGTAATTCCTAGACCTTCCGAAAGGATATGAATGGAATTATCATGTAGTACTAGTCCATAAAATGTCTAATATTGAATAAATTTTGATCCAGTGCTTAGTTTAACAAGTAGTTCTATTCATCTTTAAGTACGTTTAGAATCATAAACAGGCGCAAGTAACAGTGTAATTGAAGAATTATTACCAATCAAGAAATCAATTTCGATCACATTTTAGCCACACATTGACACGAGGAGGAAGTACACACATATGTTCAATGTTTCTAGCATACTTCTGGTAATGCTTGATAGAAAGATACAAAAACAGCAGCAACAACAAATGTATATATACATACCAATTGCAAGTTGTAGTTGTATAAATATTGCATGTCAACCACTAGAGATTCACTATTTGGTTCCTTCAGAATGCTTCAGTAATAACGTAAATTATAAGAAAAATTAACAAGAAAATTCTTCTATTCCGATCCCAGTTATGTTTTGGTGCTTATTTTCAAAAAATTGTATGCCTGACAACGTGATGTTTAATATATGGCACGCTTTATATTTCCTAAAATAAAATATGTCGTCAAACTTGTAAATACTAAAAAGATCCCATGGAAAATTTGAGAACTAAATTACCATTTGGGTTGCGTTCAACCAAATGGTTGCAACTTGCACCCACAGAAATTCCCACACCAAAACATAAAATGCAAAAGCAATATTCAACTTTCCTAGTTAACTTTTTGCCTGGAGACTCAAGCAAATGTGCCTGAATAAATAGAAACATAACTGTATTCATTGGTATATTGCAGCACAAAAATAGGTAGCAAACAGATTATAGCACCCTCAAGAGTTACATAAGGACATTAAGAAAAGATGCACAAGCAGATAAGTTAATTAGAGAGCACTGCGGCTGGCTGTCTGCTTATTCTTCATCGGGCATCATTTCTCAACATTTACACCTTAGGATTATCTTTAACAAATATGAATCAATAACTACTTTATAAATCATGGTGATTTCACAATACTAGATTCCTAATACTAAGCATGAAAATTTATGAATCATGCGCATGTGCAAAAGTATAAGGTCATTTCATAACTCGATTCACTGTCAACATGGAGAGAAGAATATGCATATTTGCCAAAAGTTTGCAAATTTATTGAAAAAAAAAATGCTTCAATAACAGGAGGGAAGAACAGCAAGAGAATCTATAACTATTTAACTCTTATCATCAACACTGAAAACAACAAAATATACCTTGGATTAGGATTGCCTCTCACTACTTTCTGCCCATACTTGCGCCACCGGTACCCATCATCCAGTATATCAACCTCACTCAGAGTTTGAACAACAACGCGTGGTTCCCGGATGGGCTTAACCACTGGAGTAACATCAAAACACCCAGTATCCATTTTCCTGCTTGATGGAATTACATGATTTAGTGGTTAGTGCATGCATTTACCACTCAGTAATAAGTTAGAACTGTTAACTCAGTACCTCCTTTTTGAGAAGGGATCATCATCATCCTCAGCACCTTCTATGCTATCATCATTTGCTGTAACAGGAGACTGTTCAGGGGTACCATTGGGCTCCATGGTATGAGACACTTGGCCATATGCACTAGATGACTTGTCTATAATGCGAACAGTAAAACACAAAGGAAGGAAGCAAATCAGCTAATAAAATCTAAAGAAGGAACAAAATAAAAGAGATAGAATTTTGGCTTACCATCTCGGCCAGGTAAAGAAGAACTTTTGTCGGATCTATCTTCTTGCATGGACAAAACAGCCCCAGCAGTATATCGGCGGCTGGGTTGGGGTTTAGGATGATCATGTGTACCCTTATAGATGATCTCTGTTATCTGCCCATCATGTGAGCGCTCAAATAACTTTTTCACCTCACAGTTAGGATGTGTACATTTGTAGTAGCTGCGTGGGAATTCACTTCCTTTAACATGTTTCTGTCCATATTTTCTCCAGTTATATCCATCATCAGATGACACTGAAAGGACACTTCCTCCTTTATGATCAGATTGCGAAGCCTGAAGCCCATTGTTGGAGGGCCCTATCTGGTTTAATTCATCTGAGTCAGCTTCAGTGGGCGTACTAGCCCCAGAAGTAACAATGGGAAGTGAAGCCGATAGACTCAACTCATTTGAGGGGACAGCAAATTCATTTTTCACCTTAGGTGATGCAAGTGATTGGGACTGGCACGGCCCTTGGGCGTGAACGGATTGTTCAATTCTCTGGTGACTCATATCTGCGGAAACCTTGAAAATAAATGAAACAAATTAGAAAAAAAATACCTTCCAATCAGCAAGACATACTTCCAGACAGACAATAAACCCAAATGAAAAAATACTATAGCACATACCAAGTTTGATCTAGCATGGGGCCTAAACTCAAAGCGGCTGGATGTCCTTTCTCCAAAGACGTTTGAGGGAATGGTAGTTGCTGAATATGAAGTGGAGACGAGAAAGCCATGCCCTGTTTGAGGCTTAGTAAAGGAACCAGTAGTTGGGGAAGGCTCTGCCTGCAAGATCAAGAAAGTATTATGAATTTACTCTTTTGCAGCTTTTTCAATAACTCATAAGTGAAACATAAAAAAATATCTCAAATATCAAGCGATAGAAAACAAAACTAAAAGTGAATAGCAAATGATAAAAGTATTAGCTTAATCAATAGCTTCTAATTCCTTCATTGATGAATCAATAACTCCAACATTACTTCACACCATTATCCCCATAATTTTCCCCTTAGAAAGCATCCATAGAGATTTAGACAAAGATAGTATCAATAAATAGAAAAGATCAGCACATCTAATCGTGTGAGCTGATTCTCACTGCTAAAATTTGAAAGGAATAAAAATAACATAATAAACTTATAAAGGTGAGTGAAAGCAAGAGAAATACCTTCAATCTACAAAAAATATGAGCGCTTGGACTGTTAAAGCTAAAATCATTCTTGACCACGTGTATCTTTTTCTTTATGATTTTCAGCTCTACTCTACATTGGGGTCATAGGCTCTATTCATAAGCTATTAGCCATTAAGCTCATTATCACCATAGAAAATTGAAATTATTCTCACTCCAGCACTCCCTTGACTCACATATGCTTTATAGTTCACTATTCCTATTTATATATGGGATACATTCAATAATTATCAGCCTCTCCATCACAGCATTTATTCCATATTCTAAGAATACAATAGTAAAGTATATTTTATGCAGCTGACGACGCCGTTAAAACGTTGGAAACAAAATGCACAACCAAAAGGGCAAGATTCATTATGTGAAAAAACAACACTGGCATTAACAAAGAGCTCTCATACTGCTTCCAAAAGACATATTCTCCAAAAAAATTCCAATAGAACAATCTAAGTGGACACAACACCTATATATTGTTTTAAATCATCAAGCATCAGAATCTAACTTCAGTTTCCAATATGAGAATTATATATAAATATAAAGTAATAGTAATATTAATAATAGACGAAACCAAATAAAACAAACAAACGAACCGGAATTTCGAATTTCAAGATATTACGGTGGAACAAAGAGCATCTCATTAGCTCAAACTTTAAGTCAAAATCACATCACGAATTAAATTTAAGTCCCATCCAATTGCCCACTTAAAATTTACAATAACTTCTAGAACTCGACATGACGAACCTGCAACTCTACCGTTCTTTCATAACTGTAAAATAGTTAAAGCATAATTTAAAAAAAAAAAAATCGACATTTAAAAGAATAAAGATTCTCGTAAACGCTTCACTTACCAGAAGCTTTTCCAAAAAAGAAAGACAGGAAAACGAAATTTAAGTCCCCGTTTGGTTGCATGAAGAACTATATTCTAAACAAATACTAAAATTAGCAGTTCCTCTACTTCGCTCTACTTCTATTAGCTGCCAAACAGATCTTCACGTTCATAACAAGTCAATTTCAGTTTCAATTTTCACTTTATGCAAGTAAACTAATCTAAACAGCAATTTTTATTTACCATTTCCTTAATTTTCTAAGCAACCAAACAGAAACCAAAAAACTCGATCCAAACTACTACTAACCTTAACATTAGAGAGCAAAACCGGAGACTCAAGGAACGAGGTAGGACTTAAACCAGGAGGAATCGTGATGCACGGGGACCTAGAGATCGGGAGCTTCGCCGGCGACATCAGCTTGTAGCGGGCACCAACGGAGCCAGCAGCACCACCGTTGTCGGACTCAGAACGGGTCGGATCGCCCGAATCCGAGACATCATCGGAGGGTCCGCTAAGTCGAAGGCCAGGCTCAGAGTTACTATTGTCCATTACAGGAAGAGGGAGAGACCGAGAAAGAAGAAGAGAGTGTGAATTCGAATGGAGAGTCAAAGAGAGGAGAAATGGATTGCTAAAAAGGGAATACGAAGAGGGTAATTTGGTAAATTTGGAAGAAAGAAAGTATTTTTGTGTGAGGTTTTTTGTTTTGGGACTCTATTGTGTGTATGTGTGTAGAGGAAGGGAAGGTTTTGTGTGTCAGGAGAGGAGAGAGAAGGACGTAGTTGACTTGTTACGTTGGATCTGGAGGTCTGTCATTGGGCTGTCATTTTAATTTGGTGTTGCTTGTGGTGGTTAAAACGTGTTTCATGCTACCCAATTTTATTTATTTCTTTCTTTTTTTACCATGTTAATTTTTTTTTATTACTTTGGTTAAAATTTAATATATTTTTTTTAAAATTTAAAAGATGAAATTTTTTATGGGTCAAAAGATGAAATTTAAACATTATATAAATTTGTCAAATTCCTTTGTATTTTAAAATTTATAAAATTAATAAATTTCCTCAATTTTTATAAAAAAAAGAATATCTCGTAATCACTTGTTTTGCTTCAAAATTATGGTTTAAATATATGAATTTATAAATTCTATATTTTAATTAAGGATAGAATGAATATATCATTGATTTCATGAATTTTTTAAAATTTATGTATTTGATAGTCATTAATTTCAAATGACCACGTTTACTCTGTAATTGTCTTTAGTTTGCAACACTAAATTTACAATAAATAATTATTTATTTTTCCTCAGGAGACTTTATATAATTATTACTATAATACTTGTCACACCTGAGAAAATAATTTGTTCCAAAATACTTATCATATTTGTGGTTTTAAAAAGTAATAAAATTTTTTTTCTATGTTTAACTTTTGTATATTACAATAATTATTACTTTAATTTAATATTTTTCTTATAGTATTAAATTAAGGATAAAATAATCAATTTATTTAATAATTTATTGTAATTTAGACAAATTTTTTTAAAAGACATGAAATTCCAAGATAATAATTAAGAGATAATATCCACTATAATAGCACCAAAATAATATTCCAATTCAAAACACTATTATAGTTGTAGAGTTCATCACATTTGTCGGAATCCAACTTTCAATTTTGGATTTCATTATAAAATCTAAATTAAAATGCACTAGCATTGAAAAAAAAATATATATATATAAAGTATTATTTATATTCCAATTAGATATAAAATTTTTTGTCAATGGAATAATAAGCTGCACTATCAAACTTCACTGGTGTCTTTTAATTTTTTTAAAAAAAATTTATTCTTGTCTGTTGATAATTTCATTGAAATAAATATTAATTATTTAGAAAACTAATAAAATAGTCAATTACTTTTTTATACATATAATTGAGATTATTTTCTTAATTTGTGTGTAAATTGCGAAGTATCTTTTAATAAAATAAAAAGAATATTTATCGATATAATTACTTATTTTTATGTTATTGCAATTGTTTAGTTTATAATTTAAAAAATATTACTAATACGCTAATATTTAATTTGTAACTAAAAAAATTATATAATTTGTATCTCTTGTTATTACTAGTAAATTTCATTTTCTATTGTTTATTAGTACTTAGTATCATCCACAACCCCAATTACATTTACGGCTACATCATCCTTGTTATTTCCACTAATCATCATTAACAATTCTTATCAACATTACTATAATATATTTATATTAATTGTTTTTATTTCGAAATTCTGTAATTCAACTTAGGATTAAGGTGGTAATGAAAATAAATATCTAAATTTAAAAAATTTATTTCAAATAAATATCATGTCAATATAAATTGAAGTTATTCAAATATCAAAAAAAAAAAAAAAAAAAAAAAATTGTCCTATTGTTTATAGGTAGCTTAGTATCAATCCCACCAACCCCATTACATATAAACAGGCTCATCATCCTTGTTATTTCCACCTAATCTATCATAACAATTCTTTATCAACATTACTATAATATATTTATATTAATTGCTTTTTTCATTTTAGAAATTTCCTGTAATTCACAGCTTACAGGATTCAAGGTGGTCCAGAGTGAAAAATAAATATCTAAATTTAAAAAGATTTTATTTCACACATAAGATATCCATGTCAATATAAAATTGAATAAGTTATTCAAATATCCAAAAAAAAAAAAAAAAAAAAAAAAAAAAAAAAAAAAAGGATTCCTTCATCCTTATCAACCAAACCAATATTTGAAATTTTATTTAAAGAATGCATTTCTATTTCCAAAAGCAACATAATATCCATAAAAATTATTTCTATTTTCACGTGAATGCAAGTGGGAATTGTGATTATTTTTATCTAATAGCATATAATATTAATTATTTGATTAAGAAAATATGACAAACAATTTGTGCTAAACACCTAAAACAGTCCTAATTGGACTATCACAATTATTTGATAATCATAATTAAGAAATGCATTAAATGGATTTAAGACTGACTTCATAAAAATTAAAAAAAAAAAAACAAAGGAAAGTAAAATAATTTTACAAGTTGAAAATTGTGAGGCTAAAAATGAATGCTGTTTCTAAGTAATGTACCAACTAGACAACTAAATTAGGTTTGTCAAGTGATAAGAGTATTGTAATCTACTACTTATAAACAACTTGCTTATCACTCGATGGATAGGGTACTTTATAAAAAATGACTTGTTACATTGAATTTAGATATATTTGTGTCAATTGACTCAAATGACGGATCTTTTTCCGCTCAGATTGGGATAAAATTTAGATAAAATTCTTCAAAAATGATCACTCTAAATAATAATTTTAAAAATTTGAAATAAATAAATATATATATTATTTTAAAACAATTTGAAAATACAATAAATTATCATATATATACTATATATGAGTTAGCAAATTTTTTCCTTTTTAATCTAAGTAGATCGACGTGGTCCTCTCAATCTTCTACATAATTCGATGCAGCTTTATAAATAAATATATATATATATATATATAAGCAAATTTTTTTTTTTAATTAAGTAGATCGACGTGGTCTCTCAATTTCTAATAATTCGGATGAGTTTTGTCAATATCTAATTATCTATATATTCACAATAGAAATTTTTTTGTTTGCATATATAATTTCATGCTGAAATTAGAGTGATATTTAAATAAAGTCCTCTCAATAGTGATCGACTTTAAAATTCAAAACTTAAAATATGTTCATAGATGGAATTTAAGATATATCCTTTTGGGATATAACAATTAAAAATTTCACCCAATTTAGGTCATATATGGTAAGTAAGACATATAATCTTAACCCTTAAGATGAGTATTCTCAAGCTAATTATCACCAAACTAAAAAAGCATATTAGAAATAAATAAAAATATCTCTAAAACAAAGAATCAAGTTAAGTCTAAATCTCTAATTTTCTACATTATCATTGAATTAATTAATATTAACGCAATTGGCATAATTATTTATAATTTCTATCAACAACAACATTATTGATTAGATGTAGAAAGTAGAAAGCATGAAAATGATTTTTGAACTAGAATATCATCTATTACCACATAATGAGATTCTACTATAAAGTACAATAATCTTGGAAAGAAACCCTACCTCTTGAAAATGGACATTTTTCCCAAAATGGGTATTGTAACACAAAACCCTCTTTAAGTTTTTACTGGCATCTTGAAGAACACAACAGGAGTTTGTCAAACATCTATCTAAATCGTGATTTAAATATATAATTAGTGAATTGATATATGGATTAGAGTTTAAACCCTTTACGCTTAGGTTGACATTGCAACTTGGGTGAAAGCACTATAACCACTCCATATATAACTATGGAGGAGGATTGGCCAATTGAGAGGTGAGCAGGTTAAATCACAATTTTTACCCTTTTAAAATCTTTTGGCTTCTGAGTTGAAATCACAACCTCAAGACTGCCAATCCTTAAGGCTTAGGGTTCAAACTTCAAAGAAGCTAAATATCTACTATCCATTTGGAAGAAAATGTTTGATATATATTATCAAATTCAAAGAGGAAATCCAACTATTAACCAAGCTAACTCTTCAAAAATTAGTGTTTATAAAACAAGATTTTTAACTAAATTATCCCTAAAAGCTTAAATTTCTTATTCCTAAGTAGGCATGATAATGGTTTGAACTAGAATTAAACTGAAACCAAATTAGTCGAAATCAAAATTGAAACCAAATTGTGGTTAATAGTTCTTAGTTTCCAATCAAAACAAAAAATGTGTATGTGATTTAGTTCTAGTTCCTCTGGTTTAGGAAACCAAAACCCATAGCTTGAAATTGGTGGTTTTGATTTCAAACCATAAAAAAATTGTGAAATCACAAACTATACAAAAACCTCCAATACGTTTTTTATTTATTATAATTTAATACTAAACCATTTTTCTTTTTTCGGCTCTAAAACTACTACTTAATGTTATTATTGTTTATTGTTTATTCATGCCATAAAAAATTTAAAAAAATCTAAAGAATAAAGTTATTTGGTTTATAAGAATTGAAGCAAAACGGATATTTTCAAAATGCCCAAGAGTGAATTAGTTCTCATTCTAAAACCATGTTTATACCTATTTGGGGGACTTGTTTGTTACCATATACTAAAACCTAATATGGGGTATTTCACCAAAAAACTTGATAAATTTGGTTTTTGAGCATAAATAAAATAAGGCAAAAAAATATTTGCAAAAATTGTGAAATGTGAGGACAAGAAGTTAATAAATGTGAACATTACAAAAGAGTTATTGGCTAAAGCTGCCTTATCCCATGCCCATAGTCTTATTAAGAAGCATGCAATAAGAATCTCATGCTGCCTTGTTTGTCGACAGAATTTAATGTCAACACAAATGGATTCACAGATAGATAGCATTGGCAACACGCTTATAAACGAGCGACAGACAGAATGGTACAAGTTTATTTAATGTCAAACGGAAGGAGGAATAGACAGACTCGCTCTACTATTTAAAATTATGTAAGCAGTGTGATAAATATGCCCAAACAGAAACAACCATCACATTCAAACAATCGAAGTACCGTTTCTTCCGCCACCATATTTTACCGCAAATTTCTAAGGAGAGCTGTGGTAATATGAATGAATATTGTATTTACATTTACAAACTTATGCAAATACATTTCCAGTTTCAACATATTGATGATACATCTCTGTAAGGTAATCGCAATATATAAAAATTGAAACTAAAAGTCACATCACATGTTAGCAAGAAAATGTATGATGCAAGGATGTAAGGATGATAACACAATTGACAAAAAAGTGTGTGTGTGTATATATATAAGGCTTTTCCGAGAAATCCAGACTTGCATAAGGAAAAGCAAACGTTTTATAACAGAAATGCAAAAGAAACGTGAAAAGGAAACTAAACTGCATAAAAATTTTAGTTGGTTTGCAATGCACTTAAACGCTTCCCTAAAATATTTTCAAAGAGTACAAGGCCAATATCCCTCCGGATCAAAAATTGCCTCCTAACACTACTTTTAATCGTAAAAAAATTCTCTTTCCAGGGAAGGCTGTTGGCATCCAGTATGGTGTTTGAATGCACAACATACTCATTCAGAAAATGGCCAAGAATTGCCATTTGCACTCTATTGAATTCCTGAAAACAACGCATATAAAACCCCGAAAATGACAAAGGCATAAAGAATCAACTCGTCTTTCGGAAGTATGTGTTCAACACGATACCAAAAAAGCAAAATGAAAGAAATCTCTATGCAGTATGACCTTTCAAAGACCTTTTGAACCAAAAGAAAACACATGTAAATATATGACATAAAACAATAATAATTACCTAAACATTGTGAGTGTTGTTTAAACACTAAAACGTGTGCCAACACCCGCAAATCCAGCTAAACAAATTCAGTTGCTATACGACATAAGTGCTGATATATTTTTCAAGACCTTTGAAATCCAAAAGAAACCACATGTAAATATATGACATAAAATCAATAATAATTACCTAAACATTGGGTGAGTGTTTGTTTAAACACTAAATACGTCGTGCCAACACTCCCGCAAATCCAGCTAAACCAAATCAGTTGGCTATAGCGATAGACGCTTCGCCTGGATCACTATATATCATATATACTATATATAATATAATATATAATAATATATATAAAGCAAAGCTTTGCTAATTCTTTTCCACCAGCACTCCAAAGTTAACCAAAACCTAATTCTATCTCCAAGTGCCAGAGTCCGTACCGTATTCACTTGTCAGATCCCAAAAAATTAACTGGGAATAGTAAAGCTGAAAGGGGGTATTGAAGGGTGGCAAAAACCATATCCAAACCATAAGGCAGCTGGTCTATCATAATACCAGATGACATATATGGATCCAGAAGGGTATGGATGACTCCGTAGCGGGGTTTTGGGTTTGCCAGCCAAGCCCATAGCATATAAAGCAAAGCTTGCTTTCTTTCCACCAGCACTCCAAAGTTAACCAAAACCTAATCTACCATCCAAAGTCGTACTATCACTGTCAGATCCCAAAAAATTACTGGGAATAGTAAGCTGAATGGTATTGAGGTGGCAAACCATATCCACCATAAGCAGCTGGTCTATCATAATAACCAGATGACATATATGGATCCAGAGGGTATGGATGACCCGTAGCGGGGTTTGGGTTGCCAGCCAAGCCCATAGCAGCTCCTGGCAAGCCAAAGGGACCCGCAGGTGGACCTGCATAAGAGGCAACATGAGGAGTGGAACCCACTAGCCCATAAGGGCCAGCTGCTGGCAACAAACCTGCAGGAGGAAAATGAGATTGTTGAAATGGAGGAACAGTTGAATTAGAACCAGCAATATTGATAGGAACAGCAGGACCAGTGAACACAGATGTACGAGGACGCTTGTTTCCATTTAGCAGTTGCTTCTTTGCTTGCTGTTTCTTTGATTGCAGCTGTTGTATCTGTTTCTTTGGCTGCTGCTGAGGCTTATTATCAGGAGATGGAACAGGCATTTTCTTGCCTGCCTTCTGCTTCTCTAGCGTCTCAATACGCTTTTCAAGTTCCGGGCGTGGGTACTCAGATTCAAGCTTGTATTCATCAACAACTTTGAGTACTGATTTCAAAGCATTAACTTCTCTGGATCTGGCCTCATTCTGTTTCAAAGTATAGTCATATGCAGGAGCAACTACATGACTTCAAGACTACAAGCTATCGTGGAAAACAAAAGGTTGCAGAATTACCTGTGCCTTAATTGAGTTTTTTGTGTCCATGCAAATTTTCTTAGAAAGTTCATTGCAATCCTTCAGGTAATCCTTCAAGAGAGAAACTGGTTCGAACTTGTCAGTCAGCCCAAATTCAAAAGCAAATCTGACAGCCAAAAGATGTTTGCCATTCTCTATGAGTTTCTGAATAAGATCTGCAGTGTAGAAAAGATAGCAATTTCCATCACAATTTCTTCTATTGACAGGATGTTAGCAACAATAAGAAGTCCTTTGCACCACTCACATTCAGATGTTTGTGAGCACATGTGCATTTGTGTGTGCACGTGAATATTTTTCTTATCAACAAGGGCATTGTGGACTTGAGCCAACTCTTTTCACAAACAATGGTTAATTGCATCACAGCCAGCCAAATGACAAGAATAATTTGCTTAACACAAAGATTAGCTCAATAACTTACCATGCAATCAGATAAAAGTCAGCTGTCCATCATTTTTCCTATTTTTTGTTATAAATACGAACTAATTTGTTATAAAAGCTGCATTATCCGACTTAAATTGGCTCCCGCCACAGGGATCCCAGGAAGTCAATCTAACCATTTCGGAGTTTCATTCTTTCACCCAAGTTTCCAATTCACCATTCAGTTTTGAATACCTTATTCAACAAAATCCATGTCTAAGTAATCAGTTGGGGACTTGGCTAATCTTATCAATGGTAAAAGGAGAAACAGAAATTCTACTCTAACATATAGCTACTGATTAGCTTGTGGCAAATAATCATAGTTGGTATCATGCACCAAATTACTTTACAATTATGGAGATAACACCTAATACTAGTGATCACTACACATATTCTATGAAATAGTTAAGCAATGGAATAGACAAGAACAAAAATTGCGCACTTATTAAATCCTTAAATGAACAAGTTTAACGTATTTGATGTCTCAAAATTCATTCACTACCGACAAACTCTGTATCCATAGAAGCAAGAGCTACTTTCTTCAAGGTCTCACTCTTACTTCGCCACCAGTGTTGTAATTAAATTTTCCCTTTTCAGTTTGGATAATTATCGCCAAGTTTACCATTTAACCAAAACATACCCATATAATTACACACTAATTGCCATACTTAAACAGCCTTTGGTTGCATGTACTTGTGGTAATATACTCCCATATATAACAATCAACATACAATGAAGAGAAGCATAAACATTGTTGGTAAAACAAAAAGGCTAATAGAATCAAAAGCTAGCTCTAACCTATATATATTTTAAGCCAAGACTGAACAACAAATGACAAATGTCTATCAGCATTTCAATAAACAATGTATATAAACATAAAAACAATAAAGGAAACAGATTCAGGTAGACATATAATCAACATCATTGAGTTTAAACCAACAGAACATTACCGGCAATTTTATCTCCCAAGCCAATAGCACGGCACAAACTTGTAGCTTGCTTAAACCTAGCAATGACAACAAAGTAATTCACAAGCTCACCCACATCAAATTCATTCTCCATTCCATACGCCACAAGCAAATTCAAGAAACCTAATGCCTCTAAGGGGCTATCCCCATTCAAACTGACTTTCTCTTTCCACTCTAAAGCCAATCTTTTAGCCCTTTCCTTCACTTCATTGCTCAAATTTGGTTTAATCTCTATCACCACCTCCAACAAGTCCAAACAACTCTTTCTTAAACGAAACAAATCCAAATCTTTATCACCTTTAGAACTCGAACTTGATGAATAGAATCCATCCAATGCATCCAAAACCATTGCTCCAGGGTCCAAAGCAACCGCCATTAACCCTACAAGCTCTAACCGGATAGCTTCCCGCTCTTTCGCATGGTCGCTTATGTAGTTCCTCAATCCTCGCCCATCCATTTTCTCACAAAAAGAAACCAATTCCGGCCGGTTTTGACTCAATTCCATCTCGGTCCGAGTCAATGAATCATGAACCAGTGGATTAGATGAAGATGACGGGTCGCCATTGTTAACCGCTGGTGGCTGATCGGAAATACCAGAATCAAGAGGAGCGTCGACTAGGTCATGACTCGATGGAGGGTTCTTTTGAGCGGAAGAAGAAGAATGAAGGGACTGGAGGCGGTGAAAGCGGTGGGTGAGGGTGGTTTGCAAGGAGGTGAAGTGAGAGTCGAGCTCTGACCAGGAGAGGTTGAAGGAGGAGAGGAGAGAAGAGTGAGCTTGAAGATCATCATAGGCTCGTTTAAGGCTTTCCTTTTTTGTGTCAATTAGTTTCAAAGCTGCTTCGATCGTTTTTAAAGTCGCAATTTCTGTGCCTTTGGAAGAAGACGCCATTGTTAGAGATTGAACCCTAGCTGTAGAAGAGAGAGAGAGAGAGAGAGAGAGAGAGCGAGCGCGCGTTAATATATCAGGATTTGACGCTGTGCCCGCCGTATCATTGTTGTTATACCGGCGGTGGTGGGCAACCGAACGGATAATGAATCTGAGTAATCAAAAAGTAAAACGATGCCGTTCTAGTTTGTTGAGACCGAGAGTGGGCAGCAGATAGCAGGCCCAGACAGGCGCAAAGCACGTTTTTGCTGTTCTCTCTTTTGGTTCGTGAACGGCAGGTCGCTGCATTTATATTTTTTTTTTTTTTCCTACAATGTCGTTTCTCTCTCTGTCTCTCTCTCTCTCTCTATATATATATATATTTTTTTTTTTTGAAAGGCGTCTCTCTCTATATATATTATTATTATTATTATTTTTTTTTTTTTCTTCGTATGAGGCGGAATGGACTTTTTTTAGTGTATATGAGTATTCATATGTTTTTTCTGTACACTGGGACCAAGCCACTCTATATGCGATTTTAAAAACGTATATTCTACTGCATCGATAATTTGGTATGTTTAACAAATGTTTTTAATGTTCATCATCAGCAAATTTAAACCCTAATTAATCAGCAAAACAATTCTAATTCTCATCAATTGAAAAGAAAATTTAAAGTTTGAACAAACTGTTTTTCAGAACACAGAAAGTTGAAAAGCTTTTCCATATGCATTATTTAAATCACATGTTATGCCAAAGATGGAGGCAGAGGCCAACTTCTAATGTTCACATGTTCCTTCGACTACTCATAAATTCATACCACATTGCTCATCACTGGCAAGATATCAATATCTCTATAAAAATATCTTCGACTATTTAATTTATCTGTTAATATTTTAAATTGAAAATTTTTGTTTCCTTTAATTTTTGTATTTAAAAGTACTTTTTTTAAATATATATACTACTCTTATTTATATATAAAAGAAAATAATTTAAAGTTATGACAAACTGGTTTTTCAGAACACAGCAAAGTTGAAAAGACTTTTCCATAATGCATTAATTTTAAATCACATGTTATGAACTACAAAGATGGAGGCAGAGGCCAACTTCTAATGTTCACATGATTCCTTCAGAACCCCTTACTCCTAAATTCCCATCACCCCAAACATTGCCTCATCACTGGCAAAGATAATCAATATCTCTATAAAAATAATCTTCCGCTATTTAATTTAAAATCTGTTAAATATTTTATTGTAAAATTTTTGTTTTCTTTTATTTTTAGTAAAATTATAAAAGTACATATATTTTTAATATATATATCTACTCTTTATTTATATGAGTATCATACTATCATATATATTACTCATCTATATATATATATAATATATATATATATAAATATAAAATTAAATAAAGGAAAAATTACCGATAATTTTGGTGAGATAGTGTTTACCGCGAGAGAAAAAAAAAAGGAAAAAAGAAAAGGCATAAAAAGGAGAGAAATGGAGGACAAGGGCTAGCAATCAGTGAATGGAAGAAATAAATTAAAATAAAGGAAAATACCGATAATTTTGTAGATAGTGTTTACCGCGAGAGAAAAAAAAAAAGAAAAAGAAAAGGCATAAAGGAGAGAAATGGAGACAAGGGCTAGCAATCAGTGAATGGAAGAAGATTAGAATAGGTTGATCAAAGAAAAACCATTTCACTTAATCATCACGTTAGGTTAAACTATCCGGTTTACAAAGATATGATCCAAAATTTATGTTTTTTATCACTTAATTTATTATAATTTGAATTTAATATGTAATTGTGATGGAAAATTTTTCATAATTTAAATTTAAGATGCAACTATAATAGTATTTAACTAATCTCTTGAGTTGGACTAACTCAACATATAGAAGCGACATTCGCATTTTCTATTTATTATTCAATAAGTTTTTCATAGTTAAAATCATTTTGGATGCAATTGTTACAATCCAAAAAGTTCATATTATCTTATATAATTTAGCCTAATTGTTGAAAATATAATAACACTTAAAGCTTATATGAATTTCTATAATCTGCAACAAAAAATATGTTTATGGTGTGTTATTTTACTTGTATGGAAATAATGCAATTAAGCCATTTATGTGTATGATCCATATAAGAAAAGAAAAATATCCTACATTTGAAATTATATAATCTTGCATTTAAAATCAAGATTTGCACCTAAAAAAGAAAAAAAAAAAAAAAGAATCGATTTTCCAAAGTTAAATATTGATATTGAGAGAGTATTATCATTCTCTTATTGTATATGTAGATGTAAAATTATTATTTTAGGAGTTACTCGAATATTAAAATTTTCGCTCTCTATATCTTTATAGATAAAAAATAAATAAATAGATTAATTATAACGCATCTAATTTAATATTTTAGATTATGAGATGGATAATTTAAATTTTTATTTCAAATTTTTAGAAACTTATTGTAGTTTTATCCAATTTTTGTGTCTGAAAATTGACAGTTAACATAAGAAATGAATAGTAGAATTACAATTTCACTCATGGGTGTATGTAATAGATTGTTCCTCGATCTTGTAAAGTACTTTAGAATATTTCTATGTCCTTCCATTAAAAAAAAAGTTATCATTTTCGCTGTTAAATAATGATATAAAGACAAAAAATTATTTTCCTATTACTTAATATATACTCAATAATTAAGAGAATTATTTTTTTAATTTTTGAAATAATTTTAAAAAGGCCATTAATTTTATTTAATTTTTCTCAGTTATTTTTTAAATATTTTTAGAGAAAATCAATTGGGAGAATTAAAAACAAATTGATAGGCAATTATTTACTTATCTAAAATATTAAAATATTTTTATTTCCGATTATACCTACATTTTAATGAAGGAATTTTTGTTTTTATATCATAATTTAATAGTTAAAATCGCATTTTTAAGATACAATGACTAAATAATTTAATAAGTAAATTCAAAAATCGAGAAGCAAAATTTTTTTAATTAAATAAAATTAATAATTTACTCAAGATAAAAGGGGATTTAAATTTTAAAGTAGCTAGATTATTGAATTATTGATAATGACATTTAAAAAAAAAAAAAAGAAAGAAATTTGAGATTCCATCAGCATATGCCATAAAAGAAAAGTTCCATACTACTGCAACCCAAACACGCTCCAGCTGTTACCCGTTGACTTTCCCTCTATCCTCTTCCGAGTTCCATATTTGCTGGAATCCTCCAGCAACATCTGGGCCGTTTATGTCGCCCACATGCTGACATGAACGACCCAGATCCCAAAAACAATCAAAAAGTTGACTTTTCTTCACAGCCTAAATTAAAATCCATAAATTTACGATAAAGTCCTAACCCCAAAAACACGCTACGACGTGGTTCCTCCGAAGTAACCTCAAAACGACAGCCATCGAATTTGGATTTCACTGTCGAACGAGGAAATCAATTTCCATACTTACCCCAAAAATTCCAATCCCAAAACGGTTTGTTCTGAAGGAAAACGGTTTATTACTCTAAAAGATTTTTATGAAAGACACTCGCTTTATTATTTAGCCTGTATGAAACCAATCAAAAATAAATTTTGGACTCCAACGTTTAAATTCTTGACCGGTTTTGAAAGTCTTATCCTTAAAAATCACCGAATTAGTCTTGTTAAACAAGGTTTCTAAACCGAAAGAGTCCACCTCCTATAAATACCTATATCTTCCAAAAGCCGCAAGCTTTTTCCATACTTCTTGGCTTGGTCATACTACTTTTTCTAAATCAAAGTTTCTGCTTGACACAGAGAGCGCTCTTCCTCCCTCTCTCAAAACAAGAGCTTTATTAGCTCTTTGTTTTACTTTTGTTTATGGTAATACTATAAACTCTTTCATTCCTTTGTTTTTCTTGTTTTCTTTTGTTAGTATGAGAAAATTAATTGTATTAATATTAATTTAACTTTTAGAATTCTTGTTTCTTCTTTTTCAAATGCTTTTTTAGTTTGAATTTTTATTGGGTTTAATTTGGTTTTCTTGATTTGATCTGTCTTTTTCTTGTTTCTTTTTTTATTCTTTTAGTATAATCTTAATTAGATTAACTTAAACTTCGTTGTAGTTTTCCTATTCTGGATTATCAACTTTTTTGGTATTATAGTAGGAGAATTATGCATGATTGTTTTTCTTTGCTTTTAATGATTCTTGATTTGGTCCATTTATAGAGAGCCTATACACTGTATTCTTGATGAAAGATGTGTCTTGAATTACTTTCCTGAAAGAAAAGTAGAGAACTTTATTTCTTAAATTGAAGAAAATTTGAGATTTCATATATTTTTGACTAATATTTTCTTCTTCTTTTTATTTGTTAGATGCCTAGCGTCAGCTCTGATTCATCTGATCAGGACGCAGAACCCTTTGTTGAGATTGATCCCACTGGACGCTATGGCCGTTACAATGAACTACTTGGCTCTGGGGCAGTGAAAAAGGTGTACCGAGCATTTGATCAAGAAGAAGGTATAGAGGTTGCTTGGAATCAAGTGAAGTTAAGAAACTTTACTAGTGATCCAGCCATGATCGATAGGCTTTACTCAGAAGTTCGATTGTTAAGGAGCTTAACGAACAAGAACATAATTTCTCTGTACAATGTGTGGCGTGATGAAGATCATAATACTTTGAATTTCATAACTGAAGTTTGTACTTCTGGGAATTTGAGGGAATACAGGAAGAAACATAGGCATGTTTCTATTAAGGCACTAAAGAAATGGTCAAGACAGATTTTGAAGGGCTTGAATTATTTGCATACACATGAGCCTTGTATAATCCATAGAGATCTCAATTGCAGCAACTTGTTTATCAATGGGAACATTGGACAGGTATTTTACTTTGTTTCTTTTCAGTATAACATTTGGTTTCTATTGCTTTCAGAAAAAAAAAAAAAGGTAATAAAGAGAAAAGGAAAAAGAAAAAGGAAAGCAGAATGTGATTCTTAATAATTCCTATGATCTCAACTTTTAAAAAAAGTACTTTTTTTTTTTTCCTTTTTCTTCTTTTTCCTGTAATTTATTTTCAAGATTGGTTTTGTTACAATTTATACAATATTTGGCTAACCTTTTTATTAACAGGTAAAAATTGGTGACCTTGGTTTGGCTGCAATAGTGGGAAAGGGTCATTCTGCACATTCAATTCTTGGGACACCAGAATTTATGGCACCAGAGCTATATGAGGAGCACTATACAGAAATGGTAGATATATATTCATTTGGTATGTGTGTTTTAGAAATGGTGACTTTGCAAATTCCATATAGTGAGTGTGATAATGTTGCAAGAATATACAAGAAGGTTTCATCTGGAATTAGGCCTCAGGCCTTAAGCAAGGTCAGAGACCCTGAAGTTAGGGCATTCATTGAGAGATGCCTTGCTCAGCCTAGAGCAAGACCTTCTGCTGCAGATCTCCTCAAAGATCCATTCTTTGATGGAATTGATGATGATGACGAAAATGATGATAATGCTCATTCATAATACATTCTAATATGGATGATTGTATTTTTCTTTTTTTAAGGATACTAATAGTATTTAGAATGTTTAAATGTATGGCTCAAGTAGCCTACTTGTCTTATTCTTGTCATTTATTTTCCTATAAATTCTTTCCTTTTCTTGTTTCTTTTTATTTTTGATGATTGGAGGCACTTGAGAAGGATAGGTTCTGCTTTCAAGTTCCAAATGTCTTTTTTTCCCCCTGTTTTTTTTTTTTTAAAAAAAAGGGAAATTAGATGAGGATGAAACTTGTGGGGAAGTAGAAGAATATGACAAGGTAGCCATTGTTTAGGGGTTGTTTTGTTTTTGTTCAAAACTTCAAACTTTGTGGCATGTAAACTGTAGAAATTATGTATTCAACTTGTGTGTGTTTTTTAATGAACACAAGGAAAGTTTGTTGTTTGCTTTATATGTCTCTGGTGTGCATATTTAACTAATATTTGTAAAGTTTTTATTTCTCTTTTTTCTTCTGTTGAGTACTAAACTTTAAATCTTTTGAAATCTGAGTTGTTGCCATTGAAGTAATGTACAAGCAAAGAAAAGGGTTAAATAAAGGCAAGTCAAATGGTTGAAGAAGCTTTAATTTGAACAGTAAAAGGTAATGGAAGATGTTTTGGCTGTAGAGATTGTGACCCACAAGCAAATGACCTTTCAAACTTTGTAGAGCAGCTGTAATGGCACAGAGCCGGTCATAGTAAGTGGGGTTGACAAAGAAACCTTCTTGTTTTTTATGTCACACAAGTTGTTAGGAATCAATAGTTATTTTCCAATTGGGCTTCCATTTCTAAAAGGGTTGCAGAATTTATCATCAAACTTCGTGCATTGTTAGTGGGTTTTAAAAAATATTGGAATCTTTTTTATAATAGTAAAAGGAGGGTGAAGAAGCTCTGAAAATGGATGGTTGACACAACCATATCTATATATATAATATAAAAAAACTTTGGAATGTGCATATTTTGTTAATAAAATTTACTAGTTCGAGGCATCTGATGCATTTTTTTTCCCATTTTATTCTCTTAATTCACATTGGGTATAAGGAGTATGTGTGTGTGCATATATATATATATATATCAAAAATTATTTTTCAATGCTTATAATCAAACATTCTTTAGATGATCTTATAATTTATGGAGCCTCAATTAATAATCCAGTAGAAAGATGGTGGCTTCGCGATAATAAACTAAATAAAATATTGGTGGTGGTGGTAGTTATAAACTTGTAAACACGTTTTTCCTTTATTTATTTATTGTATGGAAGTTGGTTTGGATCTGATCAAGGAAGAAAAATCAGAAGACAAGTTGATAAATTTTTGGCTTGATCTGGCTGCCTGCTTATAATTCAGGACCTTCAAAAATAGCAAATAAGTCAAGATTCTAAATTTCCAACTAAAATTTGAAAAGTTCAAGATTTCCCAACAAATCTTTCCTAATTTTCCTTCTTCTCAATTTCCATATTGTTTAGGTTTCAGCTTCCAAACTGTACACACCTGATAATTGAGGAACCGTAACATATTAATCATATTGGTTTTACATGATGAAACCTCTACATGTTCTATATATTTATCTATTTTTAAAGATAGTGGCTGAATATTCATACAGAAAGATATTTTGCAGCAGAAAAATTGGTACAGACCTGATAATTTGCAGAATTCAATTTAGATGGAGCATAAGATTTTTTGTAATCTAATTACTATAGCAAAAAGTCTGAATTTTTTGCTAGATTATTAAAATAGTTTTATCAGTTAAGTTTCTTCTTTCCTAAATGTGAAAAATATGTTAATTTCATTGAGATACAGAAAAATATAAAATCATATATCATAGGAAATGCTGATTTTCCTGCATACTTCATTGAAATTGCTTCACCAACCATATGCCTTCTACTAATGTCCATTTCCCACTTGATTTTATCAACACAATTAGTTCTTTTTTTTTTTCCAATTTTCCTTGTCGAAATAGCGTACAATGATCAGATGGCAGCATTGAAAATGCCAATTTTTCATCTCAGAAGTTCCAAAATCGGTATATTGGTTTCTCCAAAACCTTTCTGCATTTCTTATTGATGATAAAGTTACTGTTATCATACAGGTTAAACTTATGGTTCGGATGCTTAACGTTAAACTGTTATCAGTAGTGAAACATTGCAGTTAGGTTCAAAACCTTAAAACTGATAATGGATTAGTACTGTCTTTTTCGAGATTAGTTTATATATGAGCCTGGAATGATGCTTTTAAGTTTATAGCATATTGAAGATAACGAAGTAGAACATTGGTTATGTCAATAATGAATAAGCAGGTAAAACTTTGGAAACTATGAAAGAATGTCTGCTTCTGATGAACCATAAAGGGGTCACACACACTGTAGTGTGAATTCTGTTTCTTAGCATCATTCCAAATTTCCAATGGACTTAGCAAAAAAAACCATTTGATCCAAATCATCTACATTAATCATAATTAATCCTATTTCTGATGTTCCACTAAAGAAACTAGATTATACCAAAATGCGGAGCAAGAAGTTCAGTCTTTTCCTGAAGGCACTGATATGCATTTCGGTGTTTCTCCTGATCACAGCATGTTTAGGAGGTGAGTTGAAGCATATCCAAAACTTGTACGTCTCTAACAATCAAGACAACCATTCCTTGAAAGCAAGTGCAGTTCAGATATATAATCATCGGAAACTGTTACAAGCTGTGGATTCTGAGGTTATGAATGATAGCAGCTCGAGTTCTGATGAACAATTGCAGCCCCCAACTAGTAATGAGCCTGGTTCAGACAAAAAAAAGTGGGACAAGCAACTTGTAGATTGGCTACCGTATATTCTTGGCATTGTTTGTATAATCTTGTTCTTTGTTGTCATCTACTTTGTAACTGTGAACGTTAATAAAGAGGCTAAAGAGCAGGAGATCCTGAAATCATTAGCACATTCTCCTCAGGAAAATAATCCTCCACCTGCGCTTATTGAAGAAGTCCTAAAGCCTGAAGAAGGGCGATCCGAACTTGTGTTCTTTGTTGAAGAGGAAGAAACTTTTAAATTGGATGATCTCTTTGAAGCCACAGCTGATTTACAGAGCCAGACCCTCTATAGTAGCCTTTACAAGGTAATACTTAAGAATAATTCTATCTATGCTGTCAGGAGATTGAAGAAGCTACAAGTATCGTTCTCAGAGTTCAGCAAAATAATGAGGCAGATAGGAAAGTTGAAGCATCCGAACATTTTACCCCTAGTTGGCTACAATTCTACAAGTGAAGAAAAACTTTTAATATACAAGTACCAAAACAATGGAAGTCTGCTAAATCTGCTAGAGGGTAAGTTAATGAGAATCTGCTTTTTTGAAGCTCTTATTGCACAAACATCTGAAAACAACTTCTAATGATATTAAATTGTCATTCCCATGTAATGCTTTTCTCAACTGCAACTCAAAAAACGATGCTAAACAAATGAGTTCCTTAGAATTAATTGATCCTGTTTAAATGTTTTACCTTCTCACCAACTTCAATTGTTTATTGATAATCTGCAGATCACATTGAAGGCAAGAAGGTGTTTCCATGGAAACTTAGGCTATGTATAGCAATTGGCATTGCAAGAGGCTTAGACTTCATATATCAGAATTCTCGAAATCCTGAGACCATCCCACATGGAAACCTGAAGTCTTCGAACATCCTGTTAAATGAAAATGAAGAACCTCTAATAAGTGAATATGGGTTTACAAGAATTCTAGACCCCAAGAAAGCTTCTTTATTTCCCTCAAATGGTTATACAGCACCTGAGAAGACCTTATCAGAACAAGCAGACGTGTTTAGCTTTGGAATAATTCTACTCGAGCTACTAACAGGAAAAGCAGTAGAAAACAGTGGAATAGACCTGCCTAAATGGGTAAGATCTATGGTAAGAGAAGAATGGACTGGAGAAGTTTTTGATAAAGAAGTTAACAATGCAGGAAGAGAATATGCATTTCCTTTGCTAAATATTGCCCTGAAGTGTGTATCAAATTTGCCTGAAGATAGACCTACAATGGCAGAAGTGATGGAAAAGATAGAAGAAGTAGTAAATGTACATGATGACATTTCTATTTCATCTATGGCTTCAATAGAATCTACCCCACAAGATTGCTGTTTGCTTCACACTGTCATACCTGAAACCTGGGATACTCCAGGCTCAAATTATTGATGTACTAATGTACTTTTTTTTTTGTAAAAGATTAATATCTTTCTTTTTTAAGCGCTCAATTCTAATAAATTACTAGTCATTGTGAGTCTTGAACAAAGGGTAGAAGCCAAACTGGAATTCTTAATGTCTTCTTGTCTTCTGTTGCTTAGTAATATCAATTAATAATAACTCAAGATATGATTTTTATGCCCTTTTTTTTATGATTTTTACGTTAAATCTAAGTGTTTTCATCCATCTAAGGATATCTTAAACAAAAAAAGGGAATTAGGGTTTGGTCCATGTACAGTACACTTAAACCTTTTTAAATAAGATAATTAATTAGAATAATTTTTTGATGTCACAAACAAAAAGTCCCTATAAAAAGTTAACACATATCAAGACTTTTTCTACCTCTTTCCCATCCTTCCTTATCTAGGCCTACCCTAATGAGATCACAGTGAACCTTGATAAAAATTTCAGTGTCTAGGGCTAAGAAAGTAAGGACTCATTTCACATTATTGAAGGACAATCTTAGACATTTGTGAACTCTTAAGTGTGACAATTCAACAAGCAAACACACCCTTTAATAATATATATAGTTGCTTAGAAATTAGAATAGTGCCCCAAGTGAACATTTCTTCATCTACCAACCAAGATGCCCTTCAATGCCCATTACATAAAAATACACAATACCAATACTAGAACAAGTTATCTAACCCTAGCTACCCAACTACACTACACATATATATATTTGGATTTTGACTAATAAACTTCAATTTTTTGAGACAAGGTTGTGGTCCAATCACTAAAATGTTGTCAATTATTTCTTGTTACATGCACTTAATTACCATCATTTTTAGATTAATCACTCCCTTTCATGCTTGATTGTTAATCCTATATGGAGTAATATAGAACTACTTAAACCTCAATTAAGGTTTCATCCCAACCATTGCGGTCATTAAGGTCTCAAAAAGGTTGCATCACTTTATCTTATTGTTATTATTTTAAGGGAAAAAGAAAACAAATCCTAAATTTATAGCTTGATAATATATAAGATACAAACAACTATAATATTCATTAACAATGCCAAAAATAAACTTATGTTCTTTAATATATATGAAAAGAAAAATCCTTTTTGACATTGGCAATCAAAAACTATGAAGGATCTTGTTTGTATTTGTGTTATTATGTAGTTCATTTGATGTTTCAGTAAACTATTTGTGTGTACCATACAATTTTTGTTGCATGATTAAATTGACATTCTCTTATTTGCATATACTATACTTCCCATGTAATAATTTTTCAATAATTTTTCTAAAAAATAGTGTAAGTGAATTATCTATTAGGGTGTCTCCCCTTTCTTTATAAATTACTCTTTCTACCTAACTTTTTATAATTTATCTATAAATACTTCCACCTTAATTCATATATATATATATATATAATCAAATTCACAATATACACACACATATATACATATGTATATGTGTGTGAACTTGAGATTTTCCCATGGGATTTCAAATCTTACCTACTAAAGTGTTACCCATTAGATATATGTAAGTTTCTTATGTATAGCATAAGTATAGTATTGCAAAAATACACTATAAACCTCACCTATGAGATACTTGCATCCCTAATCTTCAATTTTGTCCCCTTTTTTTTTTTTTTCTTGTCTTACAATCTACATTATCATTTTCATTTTTTTTTTCTCCCATTTTAAGAGGTTGCTTTGGTTTATGCCTAATTATTCAAGTTTTAGAAAACCCTAATTATATAGCTTTGTCTTTCATTACATTTTTAAGTAGCACCTAATTCTTAAGTGCATAAACACTCATTAATAATAGGTGACATGATGCTTCAACAATAACTTAAAGGAGGCAATTAATCTCATTCAAACAGCCCATTTGTCATTCTCAATCCAACCCAATAGGCAAACCACAAAACATTAATAATAAATAATGTATAATAAATACCTTATGAAAAAAAGAATATAATAAATATGAAGAATAAGGAAAAAAAAAACAATTGCAAGTCAATTTATATTACACAAATCATCACTTATCAAAACTCATTTGCAATTATATAATAATAATTTTTACTAGTAACAATTAATCTAAATTGATTTGTTTTGTTATTTATTAGACTAGTATTATTTTGCAATTGGCAGGAATCTACCTCTTGTATTACCTTGATTTTGGTATTTATCAATAAAATAAAATCATAGGTGAATTTCAAGTAGAAAAAAAAAAAAATCAATTATTGGCAACAAAAGTATTGAATTTGTGACTAAAATATAGATCCCGTAAAAGTTCAACAATGAACTTAGTTTTAACCCCCTATTGGGAGTAGTTTTATTATTATTATTATGATTATTATTATTATTATTCATTGACAGATTCGATTTGCTGAAATAATATTGCGGGTTACATAATAAGGGTAATTATTCCCCTAAACTCATTAAAATAGTAAATTTGTGATCGAAAGAACTCGAACTCAAAACATCTGCTTCTCACTTAAGTGAGAAGACCTCTCACTATTGAGAGGAGTTTTTGTTTTATAGTTATGAGTTTCATGTAATGAAATTAATCAATATCATACCAAATTTCATGTGATGAAATTAATCAATATTATATCAAATAACCAAATGAGCAAAGCTAAATGAGGATAATTCTGCATCATCATATGAAAATATAATTTTTTTTTTCTAATGGGACTCAAGGAGAAATTATGATTTGAAAATTAACATCAAAATATTTAATAAATATTGAATTTTTTTCGAGACAAAAAAAAAAATATTTATATATATTTTTTGAAGAATTATTATTAATATATCAATATGAAGTTAAAGTTCTGGCCACATTTTTAAGATAATTTTTTTAATCAACTAATGAATTTTTAAAATAAATCTAAAGAAAAGTATTTTGAATCACTTTGCCAATCCACATAAAAGAAAAATATAAAAGTTGCAAGTGATTCTAACATGTGATTCAAGCAAAGAATAGTGTAAAATATTTTCAACCATCCTTTAATACACCCTAATGAATTGTTATTACAATTGTAGATAAATGAAATAAAAAAAAAAGCATATTATAATATATAAATTTGAAATATTTCCAAATTTTTAAAAGAGAAGATCATCATCTCTTTCTCATCAGCCTTTAGGCTCCTCCAAATATTCTTACACCAGAGGATTGCCAATCTCTCTCATTCTTTCTATTTATATATTCTCTTTCTCTCTCTTTCTCACACACACAACTTACCAGCTACAAATTCCATTTTTTTTTAAATTTAATTAAGAGGAGTGGAATAACCAAGAAAAGATAAAAAAGAACAGAGAGAGGGACATAGATAAAAGCCTCTCCTATAGACACAGAGAAACAGAAAGCATGAGCACCTCTTCCTCTGTTTACATTTCTAAAATCCTTCTTCTTAGATCTTAGTTTCTTTGAATTTCCCGTTGGGTCCTCTCCAAAATGGTAAAAGTCTCTATCTTTTGCTCTACCCTTTTGTCTTGATCTTTGTCAAACATTTTCTGGGTCTTGATCTGCATCAATTCTATGCTTAATTTTCATTGTTTGGATAATCAGGAATCGTGTGTTGAGTTCTGATTGGTGCTAAAAGCATCAGATGATCCCAGATTGGATTTAACAAATACCCACTTTGGTTTTTTTGATTGGGCACCAATCAGATTCTATCTTTGTTATCATATAAGGTATGTTTCACTATTATTTACAATATGATCTGTTTGTTTACTTTTTCTTTTGCAAGAAATTGTGGATTTTCGTTTTTTTTGGGAATCAAGTACCCATTAGCAATACAAATTGTGTTTCATTTTGGTTGGTTTAATAACTACGAAGCTACATATGTTGGTTTGATAATTAGATTCTTGATTGACTTGCGAATTTTGTTGATTTAAATGTCAATTTTTGAAGTTGTTTTGTATTTTGGGATTTATGTTGATTATTGACGTGACAGTTTGATGGTAATGGGTGATTTGCAGAAAAAGATGGAATCAGATCTTGGTAAGCTCTTCATTGGTGGGATTTCCTGGGACACTGATGAGGAACGTCTTAAGGAATATTTTAGCAAGTATGGGGAAGTGGTGGAGGCAGTGATCATGAGAGATCGAACTACAGGCCGTGCCCGTGGCTTTGGTTTTGTGGTTTTTGCGGATCCTGCTGTTGCAGAGAGGGTCATTATGGACAAGCACATGATTGATGGACGCACAGTGAGTAGCTTGATTGCAAACATCTTATATGCATTGTGAATTTTCTTGTCTGATGCTGACTTTCTTGTTTAGACTTAGTTTAGTTTTGAAGTTAGTAAAATATCTAAATCTATAAGTTATAGATTAGCTATGTCTTCAGCTTTAAATTTCACCTATTGATAGTAGAATCTTAATACATTGCTTATTTGAATGAGTTGCAAATTATTATGAAATGTTTGAACTTTTAGCTTAGAGACATTCTCATCTGCTCTGAATTTTGACTTCTTAGATTGGAATCATAATCCTGCTCTCTAGTGCAAGTTGCTGAATTTGAAATATTTTATACAATATAACTTGGTTTGGTTTTGGTAGAATTTGATCCTCATTGTTCATTTGTAGCTGGAAATGCCATGTAGTTGCTTTGTTTTTATTGCTGTATTCTCAATTTTCAGGTTGAAGCAAAGAAGGCTGTTCCTAGGGATGATCAGCACATTTTGAATAGAAACACTAGCAACATTCATGGTTCTCCAGGCCCTGGACGCACCAAAAAGATTTTTGTTGGAGGTTTGGCTTCCACAGTTACAGACAGTGACTTTAAGAAGTACTTCGAGCAGTTTGGCAATATTAATGATGTTGTTGTGATGTATGATCACAACACACAGAGGCCAAGAGGCTTTGGCTTCATTACTTATGATTCAGAGGATGCAGTGGACAGAGTTCTACATAAGACCTTTCACGAACTGAATGGTAAAATGGTTGAGGTAAAGAGGGCAGTCCCAAAGGAGTTATCCCCAGGACCTAATCGGAGCCCCCTGATTGGATATAACTATGGTTTAAGTAGGACCAACAACTTCCTTAATGCATATGCTCAGGGATATAATATGAGCTCAGTTGGTGGTTTTGGAATGAGAATGGATAGTAGGTTTAGTCCTCTTGCCAGTGGTCGAAGTGGGTTTCCTCCATTTGGTAATACAGGTTATGGAATGGGTATGAATTTAGAGCCAGGGTTGAGTCCAAACTATGGTGGGGGCTCTAACTTTGGCAATAGTCCGGGTTATGGGCGGTTGTTAAGCCCCTATTACAGCGGGAATTCAAGCAGGTATAGTACTCCAATAGGTTATGGCGTGGGGAATGCAAGGAACGATTCTGTTTTAAGCCCAACTACTCGGAATGTATGGGGAAACGGGGGCCTTAATACTGCTGCTAATCCTGCCAGCCCTGGTGCTTTCTTGGGTTCTGGAAATGGAAATTTTGGAGTTTCATTTGGAAATAATGGAGCCAACTGGGGTGGTCCTCATGTTTCAGCTCAAGGTGGAGGGAGTGCTTCTGGTTATACCAGTGGGAGCATGGGCTATGGCAGTGGTGGTGATAGCAACTATGGGTTGGGAGGGGGAGGGTATGGAAGAAACAGTGGCACTGTTGCAGCACCAACTTCATCATTTGCTGGATCAACTGGTGAGTATGAAGGGTCCTATGGGGACTTGTACCGGAGTGGTTCAGTTTATGGTGATTCAACTTGGCGGTCTGGCACTCCTGAACTAGATGGTTCTGGGTCATTTGGTTATGGGCTTGGCAATATAGCTTCAGATGTTACTACTAAGAGTTCTGAGGGTTATATTGGAAGTTATGGTGTTACCAGTAGGCAATCTAATAGAGGTAAGAGTTTTTTGTAGCTTCATTCTTATTTAATTTTCTTCGAGTTACCTTAAATTATAAACAACAGTTAACAGACTAAAGAATCTGCATGGAGTTGTGTTGAATGATAATTCATGGAAATTTTGATACTTGAAAGGAAATTGCATACTTTCATGTCATTGCTTTTCTCTTTTCTTCTATATCAACTAATTCATTGGAAAGTTCTCTTTGGGGCCCACATAATAAGAAAGGATGATTCTAGCAATTCCTTGGATTAATATCGCATACTTCCTATATGGATAAGTATAGTTCATCAAAGTTAAAAATGTTAGATGGAGTGTGTTTTATTGCCTTAAAGTGTATAAAAGGATTTAGGTGCCCCTAGTACTAAACGGATATATATATCCTGACTATGAAGAGAGGGGGAAGTTTAACTGTTTTAGTTTGTTCATTATATGCAGCACTTCTGGCTGAACTGAAGTTCAGTATCTATGCTCTCTAACAATTCAAATTATGTCCGTGATCATGCTATTTGACTGCGAGTCAGCCTAATATTTATTCATGCGGCGTTTGCATCTGGTCACATCTTAGTTTGCTATAGACACATGTGGGTAACCTGAGTTTCAACTTTCAAATACAATGAAAGATAACATCCATCCCTAATTATACAATTGTTCATGAATTACCTCTTCCAAGCATTTTTGTTTTACTGGTGATTCAATGTTAATTTCTATCATCAGCATGTGATGCTAATTTTATCCTAATCCTTCTATAATTGGTGTATGCTTCAGGAATTGCTGCCTAGGAGATCTGTTATTGGATGTCACAGGATAATCGTTAGGTGAAGGGAATCTGGATAAACAGGGTAGGGCTGTGAATTTCATACATCTCTCTCCTGAATATATATAGAGCTTATAAGGAAATTGATCTATAGTGCTAACGGACGTTCTTGATATGAATTATACACAATCAGAGTGAAAGCAGTTACAAGGATTTTGTGTAAGGTTTGAGATTTGAATTTCGTTTTCTTTTTTACTTCTTTTAATTAGTCAAAAGTTTAGGTTCCTTTCTTGGCATTTGAGTGAGGTGTAAAATCAGATTGCGGGATATATACTCAGGAAGATCAGTTCCAATAGATGTGTTGTGCATCTCCGGTGAGGCAAGCCAGTGTTAGTACACTTAAAAAAAAAAAAATAGGGTATTAATTTTTTTGATTTGTTCTTTTTGAGTAATGCCTGGAGAAGGTGCTGGTTGGTGTCCGAATATTTTTCCGTCTCTTTATTTGGGATTTGTCTCTTTACCAGATTGTATGCAAGGTTCTGTTTGATCTATTAGTGTGAAACATTACAAGGGATTCTCTTTTATGTTCCCTGCAAATAAGTTACTAAATATTATTCATTTTTTATTGGACAGTGTATCAAAACAAGTTTACTCTTACCTAGTCGAATATTAGATTTCATTTGTGATTGCTGTTAGTGATATTTGGATTAACTTGTTCCTCACTTTTTATATTAATATATCTTGATTTTATGACTATATATACTTGCATTATTTTAGTTAGGCACTGATCTTACAGATCGTCTGCTTCTGAATGTAATTTAGCTATGATCATCTTAGCTTTAAGGTCGTAATAAACGCTAAATGCTCGAATTTTGGATTTTTTTGCTTGTTTTAGCATGTATACAGTTTTGCATTTACAGCCTTTTTGGTAGTATCTATCATTGGTTTCCATCTTCTGCTAGATATTCGATATCTGATCTTTTGGGCTATTCTGTGTGGTCAATCCATCTCTTATCCAAACCTCTACAGAATAGGATATGTTTTGCATCAACTTTCAAATCACTTTCACTTGATCTTTCATTATCTAAGCACCTCAAAACAAATTCATTATTATATGTGGTCCTCATCCTTCTCTCTCCTCCACTCTCTGTGTCACACACAGGCACAAAACTTTGAGCTCTGTATGCTTGGGGTAGCCAAGGGCCAGTTCCGAATTGGAACCGCCGGAAACTGCCCTGTTTCAATCTAGATCCCCTTTTTTTGTTGGAAAAGTGGCTCTTCTTGTTCCTGGCAGAATTTAGCTGGATCTAGCCAGTTTGGTTCGGGTTCATGGACGCTGCGAACCGGAACTGGCCTGTTCAAAGATATTCCTCCACGCTTTATTTCCTCTTTTAGTTTGATCCCTTTTAGCACAATGGCTGCCAGTAAATCTTCACCTGTTTGATCCTTTTAGGATCCTGTTGGGAAGGAAAGAATTAATCTTAGGTCTATCTTTTAAGTTTAGCTTGCAACTCTTGTTCCTCTTTTGGACCACACAATTTTTAGCACTAAATTTTGATTATGTTTAGGGCATGAGATGAACTTAATTGTTTGAGCTAAGCTTTAACAAAAATGAAATTAGATAATTTCATCATATATATACATTTTACTAAAGGGAAAAGATAAATTATATGTTAATTAATGGTTAGTTTTTAGTATGTTAACATGAGAACTTTTTTTTTTTTTTTTTACTTGCACAAGATGTGCAAGTCCGTGTCCTTTTTTAACGTTTTACAAATCTAATTAATCTTCGCTCACCCTTAGAGGAAAATGGACTGGCCTCAGGGAGGAGTTTGTATTGTAGAGGATTTGATCAATTCCGCAAGTGCTCTTTGCCATAGCTATGCATATTCGGGTAACCTTAGATTAGAGTTGGATACAAGGAACATATAGATTTAACATAATGATATAAGAATTGACATGGTTCAACTGTAACCCTAATCATGGTGAACAATTTGCCATCTTGCAACTACCATGACCCAAACTCATTACAATGGGCCCCAATTAATTATTGCACCCAATGGCCATTTGGAGGCCAAGCCCAAGCCCAATCCCAATCCTTTGAACTTGGGGAACAAAATGAGCTAAGTTCTGTTATGCCTTTTGAAAAGTTCTATATATTTTATTCTTTGTGTCAATTTAATGCAAATTGGCTGCCCATCTTATCATCAGAAGCTCGTTTCCCTCTTCTTTTTAGGGTCAGTAGTCCCACAAATTTCAGTTTTCCAATTGATGACTTTCTATGGGGACATATGGGCCCAGCACACCTTCACCAATGCAAAACTGGGCCCATTTGTTAGCTGATGCCAGCAAATCCCTAGGATTAAGGAGGTGTTTGGTCAATGAAATAGGAAAACAAAAGCCACTTTGTTTTGCTTAATCATCGCATCAATAAAAAAAATTATTTTCAGTTAGTAAAATCCTTAAGACAGGTTTGGAAATTCTCTTTTAGACTTTAAATTGATGTCATAAATAAATAGAATCTCCAAACGTGGCCTTAGTGGTATTTTCTGCACCAGTAGGAAAAGAGGTTCATTTGCTCAATATTTTGTGCTGCTTTATAGGATTCCCTCTTCTTTCTAATTTCCAGTGCAAAAACAAGAATATGAGATTTCCTAAATGCTAAAGGTCAAAAAGGTAATCTCTCCATGATTACCTGCACAATTAATTTTTCCCATGACATACTCTCTAAGTTAGACAAATTTTTTAACCAATTTTCAATATATTAATCAAACAATAGAAAGAAGTTGTGAATATTATTTTACAAAAATAAATTATTATCCACAAATAAACGAAGCGTTATATTTACTTTGCACTTCTCAAAAAGAAAATTATCACTATTTGATGGATTATTTTCTCTATAAAAATATAATATATTTTTTTCTGATAAATTTTGGACAATTAATTAATATAGTTGATTTTTTTGAATCCGAACTGTCAATTATAAATTGATTTTTCTATATTTGATTGTAATATTTATTTATTACAATCAGAAATTTAATAAGAAATTGAATACTCTTGATCAGTAGATTGATTTTACATATTTTGTTTCAATATTTTTCTATTACTTGTGTAAAATGTTACAAATTAAAGGAAAGTGAGAGTGAGGTCCAAACCGGAATGTAAATGATCTTTGATTTGACTATTAGGTCAAGAATTCATTAACTTGTTATGTTATGTTATAATTGCAACCGAGTAAAATAAAGTGTCATTGATCATTTTAAACATAAAATATCTCATTTTAAGTAGTAAAACTATATATAAATAAAAAACTATCATTCAAACACTAGATTTTGTAAAATACAATGATTATATATTAAAATTTTATAAGAATTTGATTTTTTTTAAAATATTTATATTAGGCAGGACAAGATATGATTTGAACATCAAGATCTGAAACTATTTTTTTCCATTAAGATGTTCTTTTGAATTAAAAAACGGTCTTATTCCGTAACTAATACCGTTATTAAGGAACTAATATTTGAACTAATGTTTTATAATAAACATTAAAATAACTAATACTTGAACTTAATTATAACCCAATATTATCATTAAATTATAACATTAAGAAATTAATAGTGGAATTCAACTATTATGATGATAGCTAATATTTGTATCTAATACTAAAAAGTAAAAAAATAATATTTCAATATTAAAATTTAATAAGAAAATAAATATTAGTAATGATTAATATCTAAATTCAATTAGGAATCCTCATATTTAAATTTAAATTTATTATTAAAAAATATTAAATCACGAGCGTGAACAATAAGTATAGATAATATATAAAACACGTTATTGAAAACTAATATAATAAAGCAAGTAAATTTTTACTAGCATCTCTAAATAAGATTTCAAAATAATTGGCTTTTATTTAGTTGAAAATAAATTGAATTTATTATTTTTTTTTATTGAATTAGATTGTGCTAAATATAATTAATTAATTGCAATTTTAGGAAAATAATAATATATTAAGTAATAATTTATATAATTTTTAATGATATGAATAAATTACTTAATTTATAGATTTTAATAATATGAACAGTTGTTTTTTAATTATAAAATAAATTATTTAAAAATAAGTTGAATTTATATTTGTTTATTTACTGAATTAATCAATTGATTATAATGTTAGAGAATTCATACTATATTAAATGATAATTTATATAGCTTTTTAATGATGTAAATGATTATTTTTTAATTCGTGGATTTTAATTATATATCTAGTTATTTTGTATATGAATTTCAAAATAGATTATTTTAGAAATAAATTAAAGATTTATCATTATTTATTTACTAAATTAAATTATTTTAAATATAATTTATTAATTATAATATTAGAAAATTAATAACATGTTAAGTGACAGTTTATAAAAAATTTATTCATATAGAATGCATCAATAATAACTAACATAATGTAAAAATTTATTTTTCCTTCATATTTTTTTTCTCTCGTATTTTCTCCGTTCCAAAACAAGTGAAGCAAAGAAAATTTTTTTATTTTCCTTCTTAATTTTCATTCCTCCCATATTTTCCAACAATGCAAACACACACAAAGGTGATGTTTAGTTGGGGTAAGTATATCAGGGAAGTGTAACTTTTCAGAAAGTGCATGACGTGCTTGTGTTTGGTTTGTATTATCAATTCTATTTTGTGAGAAGTAGATCATTCAACTTTCCTTACACATGGGAAGTAACTTCCTTAGGTATGGATAAGAAAGTTGCACTCCCTAATTAAGTGCAATAAATTTACTAATTTAACTTATTATCTAAATTCACTCAAATTTATATTATGGATATCATTATAATTTGTAATTTGAGAGCAATTCACTTTTCAGAAGTTGATTTGCATATCTACCGCACACAAATTATATTTTCTGAAAAATAATTTTCTTGAAAATGTACTTCGGGAATTATACTTCCCGGAAAGTGGGCCGTTTTGAGCCAAACGATGCCTTAAATCCAAAATTATGGGTTTATGGCATGTAATCGGTGCAAATGCTGAAAATAACTTGAACCTTTAATAAAGCTATTCATTACCTTTAAAACAAGCTTTGCTTTTGAGAAGTTATTACCAAACAAGTTGAGAATATGATTTCCTCTCTCTCTCTCTCTCTCTCTCTCTCTCTCTCATGCACACCATTGTCAATATCTTACACAGAACGCGGAATTCAGTCTATCCCCACCAAGAAGGCCAGAAAGCAACAAACAAAAAATAATTTGTACTGTATCCATTACATCAAGAAATAGTTTCTTGAAACATAAATAATTTATAGCATAAGGTGACTTCTTTTTTTTTTTTTTTTTTTTTTTTTTTCTCTTCTCTCTCACTCTCTCTCTCTCTCTCTCTCTCGATGCACAACCATTGTCAATATCTTACACAGAACGCGGAAATTCAGTCTATCCCCACCAAGAAGGCGCAGAAAAGCAACATAACAAAAAATAATTTGGTACTGTATCCATTTCATCAAAGAATAGTTTCTTGAAAAACATAAATAATTTATAGCAAATAAGGTGGACTTCTTTTTTTTTTTTTTTTTTTTTTTTTTTTGCTCTTTTCTAATATGTTGAGGTAAAGCAACAAAGGCTCTTTTAATTCTTGTAAACTTGTAAGAGCAGAAAGAGACAATGTCATCAAATCAAACCAGAACCTTAAAGAATCTTCAAATGGCTTCTTACAAGCCATAAAGATCTGAAACCCTAAATCTACAATGCATTTCCTTTTTAAACCTTTCTTTTTTTTTTTTTTTTTTTTTTTTTGCCTTTTCTAATATGTTGAGGTAAAGCAAACAAAGCTGCTTTATTCTTGTAACTTGTAAGAGCAAGAAAGAACAATGTCATCATCAAACCAGAACCTTAAAGATCTTCAATGGCTTCTACAAGCCATAAGATCTGAAACCCTAAATCTACAATGCATTTCTTTTTACCTTTCTCAAACAGCTTCAGGATGTTATCAAGAAACAGAAAATTCTTTGAACATCAACATTTCTGAGAACGACCTTTCTTTCTTTTCCCAAATCCTTTCAGATTTAGGCATAGCCAAGAAACCTCAATCTTCTTTAACAAATCTTGAATTTTACAGAGTGGACTGGGGACTAGAACAGATACTGTTTCTTGGAATTTTAATGCAGAACAGCTCAAGCATCAAGCAGCTTGTTTTTCGCCGGAACAGATTCAATAAAGAATGTTTGTTTGAGCTTTGTGAGGTTTTGAAGAGGAATGCAGTGATTAAAGAAATTATGTTTTGTGAATCATGTATAGGTTCTGTTGGAGCTGGACTTGTAGCTGCTGCTCTGAAGGTGAATGAGAGCTTGGATGAGTTGCAGATATGGGAAGACTCAATAGGATCAAAAGGGGCAGAAGAGCTTTCTAAGATGATTGAAACAAACTCAACTTTAAAGCTTTTGACAATTTTTGATTCACATATAACAGCAATTCCACTTATATCAGCTGTTTTAGCAAGAAATAGGACAATGGAGGTTCATGTATGGAGTGGAAAAAATGGAGAGAAAAGTTCGAAGGTAGTGGAGTTTTTGCCTGAAAATAGTACACTTAGAATTTATAAACTAGACATTCCAGGTTCTTGTAGGGTTGCTTGCTCTTTAGGATTGAACACAACTGTGAAGTCACTAGACATGAGTGGAGTGAAGCTGAAATCACGGTGGGCCAAAGAGTTTCGATGGGTTTTGGAGCAGAATCGGAGTCTTAAAGAGGTTAGGTTGGCGAAGACTTGCCTTAAAGATAAGGGAGTTGTGTATGTTGCAGCTGGACTTTTCAAGAATCGGAGTTTGGAAAACTTATTTCTTGATGGAAACTGGTTTAGTGGGATAGGTGTAGAGCATTTGCTATGCCCTCTGAGTAGGTTCTCTGCTCTGCAATGCCAAGCTAATATTACTCTTAAGTTTTTGACATTTGGTGGAGGAAAAACAAGGATTGGAAGAGATGGGCTCGCGGCAATTATACAGATGATAACATCTAACGAAACTGTGACCAAGCTGGGAATATGTGATGATGAGAGTTTGAGACCAGACGATTTTGTAAAAATTTTCAGGAGCTTAGAAAAGAATGCAAGTTTGAGGCGTTTGTCTTTCCAAGGTTGTAAAGGGGTTCAAGGAGAATTAGTACTAAAGACAATAATGGAGATGTTGCAAGTAAATCCTTGGATTGAAGACATTGATCTTTCAAGAACTCCGCTGCAGAATTCGGGTAAGACTGATGCAATTTATCAAAGATTAGGCCAGAATGGAAAGACTACTGAACCAGAAGCAGAAACGGATTTGCTTAAGGACATGCCACTTACTGAGCCAAAGAGTTGCAGGGTATTTTTATGTGGGCAAGAATATGCAGGTAAAGATATCTGCAAAGTAATTAAGAAACATATTAACTGAAATGCTAACTCCTTTTTTTAATCCTTATTTGCAGGCAAGACTACACTTTGTAACTCTATATCACAAAATTTTTCTGCATCAAAGCTTTCGTACATTGACCAAGTGAGAACTCTAGTGAATCCAATTGAACAAGCTGTTAGAACAAGTGGAATGAAAATAAAGACTTTCAGAGATGAAGATACAAAGATTTCAATGTGGAATCTTGCAGGCCAACATGAGTTTTATTCCCTTCACGATCTTATGTTTCCTGGGCATGGAAGTGCATCATTCTTCTTGATCATATCAAGTATGTTCAGAAAACCCAGCAACCGAGAACCAAAGACGCCAGAAGAGATTGAAGAGGACTTGCAATATTGGCTCAGATTCATAGTTTCCAACTCAAGAAAAGCTATTCAACAATGTATGTTGCCAAATGTAACTATAGTCCTCACACATTGCGACAAAATCAACCAACCATCGCAAAACTTGCAGCTCATAGTGACTTCAATACAGAGAGTAAGAGACAAGTTCCAAGGGTTTGTTGACCTGTATCAAACTGTATTCACAGTTGACGCAAGATCATCTGCATCTATTAGTAAACTCACTCATCATCTTCGAAAGACAAGCAAGACGATTCTCCAAAGAGTGCCTCGAGTTTATCAGCTTTGCAATGATCTAATTCAAATTTTATCAGACTGGAGCTCTGAGAACTACAACAAGCCAGCAATGAAGTGGAAAGAATTTGGTGAGCTTTGCCAAGCGAAGGTTCCTCCATTGCGAATCCGTTCTAGACAAGACAATAAAGAAAAGATGGAAATGAGGAGAAGGGCCGTTTCTAGTTGCCTTCATCATACAGGTGAATTGATATATTTCGATGAATTAGGCTTCTTAATCTTAGACTGTGAGTGGTTCTGTGGTGAAGTGCTTAGCCAACTAATAAAATTGGACGTGAAAAAGCAAAGCTCAATGGAGAATAATGGATTTATTACCAGAAAAGAATTGGAGAAAATTCTAAGAGGAAGTTTACAGGGTCAGATTCCTGGAATGGGTTCAAAGGTGTTTGAGAACTTAGAGGCCAGTGACCTTGTGAAAATGATGCTGAAACTAGAACTGTGCTACGAACAAGATCCATCTGATCCAAATTCTCTGCTATTGATTCCATCAATGCTTGAGGAAGGCAGAGGAAAGCCCCAGAGGTGGCAGTTAAGTCAACCTGACTGCCTTTATGCAGGAAGGCATCTCGAGTGTGATGACTCGAGCCATATGTTTCTCACACCAGGCTTCTTTCCTCGTTTGCAGGTACTCTTTGTATTTGCTTTAGTACTTTCTGAAAATGCCATGAAATTCGGGATTATCTTGTAACTCTTACTCATTAATTTTAATTGTTTTTGAACCCAGGTTCATCTTCATAATAGAATCATGGCGTTGAAGAACCAGCATGGAGCAACCTATAGTCTTGAGAAATACCTCATCTTGATAAACATCAATGGTACCTACATCAGAGTAGAACTTGGAGGACAATTGGGATACTACATTGATGTTCTTGCTTGCTCTACCAAGAATTTGACAGAAACCCTAAGACTTATTCAGCAGCTCATAATTCCAGCAATCCATAGTCTCTGCCACGGTGTTACCTTGGCAGAAAGCATTATAAGGCCTGAATGCGTGCAAAACTTGACACCTCCCAGGTACAGGAAAACACAAGTTGTGTCTGTGCAGCAATTGAAACAGGCGTTGCTATCGCTTCCTGCAGACGGCATGTATGATTATCAGCATACTTGGGATCAAGTTTTGCATTCTGGCAGACCTATTCTAAAAGCTGGATTTGATCTTGCTCGAGACCTGCTATCAGATGATGACTTCCGGGAAGTACTGCACAGGAGATATCATGACTTGTATAATCTTGCTGTGGAATTGGATATTCCAACAGAAATAAATCCAGATGGAATTGATCAAGCAGTTAACGAACTTGGCAAAGTTGATCCTAGCTTTGCTGGAATTGCGAAGGGGGTGGACCAAGTACTGCAGCGACTCAAGATTATTGAACAAGAGATAAGAGACTTGAAGCAAGAGATACAAGGGTTAAGATATTATGAGCACAGACTTCTCTTTGAACTTCATCTCAAAATGAACTACCTTATGAACTACACCATTCAAATGGAAGAGAGGAAGGTGCCTAACATGTTCTTTTTTGTTAGGACAGAAAACTACTCGAGAAGATTAGTCACCAGCATAATCTCTGGCATGACCGCACTTCGGATGCACATGCTATGTGAATACAGGCGAGAAATGCATGTTGTTGAAGATCAAATAGGTTGTGAAATGATGCAGGTTGATAACAACACAGTGAAATGTCTGGCTCCACACATGAAAAATTTCATGAAGTTGGTAACTATGGCTCTTAAGATAGGAGCACATTTGGCAGTTGGAATGGGAGAAATGATACCAGATTTGAGCAGGGAAGTTGCTCATTTGACTGGGTCTTCCCTTATGTATGGTGCAGCAGGAGCAGTTGCAGCTGGAGCCATGGGTGCAGTGGCTATGGGACGGAACAGAAGCTCAAGAGACATTCAACAAGATCAAAGAGCAGCACAGCAATGGGTGGTGGATTACTTAAGAGAACGGAGGTGCTCGACTGGAAAGGATATTGCAGAGAAGTTTGGATTATGGCGAGTAAGATACCGAGATGACGGGCAGATTGCATGGATCTGTAGGAGGCATATGAGCATGAGAGCAAATGAAATAATTGAAGCACCCATTTGAAACTGTCCTGCCTCAAAGAGCATGAACATGGGTTTATCATTAATACTTTTCTTTGTTATGTATGCCATTTTCTTTTATATCCAGTTAAACAATTTCTAGTCAGATAAAATATGCTGTAATTACTTCAACTTTTATGAAGCAAAAACTCCTCTTTGAAAATCTCATAATAAACACTAAAAAGAACACTACTACTTGCCAGGCACCCAGTAGAGCTCAGAAGAAATTTCTTTTCCTGTAAAACCTTCAGGCATATGTTATAAGTCACAGAATTGCACATGTAGACTAGCAGTATCAGAGGTATTTGGAGATGGATTCTTGTCTTGCTATAACAATTTGAAAAATAGAAAAGCAAAATCATGAAGGCTTTAAAATAACCATGTGAGTGTGGGACCATTAATAAATTCATTATTAGCCCATAATTAGATGAAATTTGATCACATAATCATTGAGTCTGAAAATTGAAAATAAGCAGGAATAAATAAGGGAAATTTCCATTTATACTAACATCAGTTGTTACTGAACAAAGCTGATGATAATAACACATACAAAGTCATGATTTTCCGTTTGTGGTCACCTAAACATCTCAACATACAAAGGAAAACATCACACTACATTGATACATTATTACACTTCACCATTAGTATTAGTCTTCTTGCTAAAGTCTAAAGTCACCTGTGTGTTTTCCTCTGACCCAGTAGAACTACTGCTCAGAAGAAAGCCCTGCTCCCATAAAACACGCGGGAACCACTGTTCTTTGAAGATTGAATTTTCTGATCAGAAGTTGAACTACCTGAACTGGTTGGTCCACTATCAATGTCCAAAGGAAGCTTCATCTTTGCCAATGACTCCGTGAATTGCTGCATGCTTTTCATGTACATGTCTACTATGTCCTGTTGAACCACATTTGGCTCTGGTTCAATATTCATAGTAATAACAGGCTTTACAATTTTCTCACTTTTTGCCCTACCAGATGAATCACTCTCGCCGTCTTCATCTTCCACACCCTTTTTCTCCTTTTCAGCTGAGTCTTGCTCCTGGTTTGGTTTTGAAGCTGGAGCATCAGAGGTATCGGAGCTTGCAGCGATAGAAGGAGAAGAAACCCCATTGGTTGAAACGCTGCTTGGAGGTGAATCAAGCTTAGGAGCTTGAATGGAATCAACAGTAGCAGCCGAGAAGCTTTCTGTGACATGAAAATCCATTTCTGAACTAACATGATTCTCTAAATCAGATGTCACCAAGCTCTCTGAGCTTTCAGAGTCCACACTTGCGCATGGGATCCCAAAATACTCTGAAACCATCATTTGGTTTTCGTTCACAATTTTTGGATCAGGGAACTCAATCTTTTCAAATTCACAGGGGAGTGATTCCTGTATTGCTGAGTCTTGCACATTTCCATCTGTAGCTAAAGCATTAGGCATAGCAGGAATTGCCAGGACATCAGGTGAAACTCCACTGTATGATAGAGATAACTGAACGAACCCTGCCGGAGAATGGAATAAATCAGTTGAAGAAAGAGAGAACTCTTTCTCCAACTTCCCATTCTTGATTAGAACATCAGATAGTGGCACCAGTGCAAACCCCAACAATTGATCCTCGAGATAATTCCTCACCCTGCTCATCATGAATATCTCACATTTAAGAGAGGAATCAACAGTCTTAACATTCAGCCGGAGACTGTCATTGAAGACTGGATTCCTCCCACCACCATTAATGATTTTAGTGGAGACTGTATTGTCAGGATCACTAGTGAGGCAAAACTTAGCATAAACATCTTGCTTGTGGTAAATGCATATGTTATGAATATCCCTAGCCTGATGTATATAGACCTCAAGGGTACCAATGAAATCCTCCATATTACCAACCGTTGCTGCCTTCTTCTGGACCTCAATTCCTTTCGTTAAACCACCAGAGTTTGGAACAGAATAATCAGATTTCTGCTTCTCTGTCTCAGTTACAATGGAAGTCTTGAATGGTGATACAACAGATTGTGGAGAATCCATAATCACGCCCAGAAAATGGACCTGTCATAACACAAAAAAGATCTATATCAAAAATCAAGTCATCCAGATGAAGACCTGCACTATAAGAATTATGACCTTCTGAACCTTACGCCGAAAACCAACAACCAACTCTCCAAACCAAATCACAAGGTAGACCTTTGATACTCCAAATAAAATGAAGATAATTCTTAAAAACGTTATGCAATTAATTGATTTAAACCCCCAGCAAGATGAACCACAGACGAAGATGCAAGGCTTTTACTGAGTTGAAATAATTATAAAGATTCAAAGCCAAATTGCATGAAGAAACCTTTTGCCTCTCCAACACAACGATTGAGCTAAGAGCAGCAACCTGAAAGCAAGCTTGAGCTGAAGAGTAGCACAAAATTCTCGTAATCTAGGAAATTTGTCTTTAAACTCCAATGAAAACCCAAACCCAAGTTTAAAACTAACAGAAGGGAACCTGGGACACAGCCAGAGCAAAGCCAAGCCTTGGCTAAAAATTCCCAAAAACCACAACAATGAGAGACTACGAACCACAAAACCCGACTCCCAACTCAAATTACAGGCAAGACCCTGAACTCTTAACCAAACCTACAAGCCAAAATAAAGGAAGAGCATAAGTAATAAAAAACTTCCGAAGGCAGAAAAGCCAAAATCCTCCCAAAAGTGATTATTCCAGTGAAACCACTCACAGACTGCACAAACTTAAAAGAAGAAAGGCAAAGACACCTAAACAGCCATACCAAAATACCAGATTCCAATAAAGCTATAAACTTTTCCGAATAGAAACGGAATCCAAGAGGAGTGAAACAAGGAAAGCAAAAAAGCAAATTAACCGAGATCAAAATACAAAATTCAAAAAAAAAATCCCAAAAATAAAAAAAGAAAGGAAAAATCTCCTCAAATCTCACAACACCCTAAAAAAAACTAGCATAATTCAACGCTAAAACAGTAAAACAAACACGGAAGTGCTAAAAGCCAAAGACGGCACAACAACCCAAGCTCATCACTCAGAATTAAAAAAAAAAGAGAGAAACCCACTAAAATTCTCCTCAAAAGCATAAAGAAATGAACTCACCAATTATTTCGAAACCACAAAGAGATTGACAAGAAAACAAAAGATGGTATTCGTTAAACTTGCCTTAGTCACCAAAGTCAAAATGATTTGTATAGAATCTGTGCCTCTAATCCAAGATCTAGCCAAGACCCAATTCTTGAAATTTTCACTCTTTTAAGCTTTTGCTGTTGAACTTGTTAAAAGCAAGCAAATGAAAACCTGCTTAAAAAATAACTGAAAGAGCAAGCGAATAAAATCCAACCTATCTGCTGATAATAATCTAAAATAGATAAGAAGAGTACTTTCTATCAAAGAGAGAGAGATGTGTACTGATATTTGTCTGGTAGCCTGTGTATGTAAAATATTACATATAAAATGAATTCATACTCTGTTTTGGGGGGTTTTTTTTTTTTTTTTTTCCTGCTTAAAAAATAACTTGAAAAGCAAGCGAATAAATCCAACCTATCGCTGATAATAATCTAATAGATAAGAAGAGTAACTTTTCCTATCAAAGAGAGAAGAGATGTTACTGATAATTTTTCCTGGTAGCCTGTTGTATGTAAAATAATTAACATAAATAAAATGAATTCATACTCCTGTTTTGGGGGGTTTGGGGGTTTTTTTTTTTTTTTTTTCCCTTCCATTTATAATATGCATACGTATATAAATTGTATATACAGAAGATAACAAAGGAGGATGATGGGTCTCACTTCTTCATAGAAGACTAGGGATACACCGCCCCACGCGACTGGGCAATGGCAAGCCAAAGGACCAATGAGAAGAGAGAATTGTGCGTTTTTGTAGGTGGGGACATTGAAAACATTGAGCCTGCAAAATCTTTTCTTTATATATTTTTCCCACCCCGCAGTTTGTCTTCTTCTGGAGCTGCTGCGCCCGTGGTATTCGATAATTGGTGTCTGTTGGTTTTATTTTATATATATTGATATTGCTTCTTTTTTTATAAAAATAATTTTTATTTAAATGATTGGATAAATTCATTATAATAGATAATGAAGGTATCGTATTAAATAATTTTATAATTCTTCTGCTTTTTTTTAATTATTAATTGGATAACTAATTTCCTTTTACTTTTATATACTTAATTTCCTTTTACTTTTATATTATATATATATATATATATATTTTTCTCTTTTTTTTTGTGGAATTTTTTTTGGGAAACCTTCTTTATATTTTAGCTGGAGGAGGTGTTTAATTTCATTGTTAATGTGATCTAATCTTAGGGTAAAATCGCTATGGTGTGATATACATTAATGATTTATTTGAACGAGTGTAAAATATGATTGGACGTAAATATGAAATTTCTTGGCATCTAAATTTATTATTTGGTTTGGATCAAAATGTAAATATTTTTAGACTAATTCTCACTCCATTCTTTTTTTTTTTTTTAAATAATATTTTTTTCCAGTCTTATTTTACTTCCTCTTTCGAAACACTGGGTAAGGGACAGAATTTTTTTTTTTTTTACCCTTTTCCTTTTTACTTATGTTTGGAGCAGAAGACTTTGCCAGCATGCACACTGCACTCTGTAGTTTGCTCTTTAATTTTTTTTTTTAAGGGCAAAAAACAAAAAAGAAAACAGATAATTATTGCTTATTTGAAAAATAATAAGGACAGTCATCATATCACAGGTGTCCTACTGAGTGGCAAGATAGTGCAGCCATCACAGATTCACAGTTCATCAACACTAGAGATTTTTTGTATTTACTAAAATATTCAAATTAAGAAACCCCTCAATTTGCAAGACCCTTGTCTCTCTGCCCCTCCTTTTTCTTTTTTTACTTCGTGGTTTAAATTTTGAGGCAAAAGCTATAAGAAAATTACATTTTTTTACAATTTTTTTTAAATTTCAATATAAACTATATTATGTATAATATAGCATAATGTATAATAAATACATTTCTAGTGTAATATTACACGAGAAATTACATTATTTTTATGAAAATAATTAAAGATTTTGGCTTGATCAAGAACATAGTGAAATGAAAATCAAACTGCTGTTCTGAATTCTGACATGCGTAAATACCATTTTTATGATCTTTCAATTCATAATTGGACCCCTCTCTTGCTTTCTTTATTTCAAATTTTGACATTTCCTTCCCTTTATTGCATTTAAATTGATCCATTTGAAATATTGTCAATACAAAAAAAAAAAAAAAAAAAAAAAAAAAATATTGCTCAAATACAAAAAAAAAAAAAAAAAAAAAAAAAAAACTGCACAATTTCTTGTTCTTGGATTTGAATAAGTCCAATTATTGGTAGACTTAGATGTCTAAGGGACATTCAACCTTTTTTGTTTTATTTTTTAAAGACAAATAAAATAGTAATTAAAAAAATAGGACGTGATGATTCTCTGCCAACTAACAGACAGACTCCCTTTGAAGGGGAAACAAGGCAATTATAGCAAAACAAACAAAACACACAACAATCGCAATTATAACCTCTTATTAAAAAATGTTGAAATGAGAAATCTCAGCTCGAGTTTTTTCTGCGTATAAAAGTAATTTTTCATTTTCACAAATGTCAATTTGAGTTTAGTTATAATTTTCATCGATACAGTGAAAAAAAAAAAAAAAAAAAAAAAAAAAAAATCACAATTTCTTGTTTCTTGGATTTGAATAATGTCAATTATTGGGTAGATTTAGATTTTAGACCATTCAACCTTTTTTGTTTTTTTTTTTAAGAGTACAAATAAAATAGTAATTAAAAAAAAGGACGTGAGATTCTCTCCAACTAACAGAAGACTCCATTTGAAGGGGAACAATGGCAATTATAGCAAAACAACAAAACACACAACAATCGCAATTATACCTCTTATAAAAAATGTTGAAAATGAGAAATCTCAGCTCGAGTTTTTTCTGCTATAAAAGTAATTTTCATTTTCACAAATGTCAATTTGAGTTTAGTATAATTTTCATCGATACAGTTTAAAATGTACATGGTAAATTTGTACATATATTTTAAATTTATTTTCTGATTATGCTTTAAACATCACATCATTGATTCTTCTGATCTTTACTCTTTTAATGATAAAAAGCATAAGAAAATTTAAAGTAGAAAGAAAAGAAAAAAAAAGGCCTGAAGAATTGCAGATGCTAAATCAATTAAGATTACCCAAAAGTTACAGAAGTTAAAGAAATATAAATTCCTACTTTAATAGCAAGAATTCCTCCACTAAGCACTTGCTTTTATTAATAATAATTATTTATTATATTTTACTCTATGGGACCCTCTGTACTACCATCCTCGATGCTTCTCTTCTCACCCCACAGATGTTTATGCTTTTAAAATTATTAGTATTCATCGAAATACCGTATGGACACAAATAACACTGCGGGTTATACGGTAATTTTGTTTTTAGAGTGACTCAATGAAATAAAATTAGATTAACAACTTATATTTTTTTTAACTTATCTCTTGCTAATTCATTTATGTATTTCGTTTGATTAGAGATAGGAAACGTAAATTATTAATATGACTTTATTTTATTAGGTAACTCTATAGCTGACGTGGTATCTGAAAATTCTCCTCTCTTGAACTCACCAAATCAATAAAAGTATTAGAAAACTTAAACTCGAGATTTCTCACTCATTACATAAATAAAAAGACCAATTAAACTACGCTAATTCACACAGTTGTTTATGCTTTATTATTATTATCCGAACAGCAGTCCTTTGGCCTGAAAATGGCAGATAAATCAATGGCAAAATTATGGTGGGGTTCTTTGCTCTCTTCTTTTTCATTTCTTTAACTTTTTTTTTTTTTCAAATGAACATGACATGAAGATGGCCCACTCTTTAAATGAGACTTAACTATCTCTTTGAAAATCATATAATCCATCCAAAGTAGACTTTTGAGGAATTGGCTTACAAGACCCTCTAACCAAAGCTGCGTCTTTTTCTCTTGGACATAAAAAGGATCTATTCTTGATAGAGATGTACATTAATTTCTTTTTTTTTTTTTTTTTCCTTTTAAAGACAATGAATTGGACCTAAGTTAACCTTGTTTACATTACGGTTATTTAATTTATATATGTAAATAATTATTTTTTTCCATAATACTATTTATGATACTTCATTAAATTAAATAGTTTTGCCAAACACTTAACTAATTTTTTTTTCATTGACTTGTTACTTAAAACCTCATTTAAGTCAAAAATTAGAAGTAAATAGCCCAACCAAATATCCTCACATAAAATTTTAGATTATTTTATTATGAAAATGCTATCATTCATATAATTAATGGCTTCAAATTTTTAGATTATGAATTTTTTTTAGGTTTTTTTTATGTATGTATGAATTAAGTTTAAATTATCTGGATTAAACACTGTTTTAATTAATTATTGTATTTGGTAATATCACGTTTAGAGTTTGAGGTAATATTTTATGAAATATTTTACTTATTAACGTTTAGGGTTATAAACTTTTTAAAATGTCTATGTCCATCACTTGTCTTTGCCTTGTTCTCTATGACGTTACTTTTTTTGTCTTTTTTTATTAAACAATTAATCAAACACTAATTTTTACCGAACTGCACTACCCACTAACATCTAGTAAAACAGCTGACAGCTACTATAAAAGCTAGAATTGTTGAACATACCCTAAAGATTACTTCAAAAGTTATTATAAATATAATTTTGTTGTCCCTTTCAATTATATTCACTTACAAGTATAATCCAATGAGACTAAAATAAAGTTTTTATATTTTAAAACAATATGAACACATCGCTTTAGAGAAATTTTAAATCTCAAATATCGATACTATGTCAAAGGGCAAACACATCATCTTATTTTTAATTAAATGGCACTATGTTAGATATACAATATATGTCAGAATACAATTATAATTATATATATATATATATATATATAATATATATATATATATAATATCAAGGTAAAATAAAAATTTAAGGTAAAAAGAATCATATTTATCAAAATAATACATTAGAGATGGATTTTATAACATTAAAAGAGAGCTACGTGATTTTTCTTGGAAACAATTTGTAGTTTTATTTCAAGGTAAAATAAATTAAGGTAAAATGAATCATATTTATCAAAATAAATACATTTAGAGATTGATTTATAACATAAAAGAGAGCTACTGATTTTTCTTGGAACAATTTAGTATTTATTACAAAGAAAATTCCACCACTAATCTCGCTATGTAATGTATAAATTGGAATGTACTTTGTTGAAATTAAAATTAAATTCATATGTACATGTATGTCATTTCACCATCTTCTTTTTTTGATCCCTTCGTGAGTATTGTAGTGCAATAGGTCAATTGTCATATTGGAAAAATTGAACTCTCAAATTATTAGGTGTGCATTATATATTTTTTCATATTAATTTACTGTAGTGTCCTTAAAGAAGTGTCAGCAAATCTTGACTCCTCTTGAAATTATATTCCAGAATATCTATTTCTTTATAATAAAAATAATTTTAAATTGGAATCCAATGGGGGTATAGAGATATTTAAAATAAAAATAAAAAAAAGGGAAGCCATATGGATAATATGGCATCCTCGTGCCCTTGACATTTTAATCCTGATTACTTACCCAATACCTTACTCAACATTAAACAACTATTAGAACATTCCGGTAGTCTTGCACTTTCTTTTTGCAAATAAATAAATAAAAAATGATAACTCATATATGCATTTACAGTTAGATTATGTCTTAGTGTATATTTTATATTAAATTTTTAAATTATTTATTGTTGATCTTTTTCAAACCGTTAGTAAAATAATTAATTTATAAATAATTATGCATTTATTATAGTTCTAAAATACTATAGACATTAATTTTTATTTTAATACCTATTTGAATATAAACTTAATTTCTTTTTAAAATTAGTGATTTTCCTTTTGTATAACAAAATTTTTTTAATGATCTTTCTGCACTGAATCGATAAAAAATTGTATACAATTCAATATCTAAACATTTACAGGCAGCCAGTAGTTGCAACTTGCAAGATATGGCAGAAGGAAATTTTGGATTGTATGGATGACTAATAATTGGCATTCTTACCGTGTTTGATAATAATTTTTTAAGTAGTTAAATGACCGGTTAAAGCATTAAATTCTATTTTTTATAATATTCGGTAACATTTGAATCAATTTTTAGAAATTAAAGTGAAAAGCTATTCACACTGCTAAACATTACTAATAGTTAATAAAACAACTAATTTTATTGAACAAATCCTATTCAAATAATTTCACTAGGGAAATTACTAGAATTAGCCAATTATTTACGAGAAAGAGAGAATGGTTATTTTTCAACTTTCTTCCCTTTATAAGTCTCTTAATCTAGAGGGACATTGATGAATTGGAGTAGTTGAAGAAAATGTTGAACTGGAATTTATTGTTGCGACCTTTTGGACTATGTCAAAAAAGACCTTCACCCCCTTGAATTTTTCCATGTTCCAGAATTAGCTTCATTAAAATTGTCAAAGGGCTCTAAAAAAAAAATTCAAAACAAACAAATCATTCAGGCATTTTTTTTCATGTTTAAGTCTATTAAAAAATTTTAGCTTTTTTGAAGTATATTCAGACATATTGATTAGTTATATATTGTTTATTATTTTTAAAGTATAAAAATTTACTATTTTATTATTTTTTATAGAAAATGAGGAAAATTGATCACAAATTCAAAATCAATTTTGAATAAAAAATAAAATTTTAAAGACTAAATTAAGCACATTTATCCTGATAAAATAAAAGTAGATTAAAAAGTATGAACGAAAACTCTCCGTCAGGCCAATCAAAAGAATGCCTTTGGCGTGTTAATTTGGGCCACTCGTTACAATCAACTTCACATGGATCTTATGCTCAGTTTGCCTTGGAAAATATCAACTCACAAGTTTGCCTGTCAATTGCCATAGCCCAAATCAAATCGGCCTATTCAGTACATTAGATGTGCAGTTATATTAATATTTTATTAAATATTTATAATCCGTTTTTTTTAATTTTAAATAATTATATAAAAATACAATAACAATACTATAAATAATATAAGTAATGTTTTGATCTTATTCAAAATTTTTAAATGTTAAATTAAAAATTATTATTAAATAATAATTTATATTTATCATAATTTTTTATGATGAAAAAGACTCAAATTAGAGTTCGAATAAGTAAAATAAAAAAGAAATTACACTAACTTGTAAAGTGAATTTTAAAAATATTTCAGTTAATTGGTGAAATTTTTGCAAAAATAATTTTTTCTTTTTTTTAAATAAGGAAAGTAAGCTGTCATAGTTGAGAAATGCTAGTGGCTGTGACGTTAACGTTTGAGGATGGATCGCCGGCCACAACGGCTAATTATTTGAATATTTTGGGAAGGACAGATTTGTCCCCATTTCCCCCTCAAATTTCTAGATGTTACAACGGGAAGAGGAGCGGCTTTTTGACAAAGATTTGGAGGCCGGTGGTGGTGGGTTGATGGGTCCATATTCGTCATCATAGCCTTCAAATCACTTGTTGTAAATGTCTGTCTTTTTTTTTTTCCCTTTCAAATTAAAACGTAGCAAAGCTCTATTACTGTCACATAAAAATCAAATCTATGCTTTAAAATAAATATCTTAATTGCTTACTAATTGTCTAAAAATTACTCTAAATTATCATTTTATGTTTATTTCATTTCTGTAATTTCCTTTGAAATTATATGTTTGTATTTAAATTTGACAAAATAATTGAATAAATTATTGAATATGACAACATCACAGTCTATTTATTGTTACATTTATGACTTACCGTTTGTAATTTATTTTCAAATTTCTTGGTTTTTTTATAATTTGGAAAAAAAAAAGATTTGTAACTTTGAGTTCTTTATCATCTCTCAATTTAAAAAATAAAAAATATTTTTCTTCCGAAATTTTTGCTTTATTTATAAGTTATAAAATGACTAAAAATGTTCTTAAAAAAAATTGAAAATTCCTCACACATTTCTGTTTTTTTTTTTTTTTTTTTTTTTTTTTTTTTCATTTCTGTTTTTTTTTTTTTTTATTTCTACCTTCATTTTATAATATTTATCACATTTGAGAAAATTATTTATTTTAAAATACTTGTCATATTTGTGGTTTTAAGAAGTATTAAATTTTTTTTTCATATTTTCTCTTGATATATGACCAATAATTATTATTTTAATTTAATAATTTTTTTAAAAAATTAATATTAAATGAGACATACAGTCAATTTACTCACTAATCTATTATAATTTCAATAAATTTAATAATTTTTTTAAGAAAAGTGACGTGACAACTATTGTGAGAGAGGGTAATTATCTTCAGATACCTTAAAACTCGCGTCTTAACAAATGATTTAGGCACAAGATTAGTGGCATTAATGTCATTCCAACAACATCAAGTTTTTGTTTTTGAACTGAAAGAGGAAACCATAATTTAAACACAAATCTCATTTCTCAACGGTCATCACTCTCTCAACATAAACTTTCTTTCTCCTCTTCCCTCTCTCCCCATTATTTGAATTGTACTCTCTATCTCTCTCTGCATCAAGCACTTCTACTCTCTTGAACTAACAGGAAACAAACGAAAGTTGAAAAGAAAACATGAAATCATTTACAGAGAGCAGCGAGAATCGGTTCGTGGGAAGGATATCAACATCTTCCATTCGCAATTTGCTTCCCAAATCCATTTCCTCCAAGCGCAAGTCCGCCTCAAACCCTAAATTCACAAAAATTTTCACTTCCGAAAATACTCCTCCACCAGATCCCAACATCCAATTTCAAGATCCTCCACTCTCAGCTTCCATCCCCAAGCCGTCGCTCTCCAAGTCCTTTACTTCCCTCAATGACGCAGCAATATCTGATTCATCTCTTTCTCAGGATCCTCCTCTGAAGGTATTCTGTTGTTAAAATTGCGTCATTCTCTTTTCAGTTTAGTGTAGTTATGTTGCTATGACTTAACAATGAAAATTTTGCAGGGAGAGGTTTGCGCATCGGATGGTCGGAATGAAACATTAGCAAGTTCGGATCCGCCAGTGAAGGTTTGTCTTGGATTTTTTTTTTTTTTTTTTTTTAATTTTTTTTTTTTTAAATTTTATTGAAGTTAAATTTTAGTTGCTTATTTTATTTTCTATTTTAATTTAGGTTGTGGTGAGAATTTAGGCCGGTAAATGATCACGAACGAGGGGTGGAGTAATTTTTTTTTTTTTTTTTTTTTAAATTTTATTTGAAGTTAAATTTAGTTCGCTGATTTTATTTCTATTTTAATTTAGGTTGTGGTGAGAATTAGGCCGGTAAATGATCACGAACGAGGAGGTGGAGTAATCCATTCTTCAAATTCATTATCCATTCGTGATCGCAAATTTAGCTTTGATTCGGTTCTTGGCGCCAATTCAAAACAGGTTCGACCCTCTCTGTGTATTTAATTTTAATGTGAGCATGACTTGGTTTGAATTCATTGTTTATGAAATTATTTTACAAATGACTTATGAGAGGAAAAATTGAAGATATAACTAAGTTTAAAATATTTGTTTAGATTTAACTAAAAAAGGCCTGGACAAAAGGATTTAGTTAAATTGTTTTGAGTGATTTGGAGGGAAGAATCTTAAGACATGGTAGACTATTCGTTCTGTTATTTTCCTTTTTCATTACTTTAGTTTATAGGAAACTAAACGTTGGCTTGGGTGTTATTCTGGATTCACAAGATGCTCCGTAGTGCCTGCTACAAACGAATATTCTTTTAACCGCATTCTACAATCTGGTTCTGTTTTTGGCTCAGGAAAAAAAAAAAGTCAGAGAAGAAAAAATTATAGTTCGTATTTGATCATTTCACTTCATTCGTACTAGTGTAGGCAAATGCATGTTTGGAGACTGGAATAACTTCAATTTATTATAGTAGAAACCATGTTAAGATTCTTTTATTTATGTTGGTCTCTTGCCTATCTCTCTAGCCCCCTTAAATTCTTGTTAAACAAATATAGGGCAAGGAATTCTGATTTATGGGCTGTTGACTGTGTGTACCAGGAAGATGTCTTTCAGTTAGTTGGCATTCCTTTGGTTAAAAGCGCGTTAACAGGTTATAATACCTCGATCTTGTCATATGGCCAGGTACATATGATTCTTGTTCTATGTTAACTTCTTTAAAGAACTATCACTTCTTGGTACATGTTTATTACTGTCTATCATAGTTGTGTTAATTTCTTGAATTCTAATTAGACTGGAAGTGGAAAGTCCTATACAATGTGGGGTCCGCCAAGTGCCATGGTGGAGGATTCTTCGCCCTATAGTCACCAAGGCATCGTTCCTCGAATTTTTAAAATGCTATTTTCAGAGATTCAGAGAGTATGTTTTGCTTTTTGACTTTATAAAAATGAATTATGGCGATGCTTAGTTGAGTTCTGTATCTAAATTTCCTTCGAATTGTGCCATGTCCTATGCAGGAGCAAGAGAACTCTGAAGGGAAACAGATAAATTATCAGTGTCGATGTTCTTTTCTTGAGGTTTGAATTTTCTGAGAACTTGTGATCACAATCTGTGCATTTGGTTCATGTTTATCATTTGAGTTTTTACAATTTATATTGCAGATATACAATGATCAAATTGGGGATTTGCTCGATCCCATGCAAAGAAATCTTGAGGTGGATATGTCACGCACCCTACTTTCATTTCTTTTGTTGATACTCCAGCTTTCACTCTTTTGTTCTTGCTTTTCCCATTTTTTGATTGATGGCTATAACCAATTTTATACAACTGGTTGTAGATAAGGAATGATCCTAAAAATGGATTGCATGTTGAGAATTTGACGGAGGAGTATGTGAGTAGCTACGAAGATATAACTCAAATATTGATCAAGGTGGGCACAGAACAATCATTTTGATTAGGATATTTATGAGAATTCTTTAGCTACTACTTTGTATTATTTTGAATTATAACATAAAATTTCTGCTATACACATTCATAGTGGTTACTTTCTCATTTTTTCAAAATTAAATTTTGGTTTCTTTTGCATTTCATATGTCAAATATTTCATATATGATGCAGGGGCTTTCAAGTAGAAAAGTTGGAGCAACAAGCGTAAATTCTAAGAGCTCTAGGTCTCACGTTGTGTTTACTTTCACTATTGAGTCCTGGTGCAAGGTATCATTTGCTGTTGCTTGCTTTGGAACTTAATAGTCGTTGATTATGACCAACATATTTTTACTTTTATTTTCTTATGGAATTTTTTGGTTCACTCCTGAAAGAAGGTTTCTTTTATATTTATGGTCCTTTCATTTTGGATAATTGTGCAATCATGGCTTGTGCTGATTTTAATAATAGTATTTTGGATTACCAATCTTGAGTGACCTTGTAATAGCTTACAAGTCTTGCTGCAGTTATCCATGTGGTTTTTATTAATGTCCTATCACGTGTGGTTATTCATCATATGACAGGAAGCTGCATCAAAATGTTTCAGCAGTTCAAAAATCAGCAGAATCAGCTTTGTTGATCTTGCCGGGCTAGATAGAACAAAACTTGATGATGCAGGTAGAGAAATTGTAAGGGAAGGCAAAAATGTCAAGAAGTCTCTTTCACAGCTTGGGTATGTCACCATGGCAATATAGAATTAACTTAAAAAATTTTACTACAGGGGAAGAAGAAAATTATGATTTCCTTGTCACGATTATATTATTGTGCCTAGGTGGTATTATTTAGAAACACCTTTATTTTGCCAAAAGCTAGTGTCATCACTTGTTCCATCAACTGCTGCACTTTAGTAATCAGATTTATTGCATTTACGTAGGCTGTTGGTGAATGCTCTTGCAAAAGGAGCTCAACTGGGGAAATCTGAAGTTGCACCATATGAAGGATCTTGTTTAACACGTTTGCTGCAAGAATCACTCGGTGGCAATGCAAAACTTACTGTTATATGCAACATCTCACTCGACAATAGGTAAAACTGCAAACTGCATTTTGTATATTGTTTGTGTTAAGAGGTGCTCATGGTTTCAGTATTGCTTTATCACATGAATGGCCTGATTAATTTATTTCCCTTGTCTTATTATCATCAGTTAGGTTACTTCTGAAGTAGGTGTTGAATAGAACTTAATTTCGTTAATACTCAAAACTGCTATTGTAAAACAAGAATTTGCACTTGTGCTTGTTGATGCAGACATATTGGTGAGACATTGAGGACCCTCAGATTTGGGCAGCGAGTTAAATTCATTAAAAATGAGCCAGTAATAAATGAAATATCTGAGGATGACGTTAATGATTTGAGTGATCAGATTCGCCAATTAAAGGTAAAATCTTGTCCTTGGGGATTTTTCTTTCAATATCACACCAAGCAATTGACTTCATGTTAGTTAAATGAGCATCTTGCAATTCCCAGGAAGAACTCATAAGAGCAAAATCAGATGTGCATAGTTCAGTTGGTAATAAAAATGGATACTTCAAAGGGCGAAATGCACGTGAAAGCTTGAACCACCTGAGAGTAAGCCTTAATCGCTCTTTGATATTACCCCGCATTGACAATGATTCTGATAATGAAGTAAATGTTGATGAGGACGATGTGAAAGAACTACAGCAGCAGCTCAATAGGTTACATGGTTCTTTTGAGGAGGACTCAAAAGACCTATCTGATTATAGAAACTCCAGCCACTTTTCTTCTGTAGATGAAAGTTTTGAGACAGACTTGATGAGTGAAGATGAAGAAGTAAATGGTCCAGTAGCAATTGTAGATGAAGAAATAAGCGTGGGGAAACATAAAGATAGTGTTGCATGTGATGAATTAAGTACCCATAATGCCTTCAAGGCTATTGATCCTGCAATTAGAAGTAGCATCTCTATTAGCTTATGTCGTCAGTCTGAAGTTCTTCATGAGCCAACGCTTTCTGAGTCTCCTAAAATTGGAAACACTAGGAGAAGCATGGTAATTTCTTCATCAGCATTTTCGGCAAGTCAAAACAATGTGTCAAAGAGTGCCAAGTCAAATGTAATGTCCCAGTCACTCAAGCAAAGTGAGCAAAATTTGAGCTCAAGTGAGAACATACAATCATCTCTGCGTTCAAGCAAGATATTGCCAGGCCCCACCGAGTCTTTGGCTGCTAGCCTTCAAAGAGGTTTGCAGATTATTGACCATCACCAGCGGAACTCAGCATTAAACAGATCTTCAGTTGCCTTCTCTTTTGAGAACTTGGCTTTGAAACCCTGTCCAGAAGTTGACAAAGCCTATTATCCTGTTCAAAAGTTACCGGAAGAGGCACCAGTGCCAGATGGCCCGTCAACTCCTTTATTCTGTGCATCTTGTCAACAGAAGATCAATGATAACTCTAATGAGGTTCAAGATAGCCTGAAAACATGGATTGCAACAGTTGATGAAGCAGGAAATCCCACTAAACTGACAAATCAGGAGTCTAAAGTATGCTTTCACTTTTTTTCAGCTCAGTGTGATAGCCCATGTTCTTTATTTGTATGATTAAATCAATTGGTCTTTATCTTTGCAGGGTGAAGGCAATTATGCCCATAACAGAGAGAAAGAACTTGAAAATATTTGCAAGGAGCAAGCAGCTAAAATTGAGCATCTGAATTGCCTGGTAATAATTCTTTTAACCCCTCTGAATATGTTCTCCACCGCTCAGAATTTTACTTTACTGACAACTTGAATATCTGCAGGTGGAACAATACAAATTTGAAAAAGAACATTCCATCACAGGACATGATCAGCAAGGAAATAGTCTTGAGGGCTCAAAGAATCAAATAATACCATTTGAGGAATCCAATAATGAAGACTATCACTCACTGAAAGATCAAAACATGGTTAGTTTCCTCTATAACAGAAACGTTGCATAGTCTATTATTAATTTCATTATTTGCAAGTCTCATTTGTTCCAATTGATTTGTGCAGCCTCCAGAAATCATAGAGGAAAAATGTGAAATAAAAGAAGTCCAAGAAGTATCGGATCAAGAGAATGCTTATTTTGATATAAAGCAGAAGGAAGCACTTCTTCAAGAAATTCATAGTTTAAGGACTCAGTTGAAGTCGTACACTGATGCATCATCAGCAAATAAATCTATTAATAAACTGAGATCCTCTTTGTTAGCACAGTCCATTCAATTACGCAAAAGTGTAGATGCCCGATGTGTTAATGAGGAAGAACTTGAGAGGGAGAGACAGAGATGGACAGAAATGGAGAGTGAATGGATTTCTATAACTGATGATCTAAGGATTGATCTTGAATCCAATCGTCGACGTGCAGAGAAGGTGGAGATGGAATTGAAATTAGAAAAGGAGTGTACTTCGGAATTAGATGATGCACTTAGTAGAGCAGTACTTGGTCATGCAAGGATGGTTGAACACTATGCTGAACTACAAGAGAAATACAATGATTTAGTTGGAAAGCACCGTGCAATAATGGAAGGGATAGCAGAGGTGAAAAAGGCAGCAGCAAAGGCAGGAAACAAAGGCGGAACTCGCTTTGCCAAATCACTTGCAGCTGAACTTTCAGCCTTAAGGGTTGAAAGGGAAAGGGAGAAAGAATTCTTGAAGAAGGAGAATAAGAGTCTAAAGCTCCAGCTTAGAGACACTGCAGAAGCTGTTCATGCTGCAGGAGAACTTCTTGTTCGGCTAAGAGAAGCTGAACATGCTGCCTCGGTAGCAGAGGTAACTTATAGAAGTAGCATTTGCTAAGTTTCTACTTGAAAAATGGTATGGCCAGCTATTTGATTTCTTGATTTTGTTATCCAAACAGGAAAACTTTACCAAGGTTCAGCAAGACAATGAGAAGTTAAAGAAGCAAATAGAGAAAGTTAAAAGAAAGCACAAGATGGAGATGATCACCATGAAACAGTACCTAGCAGAAAGCAAATTACCAGAATCTGCATTGCAACCATTATACAGGGAAGAAGATTCTGAAGTAATCCACAACACAATTACAGATGATGATCAGGCCTGGAGGGCAGAGTTTGGAGCCATTTATCAGGAGCATTTTTAAGTCATTCAAAAACACCAATTCTACCTACGGCTGTCACATAACAAACCCTACTTGGGTCGAAAAGCTAGCTATACATAAAAATGGCTGACTACCTGGCGTGATTTTTATTTTTCTTTCAAATTCTTTTTCTTGTATGATCTCTCATATCTGAGAATTGCAAGATGCACCATCTCTTGTTCTTTTAATATTCTTCTTCACAATAAAGATTTGATTGATTGTTTGCTTCTTTTTATCTGTTTTTTCTCTATCTTCTCAAATCCCAACTATAAATATAAAATTTCACAGCAGCCAATTTACCGAGTTGGGATAGAATTCGATATAAAAGTACAAACAACAAGGGCTTTACAACAAGCTACTTACAATGGCTATTAAAATTTCAAACCTGTTACAACAACTTTTGGGTTTCGCATGTTATTGGGTAAACTAGGTCTAGGCCCAAAATATTATTTACTGCTGTACAATTAGAATGGCACCAAACGGCGTCGTATTGTAAAACAAAATGAGATAGAAAGAGAAAGAAACAGGTTACAGGACCGTCTGAAGTGACAGAGCGGCTGCACTTTTTTGTTTGGATATTTTGATAGAATTCACAGTTCAAATCAGAGAGAGAGAGAGAGAGAGAGAGAGAGAGAGGAAGATGGCAACGGCAGATTCTCCAAACAACAATATCGATCCCAATCTCGAAGAAACCAATCAAAATCAAAACCCTAATTCTAATTCTTCAAATGAATTAATTGTTCCTGAGTCGAGCTCTCCGGCCGTCTGCCTCATCCGCTTCGCCGGTGACTCTGCCGGCGGTGCCTTCATGGGCAGCATTTTTGGCTACGGTATTTCCCTCTCTCTCATTCTAAATCTTAAAAGTATATGCTCTTATTAGATTATCCTTGTAATTTTTATTTTTTAGTTAATTTCATTATGATAGAATTTTGGTAAGTACTGGAAATTGAATGGAATTAGAAAAACCTGACAGTTTATTTGCTATTTTAAGTCGAGAAAGATAAATTAGCCTTTGAAAAGATGTTAATTTTGACTTTGTTTAAAATTTGTATCTTTTTGCATTTTGCTGTGTCAGTGACTTTCTATAAGAAAGTTGCGTTTGGTTTTTGATGTTTATATGAGTGATACTGTTTCTTTAGAAAACGTGGCCTTCTCTATGTAGGAGACTTGGAGCCTGATATACTTGTGCTGAATGATGCAATGGGTGGGGATTAGGAACAAATATGTAGCATTTAGTGTGGAGTTCTCATACGTTTAAGCTTCAAATTTTCGTATGAGAAAGGAAATTGAAAAGAAAAACATGTGCATCCAGCACGCAGGGAACTGTTCTAGAAATGAACTAACATTGATCTTATAAGGATGACTTTATGAGCTTTTGCAACTCATTTTGTAAATCCCCAGTTCCCTTTTAATTATTGCGCCACCAACTGTTTTAATTTGGACTGAATAACTTGGATATAGTCTTTCTATTGCCTGTTGGTCACATAGATGAAGTTTGAAAATTTGGCAATATATTTGTCATTTTATTTGATTAGTGAAGAACATATCTGTTGCTGCATTACATATGATGCAAATTTGATCCCAGTAAACATCCAAGTGTTTAGTGATGTTAGGTTTAAGCTATATCACATTTTGAGTGCCTAGTTTGATGTTGTTTTGGAGAGGAGAATTTATATGGAACCAATCAATTATTTGAATATCCATAATTTTCCTCTCGGAGTTAGTGAGTTTGCTGCTAAGCACTTAAGATATGGGCATAGGCAAGGCATGGAAGTTTGGGGGTTATTGATACATCTTCAATTTGTATGGATTTGAGTTCTTTTATTCTTGTCCATTAGTTCCAGAAGTGGAATTCAACTATTCTTAGTTTCAGTTTGATGTAATAATAACTAAGATATGATGTCTAGGATGTGACTGTTCTGGAAATGTACACTCTAGTAGGTTCTTGATGTTTAGCTAGCATTAAGCTGTCAACTAATACTGTGCTGTTTCATATTCCAACTAAAGATCTTTTTTTTTTTTTTTTTTATGTAATAATAACTAATGATAGGATGTCTAGATGTGGACTGTTTGGAAATGACACTCTAGTAGGTTCTTGATGTTTAGCTAGCTTAGCTGTCAAACTAATACTGTTTGCTGTTTTTCATATTCCAACTAAGATTCTTTTTTTTTTTTTTTTTTTTTTTGTGTGGATTATTTGGAGATAATGAGATGTGACTAATTGGTATTAATATTTTTCAGGTTCGGGATTGATTAAGAAGCAAGGCTTTAAAGGATCCTTTGTGGAGGCTGGATCTTATGCCAAGGTATAGAATATGGAAGATTCCTCAAAACTTGTTCTTCACAAGAGAATATTTCCTTGTGTTGTAGTTCAAGAAAAGAGATGAAAAAATTGTACCAAATGATTTCTCAGTCATAGTAACTTATTTATACCTAAACATTTTCCACTAAGCAGTGATGAAAGATATAATTTATAGATTTGTCATGCCATGGTTTTATTGTGCTTCTTCGTTGACAGTTCTGCTGCACTCCCATTACTCCTTTCATTGTTCTTCACAAGAAAATATTTCTGTGTGGTAGTTCAAGAAAAGAGGGGAAAAATATTTAACCAAATGATTTCTCAGTCATAGTTATCTAACTTATTTATACCTAATATACCTAATGATTTTCTACTAATGGCGAAGAAAGATACAACTTCTAGATTTTTCATGCCATGGTTTTATTGTGTTTCTTCATTGATAATTGTTCTGCTCTGCCTGTTTCCTAGCTACTATTATCTCCTCCTCTCATTTTGCTATGTCAGTGACATGAAATTCGCTTTAATTTATAATTGCCTGCAACAGACATTTGCAGTCCTATCTGGAGTGCACAGTTTGGTTGTCTGCTTTTTGAAGAAGCTTCGAGGGAAGGATGACGGTATGACATTTTAGCTGTACAGCTGGTTCTTCTGCCTCATTCTTATGTTTATTTGTACTTACACCTTCTGTTGTTGTAGTCATCAATGCTGGAGTGGCTGGATGTTGCACTGGTCTTGCTTTAAGTTTTCCAGGTGTGTAATTCCCCACTCGCCCATTGGAAAAATGAACCCCTCATCAGAAGGGAAATTGGAAATCAATAGCTAATAAACCCAAGCTCAAACTTGTCCATTTTGGCCATTTGTTTTTGTTTCTATTCTCTTTAGTATTACGAGAGCCAACAGAGGCTGGAGGGATCTGGCAAGGTTTTTATATTTAATTTCTTAGGTGATGCATTAAATGAATATAAGATTACAGTTTTGTGGGTAAAAGAGTGGGATGTGCTTTTGTGACTTGTTGTTGGCTTTTTTTTAATTGTATTTACTTGTATGTATCATCAGTAAATATTCCAAGCATATAACATTTTTTGTCTTCATATATTCATTGGAGACATGCATGTCATGCCATCAACATGGGGTTTACCATTTTGATAAATTTCTTCGCATTTTTCAAACATGTGTTTCAATCTCATCCCACCCTCCACAAGTTCAGTGTCCATGTTGATGTTTGTATCATCCTTGAGAAATTTTTTTGTAATATTTCAAATTCTTTTGTTGTGTTATTACTAACTATCAATTGTCGCAACCTTTATTAGGCGGTGTTAATATATATGCCTATGGGTTACATGAGTACTGTATGGAACTTATTGGTTGGCTTTAAATTCTTAAAAATGACTTGATGTGTGCAAATTATAGAGAAGGGAAGGCTTGCATGCTATATGGTACGAACATTTCTGTGTCATTTCTGTTCCTTTGTTTGACTGTTTGAGCTATATGGTAATATGCAGGAGCGCCGCAGGCTCTTTTACAGAGCTGCCTGACTTTTGGGGCATTCTCATTTATTATTGAAGGGCTTAACAAGCAGCAACCTGCACTGGCTCATTCATTTGCTGTGAGAAAAAAGCGCCACTACCATGATGCATCTCGTCTTGAGTACCGTAATGCTCCTCATTCCTTTTCTCTGCCTCTTTCAGTCGCTCTACCAAATGAACTGAAAGCAGCATTCTCTTTTTTCTGCAAGTCCTTAAAGAAACCAACTGGCAATTTTCCTGCTTCCACCTGATAAAAGATTTGGAAAATGATTAATCAATTATGTTTGCTTTTAACATTCTGTAGATTTTTGGTGGTGAAGGTTTACCATGTAAAGCTGTAGTTAGATTCTGAAGCTTCCTGGAAGCTCTATCGATGAAATGGTTCTATGCATTTATGCTTTTCATAGAATTTTGGCCTGCTATGTTTAAATTTGAAGTTGTTGATTAATCTTGCATGCTCTTATATATTACATGTCAATGGAGTTATATTCACCGGTGGGGATGGCGATGGTTTGTGGTTGTGAGTGTTAATTTTCACCGCAAAATGATCGATGCATAGTTTGTTGTGAAGATCTGGTTCAATATTAAAGGATTAGCCGAATCTTAATAAGAGAATAATTTTAATTTAAATAGTAATTTGCTCTATTCGCTTGATAGAGTAAAATTAGCCGAATATTGTTGAATTAATCTTTAACCAACCTTGTTTTCTTTAATTTTTTTTAGAAAGGAAAGGATTCTCATATTAATTAACCAGAGATTTAACTATAATAATAGAATTAATCTTGTTTGAAAATGAAATCTGGACCGTAATACTGCATTTGTTATAAATGAGTTAGAATTTTAGATAACATTTTGTTGTATGAGTTTATAGTAAATTCAAAATTAAAAATTCATTCGTTTTTATTTTCTAAAATAATATTCACATAATAATTTTAAAAAGTTAAAAAGATGGATAGTTTTATCATAAAATTTTAGATTATTTAAATTATGGAATTTATTTATAAATTTTTCCTTTTTTGGTGGAATTTGATTTAATTATATATTTAAATCTATAAAATTAAACTCGTGGAATTCAAATTTTAATTTTTTTATACCAAATACAAAAATTTAAGTTTATAAATAGATTTCATGGAATTCATTTATTTCAAAAAAAAAAATGCAAAATTAACATTCAAACAAGCCACTTTAGATAATGCATGGTAAAGTGATCGAAGAATGTTAATACTATTTACAGTTGATTTTTGCAGCGATTATTTTTCAAAAATAAGTTATTCTCGAAAAAAAAAATTAAGCTTTAGATTAATTATCACTTTAGCATTTTGTATAATAATGTTACTGTTTGATAGATTGTTTGTTATATAGAAATATAAAATGCTGCTTATGGTAAATCTATACTTGGCTATATAGTTGGCTATTTCATTCATAGTTGTTAAGTAATTTGATTTTTCTATATTTGATTTCAACGTTTATCTACTACTTTTGCAAAAAATTTAAGACTCTTTAAGCGGTAAATTGATTTTCTATATTTGATTGTAATGTCTCTCTATTATGTGTTACAATAAATTTAGTATTGAGGGTAAGATTCAAATCCGGATATCAAGCAACTTTTCGTTGATTGTCAAATCGAGACTTCATTGGATTGCTAGGTTATATTATAATTGCAGTTGGTTAAAAAAAAAAAGAGTATAGTTGGTCATTTTAAATCGGAAATGTCTCATTTGTAATTATAAATTGAAAATAAGTGAAAAAGTTATGCATATGAATTCTGAATTTTATGAAATTCAATAATTATATATTAAAATTTTTTATATGCATTTTGAATTATTTTGAAAAATTTTACACTGAATATGTGTAAGATATGATTTTAACATAAGATCTCGAACCACTATTTGAGTTAGAGAAGACCTATTTTATGACTATTGACATTATTAAAAAACTAATATGTACCAACTCAATTAAAAATTTTAAAAATTAATATTTTATAATTTACATTAAAAGAATTAATATTTGAATTTAATTATAATCTTAATATTACAACCAACTTTAACATTAGGTGACTAATACTTAAACTCAATTATTATTATGATAACGACTAATATCTATATCTAATACGAAAATTAGAAACAAATCATATTTTGATATCAAAATCTAATAAAAATAAAAAATGTTACTAAATTCAATTTTCATAAAAAAATTTCAACTAGGAATCCTTATATTTAAACTTAAATTATTAAAAAATATAAATTACGAATATTAACCGATAACATGCAAAGTATATTTTTAAAATTTAATAGAAAGAAAATTTACAAATTTCCATCATTTTCAGACAAAACCTAAATAATTTAAAATGTAGAATTTCCGTTATTTATATTATTTAATACGTAAAATCTATTACGTTACACTGAAAATAGATAGAGATCGAGAATCATAGACAATGACGTTATAGTCCACGTTCAAAAGTATAAAATTAAGAGAAAACGGAGGGTAAAAAGGACAAAACACACAGCTCCAAGTCCTACAAATACAGTGACTTCATGGAAGTCCAAATGCACTGAACTACAAAAATTAAGTAATGAAGCTGATAGAAAAAACGGCTTTTCTTCAGTTTCTACATTACTCTTCTACTTTTCAGATCCCGACGAAGGTAATCGGTTTTCTTCTTCGTGCATTTCTCTTTTTTTTTTTTGGATTTTAATAAGAAATATTGTATTTTGTGTTTATTTGGATGTATTTTGTGTTCTGTTATTCATCTGTCATTATTTCTGTTGGATTTCAAGTGGAATTTTTATTTTCTGAAATGAGAATTCATTTAGAATTCTGAAAATCCAATACAGCTAGCTGTATGGGATTTGTTTTTAGATTTATAAATCGGTAACCCATATATTTATTTAGCTGCTGCTCTCTCCCTGAGAATATGTATCTGTCTGACTTCGATCGATCAGATCAGAGAGGCGAGAGGTAGGGGATGAGGATGTGTTGAGATGTTCGTTTCACTCAACAGTTTGAGTTTAAGGGTTTTTTTTTTTTTTTTTTTTTTCTGTTAGACTGTTCGTTTCCTCAACAGTTTGAGTTTTTTTTTTTTTTTTTTTTTTAGCCTTTCAAATAATACTATCCCCTAAAAAAAAAAACATACTTTGGCTTGCGACTTCTGCAACTAAGACCTTTTAATTATCCTTGTTTTATTATATTTTTTTAATTTCTCAATGTTGGAAGCTTTTATGTTATTTTTTTTCTTTTAAGAATTTTCTTGAGTTATATATATATCTGTTTGATAAGAACAATTTTATTCTTTTAGATGACTAATATATTTTACTTGATTTTGATCTTAATGAAAGGTTGGATGGCGTTGATGTATGATCTGGCATTCAAAAACAGTTCAAGTGTTTTTTTTTTGTTCTTTAAATTGGAATGGGTGGAGTAAGGAAGATTTTCATACCAATCACATTGCTGGCGGCATTATCTGGTCTTGTTCGCGCACTGTGGACGAGATTGATGTTGCCGCTGTGTAGTTTAGTGTCATCAGTAAATCTCGATATTTAGATTCGGAGTAACTTGCTCTCATAAAAAAAAAAAATCTAGAACTGTATCTGCATATGATGCGATTCTATAGAACCATTTAATTTATTTTTCCAGTTAATATCTCGAGTTTAAGAGTGATTGTAGCTTTATTCGTGATTCCGATCTTAAGAAAAAATATTAACCGAAAAAAAATTTTAATTAATTTGAATAATAAAGATTAGAAAAGATATGAGTTTTGGTATCTATTAATTCACAAAGCTATTGACTCATAGCTACTTTATCAATTATTCCTCTGAAAACAATTTGATGACCTTGAAATTGCGCATGACAATGCCTCTCCATGTTGCGACATGCAAGCAAGAAACTTTCCTTACCCAAATGGTTCATATTACTACCCATGTCACTATTATGAGCCACCTGCCCTGCATTTTCCCCAACTGCCACCGCCAAATGCCAATTCCGGTCAACCTGATTTGTGCTATGTTATGTGAAATGAATTATTAGTTGGACTATGCATTTGCCTGAATTAATTGGGTTTTTTTTTTTTTCTATATCTTTTGGTCTCCAATTCATGGTATTTATTTATTTATTTATTGTGGCTACTGTAATTTGCTGACATTTATTGGTATTTTCCGTTTTAATTGTTGTTTTTGAACGATATGTCGTTCACTCAGCTGGGTTGCTTGCTTGTTTGTTTCATTGTTTATTTCTTATCATGGATTTAGAAGGTCTAATATTGAATAGATCATTATAACATAAATAAAATTACTGTTATTTTATTTTTTTGAAAACTGTTATGTTATTTGACAGTAATATTCGCAAGTGTACGAAATCGCAACAAGTAATATAAAATGAGTAGAGTATCGTATCCACAGGGATTGTATGTCAAGTATCAAAATTATGCAACGTATTATTATTTAAACGGCAATAAGGGAGATTATTTTAAAAAGTTAAATTAAACAAATAAAAGAGAACAAAAAGAAATCAAGCAACAATATTCGACGAAAAGAAATCAATGATTTAAAGCTACTAGGAATTACTTAATTCTTTCCATTTATTTTATTAGTTTTTGATAATCAATTTTAATGTTTTAAGTAGGGGAAACAACCTAAAATCACTAACAAGCTCTTCCGATGTATTGTTCGCTATTTCTAACCCGGTCTAATTACCTATCATCAAACATGAATTAAATCATTAAGTTCTAAGATTTGTTTATGAATTCATAACCTAAGGTCATTAACTTATGAAAACCCCCCATGAGTCAAACCATATAGCTTTCGCTTCAAGTTATTATTCTCATGTAATTTATTACCCTATTCATATCAAAAACCCTTCTTCCGATACTGATTAATGAAATAAATCAATCCCGGGGGAGAAACTCTGCCTGGAAGCATTAAGTTCAATAATCAATTATATCATGAACAAGGAAAAGCAAATCTAATATCATAAATTGGAATCAAAATTAAGCTACATCAAATCCCTAGTATGAGAGTTTTAGTTCAATATCTGGTAGAAGTTTTAGTTCAAAAGGTGAATCAGCTAAATAAAACTCAATTAACTTGTATATATTCTCCATAAATTATAAATATTGAATATGGTTGGAAATAAAATTATATTGTATATGTATTGTTCAGACTAATATAGGAGATAACTAGTTAATATTTTTTTTGTATTTGGTCTGATGGGATGAGATTTTCCTCTAATATCTTGCACACAATATTGAATACTCCTCGCAAAGTCTTAAAAGAGAGAGAGAAAACACACTAGAACATAAGATGGAATAGATACAATGAAATCGTTGCTCGTCTTGACTATGGTCCTAGTCTCCTCCTGTGTTATACTTGGTAGTATTTTTGGTCTCCGCGCAATAATTCTTCGTGTTCGCGTGTTAGGAAAGTGAATCTTTATTGAGTAGAGAAAAAATTTTTAGAAGATTGAGGAAAACCTGTTCTCAGGTCCTTTGTTTTCCTTCTCATATTTATTGAGGGAATCCAAAATTCCAGATTGCCTAGTATTAGAGAGAGATATATAATAGTCACCTAGGGTTTCCTATATAGAATCCCTGTAAAAAATTTCTCAAGACTCCCAAAGTGGCAAACTATGATCTAAGGAAGCTTAGAGGCGCACAAAACAAACACATAAATAAAATAAATAAAAAACTAAATTAAAGTATTAAAAAATAAACTAAAAATACCTAATATAAAACTAATATTATAAGAATTTACTATATAAAAAATTACCAAACTAATCAAATTTCCCAACTTAACGCAGGATGCTTGTATCCGCTTTAAGCATCAAGACTATAGGAAATTAAAATATATAGAAATAAACAATACAAGCACAAAACAAGCTAACAAAAGACTAGAGCTAATATAATAATAGGGCATAATTTTAGGGATATATAGCACATTCGAGAAACACAAGTAAAAAAATTATTAACATGAGTAACTTAAATCTAAGTTTTCCTTATTGCGGTTATATTACCTAAGCAAGACACACTTCCACTTCGCTTATCCACGAAGAGCACAATATATATATTAAGTTTACACTCACAGTTAATACACGCAATTTTTCAACACTCGCCTTTCTGAGAGGTGAATTTATTCAACCTTACTGAAATCAAATAGTTCACTATGACTCATGAAGTTTAATTCCTATTAAAAATTATTTAACCTTTAAATAAGTTGTTTATGCAATAATACTAGTTCACATATCAAAAAATGCAAAATATTTAGTCTTATTGACTCGTCTTAATACCCCCAATTGGATGCATATGCAACCATTTTATGAGTAATGATTCAAAAAGGTCATTTTTAACTGAGGATTGTAATTGGGTACTTAGGTTAAGAGTAATGATGTACATTGTTTTAAGTTAAAACAAAGAAAAAGGATAAAAGGGTAGACAAAAAGCACAAAAAAAAATGCATAATCTCAAGATTTTCATTACAGTCAAAACAATTTTTTTTTTTTTTTATTTGTAAAGGGAGATTACTTGAAGTTGTTTCACTAGCATCATAAACTAGAGTATACTTTTCGCACCAGGCTACTCTCTTCTCAGAGAGGGTGATTTTTAATAAGATATATAATTATATATACCCATGCTAGGTCAATTCCCCAAACTTGAATGCTAATGATTGATTTTGTCTTCTTTTTATGGTGGTGTTTTCTACTATGATGTTTTTCTAATAAAGGTTTTTTTCCATATAGATAGATAATAAAAATGAAATGAAATTCTCGCTTTCTTCTTTTTGTTAGCTTAATGGTTTTATTAATAAAAATCAAAAAATCTTATAATACATTATTTGCACTTAGGGTAAGAGAACTCATATAACCATTGGTTTAAATGGTACATTATTGCACTTAGGGTAGGAATTTAAATTGGTTTAATGGCTAGGCTTAATAAGAGTGAACAATAAAATTTGGATATAGGCTTCAAATTGGTTGCACAAGTCATATTTTAACTTAGTTGGCCTATGCTAAATAAGAGGTTCAACAAAGAATGCCTAAACCATCTCTTTCTAAATGTAAGCATTTAAAAATTTTGTCTCAAAGGGAATTCCAATTTATTCTAGGAATGCTAAGGTTAAATAAATTTTGATTAAAACATATTTATATATCATAAAATTCACAAAAATTAGTGTTTATAATCTTTTATCATATATCTTCTAGATAATATAGTGGAGAGAGGCCATAGAATCCAACTGTTAAGCTTTCAGAAAATTAAAAGAAGCAAGATCATAGCTTATATATAACTAGAAAAACAACTAAATTATCACGAATTTCCTAAATGTAGATAATGTTTTGCAAGCTTTGCTTCATCAATTACACGGAGAGCGATAATTAACACTACTAGAATAACTCTCAAACAAAAGCTTGCTCACAATTATTCCAACCATATTAACCTAATAAAAACAAACAAACAAAATAAAAAAAAATAAAATTTTAACTAAAATTTTCCTTCCTCAAACTTAATCTAGCACATTGTCCCCAATGTGTGCAAAAATAAGAACAATTCCTTAAACTTATCATATATTATCAAAACAAGGTATAAAAATAAAATAGAGTTGAGAACACCTTACCACCATTGTATTGAAAAATACAAAAAAAGATAAGAAAATAAAGGGCATGGTTCCAATGGCTAAATTCTGAAAATAGAAAAGAGCAACATAACACAATAATAATAATAATAAGAATAATAATAATAATGATGTAGACATAATTGTTAAGGAAAGAAAGAAAAAAAAAACATTGAAATAAAAAAAATGGAAAAGAAAATTCCTATAAAAATAATTTAAAAAAAAAGTGAATGTAAGTCAAAATAAAAGAGAAGGAAAAAAAAAGAAACAAAAAAAAGTTAACGTACGTCAAAAAAAAAAAAAGAAAAGAAAAGAAAGAAAGAAAGAAAGAGCAGTTAGAGTAGGACAAAAAAAAAAAAAAAAAAAAAAAAAAAAAGAAGTTACGTCAAAACAAAAGAAAAAAAAAACAAACAAACAAAACATAACACTGCACGTGGTCTAAGGCACAAAAGGACAAAAAAAAAAGAAAAAAAAGCATTACCCTGGGTAGCACGGGGTGCTAGGCAGCACCCCCTAGGGGTGCTGTGTAGCATGGGGTGCTGGACAGTACATTTTGACCGTACTAGAACTTGACTTTTGGCGTATTTTTCTCTGAAAACAGTATAGGGGTGCTAGGCAGCATGCCCTACCCGTGCTAGAGCCTGACTTTGGCACTTTTAATCAGTTTTCAAGCCTTTTTAATCATTCCTTGACTTACAATATGAGTATAAAACACCAAAATAAAAGAAAATTTCAAGCCTTTTAAATCCATTCCCTTGACTTAAATATGAGTATAAACACACATCGCAAGATAAATGAAATAATGGTTATTAAATTAGGGAGATGATAAAAAAATTAAAAAAAAAAACAGTAAAGTTTACAAGATGAATTTTGGCAATGGAAAAGTATATACAGATAACGAGTGGTGTTTGCCTCCATTAGCGTTTTGTTTATAGTGGGTTGCCTCCCATTAGCGTTTTGTTTAAAGTCTTTTAAATTCGACTTTTAAGAAGTTTATCAAATAACAACTTTCACCCATAGTATGTATCATGTAATATCACACATGGGTTTTGGTTGAAAATGCCCTCAAGATTGGCTAGTTTAAGAAAATTTATGATCGTCTTATCAATAACATCTCACTTTAAATGATGAACTTGGGAAAAAACTGTACTAAATCATGAAGAACACAATTTATTAAAGGTGGTATCATTAGAAAGAAAGGATCTTCCGGTGGTGTATATATAAAAACCATTGATGAGCTTAAATCAATAATCTCAATTATTTCTTCATCCACCAATATTGCTTGCTGCGCTTGCTGCTTGTGTTCCATTTAAATCTCACCCAATACCCCTTTTTCAAAGGTATTAAGTATTGTCATGTCCTGGAAACAATGAGAAGTGAGGATTTAATCCATCTTCAAAAGGAGTTTGCATTCTCACGTGTAGGCTTTAACTTTCTTCGTAAAGGTGCAATTTCCCATGAAAGTTTCCTCATAATTTTTCCTTGCACTTCAATCATTTTGATATCCATTAGTTGGGCCCATGGTTTCAATTTTGCTTGCTTGTTTACCCTTCCAAATTCTTTTATTACCGATTGTTTTGGATCTTCAAGCTCTCACGAAGTTTCATTGCATAATTGGCTATAATGTGGGATCTCTCAGATAAATGGGGAGGACAGAGGCGAAACTCGGTCTCAAATTCCTTTG